TATGATTCATTTCGTTTCATTTGAGCTGACTACTCGGTACTACAAAGTAATCCATTTGTTTGCGCAACATTTGTCACGCTGCTCCGCCAGCTAAAGGATATGTCAATACCCAGACCAGAGCTCTACCCTCCCCGGGAGAAACATTGTAGCCGGTTTGACTTTGATTTTATTTCCTTTTTCCACAATGTTTGGCAAATGTTGCAAAATGTTTTAGGGTGCAGGGGATTTATGAATTTCATTTACTAATGGATTGTGGTAAGTGAAAAGTTTCACAGATGTGTAAATTTATGCAGCCGATTATTAAAGTTTTGATTTGTATAACCAATTTAGTGTAATCTGTTAATTAAAACTTTCTCATATTGGAATAGCAACACACTTCGTAATTGACTTCAAAAATTCAAATAATACTAAGCAAAAATTTAAAAGTTTTTCAGATTATATTTGTTTAATTCAATTCGAGAAATGTAAATTGTATAAACTTATCATAACTACAATACAAAGCAAATAAGGGCAGGTCTCTTTAAGTTTATCAAAATATTCGAATTGTGATTGATATGAATAATATAGTAAGATGTGAAGCAAATGCAACAGTTAGATTAATGTTAAACAAAAATAAAAATGGTTATTTGTGAATAATTCGCTCACTTGTGACTGTAACTGTCATGTTAAGCACCTTTCATCGAATATTATTGTACTACTGTGTACCCCAAATTCTTCTTCACTTCGCCAAAAACAAGACGCATATCGTTCCACAACCACCGAATTGGCATATTGTTTAACTTCTAGCTATGCAATAATTAAAAAAAATAATAATAATAATTTAATTTAAATAATTTCGGACATTGAAAAAATCGTAAAATCACTGTAGGATGTTCAGAAAACATTAGCCTATATATGAAATTATTACACAGCTTACAGTGACAGATTTGTCCCCAACGAATCACCCCATCGATTTTAGCTCACGAGGGTCACATTTCCGGATAATTTTTGTACACAGTAGTAGTATATCTCGAGTATACACACATACATATATCAATTATTTGTGCACAGCTTAAACTTTACTAACCTGATAGTATCCCTTGCATGTCTTACATTTTTCAAATAACACATTTAAGTTGTAGGGGTTTAAGGACATGAAGTAGAGCTCCACAGCTCTTAAGATATCAGCAGTTTTCTTCTCAATGAATTCACACTTGACATTATAAGAGAATCTGTCCAAGATATATTTCACTATTTGGTATAGCACCGTTTCCGTGGATATAAAGATTTTCAACTCAGTGTGCAGATCTTCCATGAAATTCTCTATAAATATACGCGTCAATTTCATTATGAATTCGAATACTTCTGCTCGGAAACTATTAGCCATTGCGATAATTAGATCTTCAAAGCTTCCGGCACTAACGATGTGATCGAAAATTTTGGAACCATAATTCATCAGCTTAATGAGTGTACCGTCGGCAAACAAAACTGAACTCGCTTGTAAGATTCCCACACCTACACCCAAATTATTAGAGTCCGGCGTCTGCAGCATTGAGACGCTCTGACCCTGTGTCTGTTCAGCTGCTGGGCTTTCCTTCAACTGAAACAATGTTTTAAATTGCTCCGAAGAAGGCACCTCGTTCACATTCCGTATGATATCCGTCTTGCCAAGTAAGCGTTGGGTCTCAGTGGTGATTTTTTCAAAGGTTCGCCTGCAAGAAGAAGTGCTTACTATAATCTAGTAGATTGGAAATGTTGCACGAATCCAGTTACCCCAATCGATCGCGCAAAGTGTCACCATAATTAGCAGTCAAATTTTGTTGATTTTTAGCAATAATCGTCGAGGCCAGGCGGAAATTGTAAAGACTGTGCGTAAAGAGCACCAATGATGCGGATAGTGGAAGAATATCCAAAGCAGAAACATCGTCGCCGTCTCTATGTTTCTATGCAAAAGAGAAGGGAGCTTAGTACAGAATTCAAATAGGTTGCAAGACTTTTTTTTTACCAAAAGTAAATCCATTATCCCGTTAGCCACCCCAGTACCGGACAACACGACGGAAGATATAGTCATGCCGTTAACTGCCAGTTGCGTGAGCTTTAAAATTATAAAAGAAAGATGGGTCAGATGAATTAGTTTCGAAATAACCACAAACTGACTTACAGTTCCTGCTTCGAAGCCGGCGGTAGTTGCGGCTGCCAGGACACTTTTTGCTCCAGTAGCCCCTAAACCTACAGTTCCTGCAGCGACCCCGACCCAATGTCCGCGTGCTGCTCTATCCCTCAAATTAATTGACTGCTCGTGCTGTTTGCGATCAACCAGTTGTGTGGCTGAGCGTGCCGTGGCATATCCAGCCGAGGCCAGTCCAACGCCTGCCGCCAATGTCAAAATGGGTGCGGTTATGGGCAGCGACAATAACGCCGCTCCGGTCAACAATGCCGAGCTGAGGCCTCCAACAACCGATGTCTTGTCAAGTATATCGATCATTTGGCGTTTAGTTGTGCTTGCTGGCGTCATACACTTCTCCAGCTGAATGCGTCCCGAAATACTGGATGACAAGACCACTCCGTTGCATCCCCAGCAAGATTCGGATCCGTCGCTTTGCTCGCGACAAGCACATAAATCAGCGATGTCAGCGATTGTCCATTAGTGTATTTGCCTGCCGGACCGGAACAAATACATACACATGTATGTATGTATGTATGTAAGTTAGTTTCCATTAAATAAAAAAATACTTTCAAAGTATTTACGCTGTTCCCAAACACTCTTGAATATTCCCTGCCGCATTTCATCAATGACCCTCTGCTGTTTGTCATTTTCATTTCGATCCGGTATCAGTTGTTTGATCTTGAATCTCAATATGTCGGCTTGTGTTTCAGATAAGCTGCAAAAATCACATTTACAGTTAAGTACATACATATGCCATATAAACATAAAGGCAATATGTACACATGTAGGTAAAACTTACAGGTCCCAAATTATTTCTAAACCAAATCCAAGTGTTTCGGCAAAAGTTTGCTGCACTTGCCGTGCTGTCCGGGCTCCACTTGCTATTTCCATCTTCGGGGAACTCCAAATAATTAGGTTTCTACGCAGCGCAGATAAAAGGTAGATAGCTTGATCTAGGGACGGCACTTGTCGGCATTTCAGCTAAACGATCAATTGCTGCCGATAGTGCTCATTTCCATTTATCGATGTATTTTGCTATTCGATAGGCTTCTTGTCACTATCGTTGATCGTTACGGTTTGAAGAACCTTAAACAACAAGGGTGCCTAATTCAATAAACATTATTTTTCGTTTCACGCTGATTAACTTGTTAATGTTTGTGTGAAGTTGTATGAAGTTCGCAGAACTTGATGTTACCTTAAAACGCACAGTTTTGCATTAAAAGAATGCAATAAAGGTAAAAAAAACTAAATAAATGTAATTAAATTTTGGAAAATTTTTCTTCAATAATTTTTAATAAATCAATAGCAATAAACTTGAACATAAAAAATATCTATATATAATATCTAAATATCAAAGCGTATAATAATATATGTACTGTATTCATACAGTATACAACGCACATAAGAACAACTTTTTTAAAAATATTTTAAGCCCATGCCGTATTTGCTCCGCAATGTATTAAATTAATTTTCAAAAAATGCATGGATTCAATCGACCGATTTTACAATAACTTTTCTGTTTTTAAATTATCTCAATCAAAACTGATATGTGGCAGTTTTATATAAGGAATTGGGAGACTGTAATATAAACAAGCAGGCTAAAACAAAATTTTAAAATGATTTCTTCTTTTAATTTTTGGGTTTCTGCCAATTCACTGAAAATATTTTTATTAATAATGAGTTGTCAAACTAAAAAAGCCTTGTTTTAGTTTAAATTAATCTCAATCTTCCTTTAAAGAAACCGATGTCAGAGCCAGCTAGATTTTTAATATGTATATGTACATATAGGAAAAGAAATATTGTAACAAATAATATCAGAAAAAAATCTCTATTTTGTAAGGCGACCATATTTATATTTGACAATCCATTTAAAAAATCTCTTTTACAAGTAGTGATTTACATGGGACTAAAATGTTATGAACGTTTTTCTTTTAATCGGCAGCTTTCACCGTTTATTGAAGAACTTGCCCGTTACTAAATTAATTAAAAACCTTAAATTCAAAATTGCCATAGTTTCTCTATTTTCTTCAGTGTAATACAGCACCCCCCTGTAGATTTGATAAAAACTTTGCACCATCCATAATCGTAGCCATTTTGTATGGTTGCCTGGCTCGTTCTGATTGGCTGTTATAAAATGTTACCAGCCGCTGAACTTCCCCCAGGTTTCGGTGATCCTGCGCATTGTCACAATTCGTATGTACATAATGTACTAAAAAGCGTTTACATAAGCAAACATATATTGTGTGTATGTATAAGGACGCAGCTTCTGCCCAACGAAACTCAAACCAAACCCACATCAAATTTATTATACCACCGTTGCCGCCGTTGGCTTCTGTCCATTTATCTTTTGCCAGTTTTCTTTTTTCGATGACTTGGCCCGAAAACCTCATGCCTAACCCACAATGCCACCAATGGCAGTAACATTTTATGGCCAAAGTTTTTTCGCCCCACACAATGTCGCCAATGTGGCGCCATTTTTGCCGCATTGTCGTCGGCGTTTTTAGTTTATGCTTATTTTCGCAGAAATAAAGTTTTTCTAGCCATATCAGCAAAACATAAAAAAATGAAACGAAATCATTTCGTATTTTAATCTTCTGTCAGAGCAAATAGCCCTAGCCATAAAAATACGAGAAAAGTCAGAAAACTTTTTGCAATTTATACATTACATATTTTCTATAAATTGATTTTTATTTCCATTTAAACATTTCTATCGAGACTTGGAATGACAAACATATACAAAACATATTTCTCCTCTGTATTATATTATTTATAATTATGCAGTATAATATTCAGTATAAAATCGTTTACGCATTGTTGACGCGACAATGAAAACAAAAACTTATTGAGAAAATTTTTATTACATAAATTAAACTTGATGCTAATAACAAAAGAGAAACCCTATTTATTTATTTATTCATTTTTTTTTTGAGTAGTTAAGCGCATGAAATGGAAAATAGTTGGAGAATCAAACGCTTTAACTCAAATTATACATTATATTGATATTATGTTTATACATTTTTTTGACTAAATTAACGGAATTTATCTTTTCTCTTATAGAAACGCGCTAAATAAGTGGCAAACCAAATTAAACGCTGCACAGTGATATGCACAATTGGGAGAGTAGAGTGAAACTTTAAACTGGATGAACAGAATTACAGATTACAAAACGAGAAGCACTATTAGTATTAGTTATCAATAGAAGTCTGGCTTAATTTGTCTTGTGGCTTATTTCCTTGCTTATATTGCATTTTGTCATGTGGCTTTTGTCTTGACTTGTTCCATTATGTTGTTCAAATTTCAGTTAGACATCTTTCGATTCGGGATTTGTTTTACTTTTTTTTGTTTGTTTGCTATTTGCTCGCATAAATCATTTAAAAATAGGTCTATATAAAAACAATTATACATACAATATGTAGAGCACTCTACGCTGTAGTCTTAAGTATTTTCATTTCAACTAAATTTAGTTGCCGCCTAGTCAGGTGTGTGAGTGTGTTTGTATGTGGATTATTGTTTATGGTAACTGAGTGTCCCAATTGGCCTAATAAAACTTTTTCGCTTGCGCCTCGCTGCGGTTTCTGTAAAATTTCCAAATGCAAATATTGATAGTGGAGTTAATTTTTGGAGAACTGGCTAGTTTACTTACTTGAAAATATTGTATATAAATACGAGCAGCAATTGCACGACAGTTACGCTTAGGAACAATGTAACACCCACACAGTTGCCTGTGGGACAAGGCGCGACTTGCGCCGCTCCCTGCGGAGAGGCACCCAATCTGCAAAGACGAGAAATTCACGAAATTATATTGTAACTAAAATAGATTGTGCTTCACCCACCTTTGTCCCACATGTGATATGCCCTGTTTGACCTGATTCATGCCATCACGCATCTCGGCTATCAGCGTTTGCACATCGTAGCCCGTTGACTGTATCTGTGCAGTAGGCGCATTTCTCTGATTCGTCTGTATGCTATCAGTGCGTACGTTAATATCGCCGACCAGCTGACGAATTTCGCGTATGGAGCTAAGCAGCATGTTCTGATTTGCAATAAGCAAGTCCACATCGGGTCGTGTGATTGTTGCGCCAGCTGGAAACTGTTGTTGTGGCACTCCCGCTACAGGAGCTGAGGGGACAGCAGCTCCCGCGTTGACAGCCAAGCCGCGTGAGACCAGTGACAAAGTGTTCTCTTGGCGACCAATGATCTCGTCCACTTTACGGGATAGCTCTCGCAAATGTTCAAATATTTGACTCTGACCCTGCCAGATTTGACGAAGCTCGCGTTGATTCTCCGACTCATAGAACTCCTCCCACTCCTCTTCGTCTTTGTGCTGCAATGGCATAAATTAAAATCCAATATATTACAGTTGAGCTATGTATTATCAGAAGCGAGCGCGCAGAGATAACGCTGCCTACTATTAACTGTCGACGTTGTCAATAGTAATTGGGCAATATGATAAGCGTGCGTGCGCCACACTTACCGCCTCATCGGGATGCTCCTTTTTGTACTCTTGTTTCTGCTTCTCTAGTTTCTCCTGATACTCCTTGTACTCTTGAGTCAGCTTCTCCTGATTGTCAACCTTTTGCGCGTCTTGAGGCATTTGGCCCACAGCATGCAGTGACGTGGTCAAGAAATGGAACACATCATGGTCATCAGCAAGACCACCGGTGGCTGCTGAAACGCCAAAGTAACCGTGCTTGGGCAGTAGCACATTGTCCGCACGCAAGCACATCTCGTAGTCTTCGTTGTTGTTCGTCATGCCGTTGTGGATGAGCACCGTCAGCACATTGTTGTAGTACTCTATGCGCGCCCGTGTCGGGAAGGGCTTGTTACGGAAGTCACGTAAGCAGCCGCTGAGTAGTTGCGTTGTCCCATCATTGGCATGATCGTACTGCTTTGTGCCGTCATTAAGTACGGCACTTATGTACGGATTATTGTGCTTATTATCGTTATCGAAAGAGTCGAAAATAATGGCCAGACCATTCCAGCGATCTGATGAACCAAATACAGGCCCATTGTAATCACCCTTTTCCGTAGTATACCAGAAGGCCAATCCATCAGCGCCAATGCGTCCACGACCTGTTACACGGAAAACAATCTCTACCTCCCACCAGTCGAAATTCGTTTGCGTTTTGGTCCAGATGGCGCCCTTCTGGGAGCGCAGGGATGGCGCCACACGAACACTCTCCGAGCTGGCAATTGCATCTGTAAGTAAGTAAGCAACAGGTTGCATACATTGGGACTAAAGCGGTGCATTTAATTTATTTTTAAACAAAGTGCCTGCGTGTACACTTTGCTTCTCTGGTTGCCAAATAGCTGGCTCTGCAGCACCACCACTTTGTAATTCCGTCTCGCTCGCACCTACACACCGTAGCGAAAACAGCCCGAGACGGCCAAAACAACTGACGTGGAGCTGCTGCATACTTACTTCCACCGTACTCAAAAAACGGAACAGTGCCATCCTTCTGGGCCAGATATGGCGGCTTAAATGAGTACTTGTATTCAAAGCGCCTATGCACGCCGATTGGACTTGGGTTCAGATTGGCCGCCACATAGTTTTGTGCAATAAATATGTGGAAAAAAGCCAAAAATTGCAGAACAAGTTTAGACCCGGTCGTTTGCATCTTTACGTTGACAACAGTTTGACAGCGACAATATAGCCGAACTGCTCTAACATCATCCAGGGCTGCATTATGACTTTCTAATCGCAGCTGACCGCAGATTGGTTCATGATTCATTTTTAAGAGCCAGCATTCTACCAAAATTATGCTTACTTTTTGAGAAGTCAATTTTAAGCTCCCATTTTTATGGTATATTTCTTTGTAAAATTATTATCACTGCATTACTCAACTAAATGGGAAATTTTTTATTGTATTAGCAAGTAGTGCCAGATTTTTACGTTCTAGGTATGAGTATTAAACATACGACTCTGTGGCAGCACTGTATTTAACAGCTGACTAGGTAGAGGCAAATTTGATTCGTTAAGGCAGAGATGAAAAAGAGTTAATATATAGTTATGGCCAAATAGTTTATTATTAAGTATTATAGTTCAATGTTAGACTTAAAATAAAATTACACATTTGGGTTGCTGCTTCCGTTATTGCCATTTCGGCGGCGATTATGTTGACGTGGCACTGGTCCCCGCTTCTGTGACTTTTGATGATCGCAGGGATCGGCTCGACGCAGGACCTCTGCATAGGATAGATCAAGCTTTTTAAGCTTATGCAGCTCCTGCGAAACGGTATTAAAGCGATACTCAATACCGTTCACTTCAAACTCTCGACTTCTTATGGCACGTGACGGATTTAAGTTTTTGTTATAAACAATCATTGACGAACCATTCCAATCACCTGCGGCACCCATATGGCGGGGAATACCTCCCAAACGACTAGGCCCCGGTGCTAAAATATCAGCGGGCAATGGAATGAAGTCCTTACGGGTACGTCGGCTGTTATTGGGCCCGTTACTACCAATTTGGCCAACGCGTGGTGAAGGTGGCAGAGCCAGCGGTGAGCTGACGCGATCCCCTCCGCTATTTAAGCCGCGATTTTTACGGCGATTCTTCTTCTTGACACCAACACCGACAGTCAAATATTCGAGCGGCTCCCGCTTCAAAGGCGTTAAGACTCTACCATTTTCAATTATTTGCTGCATTCCAGGCTTATAAGCCCTGCTTGGACTGGCTTCAGTTACATTGGCAAAGGAGATAGCTGATGGTCTATTGTTTCCTTGGTTTTTGCTCTCATTAATTTGCTTTTTAGCGGTTTTTCGTTCAAGCTTGGTGATGCATTCGGACATTGCTATGGACTGTTCAGACACAACTGAAGAAATTATGCTTTCTGTGTCGTCACCAAAATCACAAGGAAGCTCTTCATTCGCCGGTGTAACCGGGGGCACTTTAACATTGAGCATTGCCGCTTTATTATCATCTAACAATGGTAGGTTTTCGCCTTCTTCCTTGTTGTCAGCGGCTTTTTTTAGTACTCCAAATATCTCTTTGAAGAGCTCGCGATATTCTGGTCTGTCGCGAAAGTGTGAATCGATGGGGCTGGCATCATCGTAGATGCTAAACTTACAGTTCTCGCCATCGCCAATTGAGCACAAAAAGAATCCGGGCCGCTCATCTGTTTGAGTGTACTTGTTGCTCGTCTCATCCATAAAGCCCGACGACGAAGTCTCTGCCTCAGAAAATTCTGTAGGCGTTCTTCGCACATTTTTCGTTGGTTTCCCCTCGTTTTCAGCTGTGGCTGTCTGCGGACTACTACCACTTGCTGACGGCGTTTGGTTTAATTGAGCGCTTACTTTAAATTCATCGGCGAGCGTATTTTCATTCCTCGGACCAACTGAGTTTGGCGGAATCGACGAACGCTGCACCTGCAGCAGTGCTTCATATTTTTCTACCAAGTCCCGGTATGGGTTGGGGGCATTGGATAAATCAACGGCAACGGATGAGCGATTGGTAGAGGCCCCGGCTCGAGAGGCTCCCGTAACGGAACTGAACTCGCTACCTTGATCATTGTCACGTTGGCTCTCAAGTTCAAGAAAGCTGCGTTCATCATCTTCTTCTGCATCCTCGGTTTGCGCTACCGATAATAGTTCATCGTTGTTTGCCGCACGTTTTTCTACTGCACGCAAACAACGGCTGCACATTAATTCTTGTTGAACATCGTCTAGCAAGGACAATTCATCGTGAATCGACATCGTCTCCTCATTTGTGCTGTTTTGTAGAAGACGCCCTTGTAGCGCTTGATTTTCTTGAATTATGACCACCAGCTGCTCTTCCAGTTCTCCAAATCGTCGCTGCTCTGAGTTTAAAGCACGTTTTGTTGATTCCAATTCAGAGATGAGTTTCAACAATTCCTCATTATCTTCCCCAGTGCTGACTATTCCACGTCCCTCATTTAGACTTCCTTCCGAGGGCAATACTACGGAATTGTCATTCTGTACTGTTGACTCATTGACCCCGGTCGAATTGGCGTTATTCCGTTCCTCAAGAGCAAAGCTTAAGTTTTCTGCGGTCATCAAGCTTTCATCAAAGCGCGACTGTTCATGTTCGTTGCCATTAGCATTGGGCGTTGTTGGCTTTTTTGGAGTGAGATCTTTATAACTATGTTGCTGTAAGGCGGTCCTTCGTTCCTGGAGAACTTTTTCGTTTTTACGGCGCTCCGCACTGAGTGTCTGCTTTGATTCATCCAATTGCTTACTAAGCTCCTCACAACGCGTCTCCAGTGACTCCACGTTTGCTGTCAACAATTTAATTTGTTTTTTATTTTGAGTTTTTTCCACATTAAGCCGATGATTGCTGTGCTCTAATTCCTGTATTCCGACTTCCAGCTGCTCGTAGACTCTTAATCGAGAGTCGTTTACTTCGCTCATGGCATTGATTTGTTTGCGCAAATGCATTATTTCCCGATCCTGCTCTTCCATCTTGGTTTTGTGCTCCTTCAGTAATATTTCAAGCTCTTTGTTCCGCTCCAACAGTGTCTTACCCAATTCAGCTGCCAACTGCAGATCATCCAAAATAAATGGCGACATATCTACATCACATTTTTGCGTATCATTCCTAAATTCCTCCATTTTGTGTGGGTAGGTGCGTCCTAGTCGTTACTAAATTTGAAGAAAAAAAATTTTTGGCTATACTTTCTTGTTCTTCCATATTTAGTATATCTACGTTTCTATGTATGTATGCACATACATATGTATGAATATTGCCAATTATAATTATGCCGCTAATCAGTACACAAATACGTTTAATCTAAGGTCTTTTATACTGATGCTGACATAACGCCTTTCACTTTTTCATTGCATTTTTTAACAAAATGACATTGATTTTAATGCTATGCATACACAGTATTTAAAAATCAATGTTTTTTCCCAAATATTGCAATGAAGTGATGGCGAAGTTTCAATGCAAATTTTTGTGGAACAAGTGTGAAAATTATAAAGCAACACGACTGCGTTTTGAAAGGACCTTTAATATAATTGATGTATTTGATAATTTATAAAAAATACCTTTAAAATTATACTATTGGGCAGAACAGCTTTTGTTATTGATTTGTTGTGGCCACAATACAGACAGGGTGTAACGAATGGCGGCAGTGCTGAAAAGTTTTGCATAATAGTAGTGCTGGAGCGCGAAAAATACGGCAGTGTTGATAAGCGGAAGTAAACGGCCAGGCGACATATCCTTTGCCACCCCACAACCAGTGCAGAAATAAATCCCGCTTCAATCTGTATAAAAAGCCTATGTGGTAAGCAATATAATTGATTTCAAATAGATGCAAATTTTAAACTCTCCAACTGTGCTGTTTGTTTACCCATTCTTTATTAATGATCATTGCGCCTGCGCGACATTTCTAAAATTCAAATTGGTCTTGTATGAGTGGAAAACATTTATTTGAAAATTTATAAATTGTTTACGTTTGGTAAATATTGAAATAAAATTTAGCAACATACGTTTACACTTATTACAAAATCATTTCGTTTAGTTCAATTGCCTTTTGCTTGATATCACCAAAGTAGTTTTCGTTTTTCATTTTTTGAAAAAATCTGGCATATACTTGTATGTAGTTTAGAGCTTATAGCTAATTTATAGGTTTTACTGCCTGATTAGCATATAGTGTGGGTTTTACATTATTTATTATTAGTTGTTCAGCTTAAGTGATAGCTTGGTGTATTCGTCAGTGTAAAAAATGTATGTATGAACATCGCTGAGGAGAGCAAGGTGTTTTTAGTTTTTACTCTTCTGCGCCAAGTCGCACCATTTTACAAATGTTAGTTTACGTTTAGTCGATTTGAATCACAATCACTTTCGTTTAGTTGTGTGCGCGCATTTGAAGGAAAATGTAACCATAGAAAACAAAAACAGAAGCAAATAAATAAAACACAAAAGCGTTTGTATAAAATATAAATATGGTTAAATATATTTTAATTTAATTTCATACAAAAATGTAATAATGTGCCGAGAGATGAGAGAGGTTTAAACTTGAATTTACATAAATTAAGTTCAAATAAATTAATGGATTGCATGAAGTACATAATTACGTTCAAATCTATTGTTAAGTACTGACAAAATATAATCGCGTGCATTTGATTACGTTGGTTGTTTGTTGCTTTCAAGAATGTTAAATTGGCATAAAATAATTGTGTGCGCACCCTAGACTACAGAATACAAAAATCCATGTATGTATATATACTTATATGTATATACTATAATCTATATATAATTGGTTGTGTATAAGAAAAAGACTTACGCTTTACAATATGATTTCTCACCTATCTGCGCATCTCTTATTTCATTACTCGTTAATAGTTTCTTTTCTTTTGTAATTTTAGAGCAAATTTATGGTTTGCTTTGCAAAAATTCAAAATCACTTTCTAACTCATGCACTTTTGGGCCTACTATTAAATATACATGTATATGCAAAATATTTCAAACTGAACGCAAATCATTGTGTCTATGTGGGAGTGAATGTTAGGAACCAAAAAAAAGCTGTGTACAACACTTCAGTGGCAGTTAGCGTTGCATGTGTTCTCTGTGTATAGATATATATATGTGTGTGTGGGAGTGTGTTTGTGTGTTTCATAAACATTTAACGAATGCAATAAGTTATTGCCGTACATATATAAATGGCTGTGTAACTATAACTTAATGACTCTGTTGTATGTGTTTGTGTGTGTGTGAATTTGTGTTTGTTTGTGTGTTGTATTGAGATTAACAAAAACTCATTACAATTATTTTAAAAACTAATGATCTATGCTTGAAAAATACACATAATACACTACAAGTTACAAGTTATACTTTCGAACTCCGCTTGTCTTCCTAATGCACATGCTGATGATGGACGCCGGCGGCGGAGGATGTGCCAAACGCGCTCATCAGATCACCCTCGTATATGGCAATAAGCAGCATAATCAACACGCCGCTCAACATGCCGAGTATTTGTAATAAAAATTGTGCCAACGATTTGTGAGCAGCCGAGATTTCAGGCATCTATAAATAAAATGCAATTAACAAATATTTACAAGTAAAATGAATCAATTAATTAACACTAACCATGTCCACCAGCGCTATGTAGATAAAAAGACCAGCAGCGACGGCAAACATCCATTTGGCCGCTTCCTGTGACTGTCCAAATACGATACCAAAGATCATGCCAATGAAACTGAGCACACCAGTTAACATATTATAATACACGGCCGATCTGACAGACATGCCCGCTTTCATTAATATCGCGAAATCGCCCAATTCGTGCGGCAATTCATGGCAAAATACCGCCATTGAAGTTGAAAAACCGCCAGCAATATTTTCGGCAAAGGCCGCACCAATGGCCATGCCATCGGTGAAATTATGCAGTCCATCGCCCATTATAATCATCCAGGCCACCGCGCTAAGCGTTTCAGGAGGCGAATGCACATGACCATGACGATGACTGTGTCCATGATGTGAAGATTCATGCTCCCGCAATATGACTGTTACATGATCGTTCTTATCGTGCTCAAGATCCTTATCCTTGATGCTGTTATTCACAGCAAACACTGCATTTCCATCGAGATCGTTAGTTATTGTATTGTTGGTGCTGTCCAGTGCCTGTGTTTGCGTCTGTTCCTGCTGCTGATGATTGTTGTGCTTGTGATTATGATGATTCATTTCGGCATAGTGGTTGTGTGATGTCGAGAGCAGAGATTGTGCTGCCGCCGCCGATTCAGTGGACCCATCATGCTCGGCCTTTCCATTGCGCAAATTGCTGCCATCTGATCCGCCTGCTGCGACCACGCCTGCACCGGCGGCGTTTGCTTGGGCCGCAGTTTCGCTACCAGGCAAATGCATCCACACATCCTGTTTGTTGTCAGTGGTAATCTCATCGTAGCAATATGGGTAGGAGCTGTACTTCTGTTTGCACATCCTATCGCCGGCGACGGAATTATTAACGGAGGAGTCCGGATCCCGCATAACCTTGGCTCTCGACGGTTTCTTCGTCTCCTTCTTCTCGACGCTCTTGCGCCATTCTGAAATCATTGTGAGCGCGTGTTCCGTCACATAAAAGAATATAACGCCACCCAAGCAGGCCAGACCTTTCATGATCATCCCCTCCTCATTTTGTCCAGCCAGTGACTACATAAAAAGTGTAATGAAAAGTTAGCAGACGCCTAAATACATATACTATGAAGTTAAAGTTTACTTACATGCGGCAGCAAATGCAGGAGCGCATCGCCGGTCATGGTGCCCACGGCCAGGGACACTAGATACTGTATAATATGCTTATAGTAGCGTGAGCCCATAAATGGTATGATTGCCACTCCCACAAGACCCAAAATGCCGCAGAAAAACACCGAGGTGAAGGCGTAGATCCAAACTGTAAAAAAAATGTAATTGATAAGCAAAAGCATACCTTAAACAATATTTTAAGCAAACTAATGTTTTAATTTTTAAGAGGTAAAGGTCTAAAGATCTTGCAATGATTATTATATATATTTTTGGACAGAAAACTAGTAGGGACTGTCAGACTATTATTATGAATAATATATATATGTATACACATATGTATGTATGTATTCTAGAAGAGAGTCAGGTGCACTGAAGAAAGACTATACAATTGTTATATACCCGCTTAAGGAGAATCTAGATACGATCATGTTATTAGCCTAAAACCATGCCATAAAAACAATTAACAACAATTAAAATTTTTCCCATGTAAAAGACCTAACCTTATTTCCACAAAATTCCTGATCAGCCTTTCTTGCAGATCCGAAAAATATTTATATTTGATTGAACAGGTTCGCAACTTTTTAACACCTACCTTTAACTTGTCTATTATCTTGCTCCTCGAACTCTTCGATTGTTGGCATCAACACGCGATCTATGCAACCAGCGCTTCTTGTAACTTCCGGCGCTGTCAACTGATAGAGAAGTACTGGGCACAAGTTCAGAAGATCATTTTCACTGAGCTCATAGTCTTTATGATGCTCATTCTTTTGTATGGAAGCGCAGGCTGTACTCGAGTTTGAGTCATTTTCCGTACAATTTCCGGACAACTCCAAAGAGTTTTCATGATGACTATGTTGGTTTTTCTGCACATGATGCACCAACTCACTATCCGTCACGCACTAAAAGTAAGAGTGGAGATTTTGTCAATGATCTGTTAAAGGGTTACTAAATTTATATAAAAAAAAACTGATGAAGAAACTCCGAAGAAAGTGCCTTCAAAATATTTAAAATAAATATATTATGATTGGAGGAGAGCTAAAGTGGTTGACAAATATTTAACAAAAACTTCTTAAGTTTGTAATTTAAAGTTTCTCATAAAAATATTTGAGCAGAAAAGAGACAATAAGTACAAAAAAAATTTACGTAAATTTTCTTGAAATGAACTGATGAAGAAACTCCGAAGAAAGTGCCTTCAAAAAATTTAAAATAAATATAATATGATTGGAGGAGAGCTAAAATGGTTGACAATTATTTAGCAAAAACTTCTTAAGTTTGTAATCTAAAGTTTCTCAAAAAAATATTTGAGCAGAAAAGAGACAATATAGTAAGTTCAAAAAAAAATTTACCTAAATTTTCTTGAAATGAAATTTTAATATCTATACTGTTAGATCAGGGTTCTTTGGAATAACACTTATATTAGTTACGATTAAGTATTTAATATATTTACTAATATTTACTAAAGGAAGCTCTACAAATGTACAAATATTGAGCCAGAATTAAAAGCTTGGACAATTTTGAACGCATAGTTCCATTCCAGATTAGTTTCTCAGTAACAGACTTGCGAGACTTTGGAGCGACAACTTACCGTGCCATTGCTGTCGCCTCCGTCAACCAATCGATACAAATTAAGCTGCTCCAGTAAATGCTGGAATGCTGTTGTCTTCATCTTCGGACGCATTGACTCCGTTGTCGCATTATCCGTACCTTTTCGTAGCAATTCCTGCAGGAAGTGTAACGTGATGTACGGCAATCTCTCATGTCCGTGCTCATGTCCTGCATGTCGTTTACTTCTTCTATATGGCGGACTTATGCTGTAATTGGGCGTTCCAACGCCTAGCTGTCTTTGTTCGGTGGTTTCATTGGAGGGACTTGGATAGACGCTCGCATTCAGCTGCTCATTGAAGCCAATCGCTGGGATCAGCTCGATATTGCCAACATGATCCTGTTGGCAGTGCAGGTGATCGGCGAAGAGCAGGCACACCACACAAACGGCCATTATGTGTCGCGCCATATTGCATAGCTGTCCAATTTTTGGTGCTCAGTCAGTGGTATGTGGGGAGGTTTTTGTTTTGTTTAACGTGCTGGTTAGTATTCGTTGAACTTTATGCTTAATCCTATGCTTATGTTGTTGGTGTTGCTGTAGCTTAGTATTTGTTGATCTGCCTATTTATAGTGTTGGCATTATAGTCATCAATTCACGCGTTTCAGCTTAAACTGCAAACATATAGAGGAGAGTCAATCAAAACGAAATTAGAAAACATTTAGCCACATCGGTCAATTAGAATTGGCGCAGTCGAGCGTGCAGCCCACAGACACAGTCCACTGTCCATGACAAGTTTGCTGAGCTTAGCTTTGGGTATCGATGGAAATTAAAATTGAAAAAACCCACACTCATTACGTATGTGCCATTGTTGATTTTGCTGAAATCCATTACAATTTCATTGCATAACGAGTGTCAGACGCCGACAACGACGAGTAAGCAAGTAAAAACAACAAAATACAAATAAATACCAGCCATATTTAAAGCCAACAAAGCGGAAGTTCAAGTTCAGTTGGCTGGCTCCAAATATGGCCAACTTGCGGCTCAGCCAACACATACGCATTGAGAATAACATGCACTTAAAAGGCAACGACTAAGACTGGACCGACCAACTAACTACCTAGCAAGCTAACTCACTGACTGAATGCAATTCAATTTATTAAATGCCGTCTATTCTTGTCAATTTTATCAAAATGGACATCAAGTGCTGCCATTCAACTGACCATAAACTCGTAGATGGTTAACAATAGACGACTCCTATTTTATAACATTGTCCACTTATTCACTCATTCACCAACGACCACAGACTACGTCATTATTTTTATTCTTTTGAAGTGCGTTTGATAACCGCAAGCGCACGTGCTTTCAATCGCAACGACACGCGCCAAATGCCGCAATTTCGAGTTTAAAATACCGATGCAGTAAAAGGGCCAATGGATATACATACATACATATGTATATATGTAGATGTACATATATACTTGTAGTGCGGTTGTGTGACCGCAAATTGCTTTGTTATTGTTGCAAACATTAATTCATTGTAATACACTGGAAAGGGTATCTCAACTAGATGGCACTGCTTATAACGCATTTCACAAAAAGTGTAGATCACTAACAAATTAATGAAATAATTGATGAAAGGAGGATATTTGAAGATTCCATTAATATTAAAGCATTCAAAGATTTCATTTTTTATTCCCTTAATTTTCGATTGTGGATACCCTTTTGGATATGGAAAGTTGTGAAGTTATGTCATGTTCCAAATTAAACAATATGTTTTAAAACTCAATGAACAATTCTAAGCTACAAACAGAAAACTGTTCCATATTTACATTAGATCTTATACAAAATAAAGATTTATAAAAAAAAATGTACATTAAACAGTTCAAAATCAAGTAATCAGGCCTGTTCCAGTGTAAGAAGGCACAGAGCACGATAATCTATTCATTCCCTTAATTTTCGATTGTGTATATCCTTTCGAATATGGAAAGTTCTGAAGCCATGTGTTGTTCCGAATTTAACAATATGTTTTCAAACTCAATGAACAATTCCAAGCTACAAACAAAAAACTGTTTCATATTTACATTAGATCTTAAATATAAAATAAAGATTTATATAAAATATATATATAAATATATATAATTACTTTAAACATTATTCAAAATCAAGTAATCAGGCCTGTTCCAGTCTAAGAAGGGACAGAGCACGAAAAGGGGTACTTCAAAATTAAATTAAGCTCAGAACTATTTGTTTCAAGGTTTTGAAATACGTGAAGGAAAGATCGGTTTGATATTACAATGTTTGATTATTTGATGAAGCTTTTTAATATTAATAAGTGTAGTTTCTTACCAAAGATTCAATATAATAATAGTACAACAATAAAATGTATTATAGGGCATTCCTTAGTCGGTAAAGTTCCACTGTAACATTTTTTCTTGTTCACTTTCGAATGTTTGTGTGTGTTGGTGGGATCAACAAATTTTGAATTGTGCATCAAACTCTATAAGCAATTAGAATAGGCAGAGGTAGGCAGCGTAGTTTTCTGAATACGAACGATTCGAATATCCATTTATTGATAAAACTTTGGCTTAGATTTACAAACAAGCTATGGCGGCACGTTGGTGACTGAGTGGGTGAGAGATTTATAAGTCTATTTGTGGGTGTATTAAAGTTGTACGCAGAAAACGCAATATCAAGCTATCGACTTAATAATACAACGTCACCATTGTGTGTTGCATATAATTGGGCGCGTGAAGGTCGTGGCGGGTGGGTGGCTGAAAGGCCAAAGGGTTTGCAAGGATATGGAGAATGAGTGTGTGTGTGTGTTTTAGACTTCGTGCCTGTCATGGCCAATGCCATTGCTATCGCATGCCTATGCATTGCTGCAGTTTGGCATTGAGGCGGACAGCCCCTCTTGTGTGAAGGTGAAAGGTTGGAGGCGCACTTGTTGCCAACCCACAGATCTAGCGCTGGCACCCGAAATGTTTAATGAAAGTCAGAAAAGGCGACAGCACTCAATCAATTACACAACAATTAAAATCAATCAAAAATCAGAAATATATTTCGTATGCAAATTGTCGGCATGTTTGCTAAAACTGCGTCTGTCTCAGCAAAAATCAAGGCGATAACACTTTCTCACACACGCACGTAACGTAAATATTTATATATACATATATTCCAATATTCAAAGATGATTTACTCTTCTTGTTGTTCTTGTTATTGGTGCTGTCTCAATTTGCAAGTCTGTCCAATCAAACTGACTCAGTCAATTGGTCAAGTGCAGCCTCACCCGCCCGCTCCATCGCCTGACGGACGGCATTTGCTGCCATCGGAGCTAATTTATATTCAGTTCGCATGATTCTCATGAAATCGAAAAAAGTCGACGAAACACAAAATTGTGTGAGTCCGCGATTTTAACACAGAAAGTAAATCAATTTAACGATATTATTTTATTTTTCCCCGATGCGGATTTAGTATTTATGCTTTCTTCAATTCCCCAGATTTTCTGGCACGCCTGCGCAGTTCAATTATCTTTGAGCCTAACCTTAGGCTTAACTGCTGTCACCATTGATTATCACTCGAGCTTCAAACTTAATTAGCAGTAGAAGTAGTATTCGTAATATGTGGTAGAAGCGAACGAACCTACGAGCTTTAAGCGCGCCTCACAACTGAGCAAGGCGCGTCGTTCCAAGCACACTTTATAGTCAATCAACGTTTGTGGCAGTGGTTCGCGCCCCTCCGAGTGACGATTGTCATATTAAGGCGTAGCGTTTGGCATTTTAACGTAACATTAGAACAAGACCATAAGAAGCTAATCAAATTACAACGGCTCCAGGCAAAAAAGCATATCAGAAAGGAATCTCCAACAAGTTATAGACATGCACAAATTATACTACGATTTTTAAATAAAAACTTATAGATTTGAATGATGATTCACTTCACTCAACCTTCAAGAATTTGATATATAGCTTTCTGGCATGAATCTTTTATACTCGAAAAATAAAAGTTATAGGAACAGCAAGTCAGTTGGTATTGGAGACTCCATCTGCCTGGCGTGATTCAGAAGCACCCGAAAAAGAAAAAGTATACAATAGAAAGGTACTGCACATTCTACTTTCTGGCATGACTCTTCAACACTCGAAAAATAAAAACTTTAGAAACACCAGGCATTTGGTATTAGAAATGCTACCTTTTTGGCATGACTCTTATATAATCGTAATGGAAAAAGGTTTAGGAAGGTAAAGGTTTAGGTCTTAAAAAAAGTATATGAACAGTGGAAAAGGCATAGAAACAGCCGCTATTTCCTTAAGCCCGTCATGCCCAACTCCATAAGAATCTACATACACATTACCGACCAATCCTTAAATCAATTTAGAAAGAAGAGCTCTTTGCTAATGTGAGCTTTTTAAGCAAAAATGTAAACTAAAAACTGCTAGCACGACTTTGCTATTTCGAGAACATTCTCATTATGAAGTTATGATGAAATTTCGTATCTGTATCTACATTAACACAGGGGTATCTATTCAGGTTATCTTTACCGCAGACATATATATAAACAAATATGTATGGCCATAATAGCCCCTTCCTCAGTAAGCTGAGTCAATAAAATTCAGGGCTGGACTTTCAACCACACAGAAATCGTCTTTCATTTATTTTAGCTGACATACGTAGTCTGAAAACTGAAATTTCAGACGCAAAAACTTTGCTAAAGCAATGAACCCTACATACACACACACACATACGTACTAACACACGTAGCGATAACGTAGAACCCATTACATTAACGCATTAGTTACTCAAATTGGCTCAAATAGCGTTATCTTACGCCTTGTAGCATATACAAAACGAATGATACTGCTGACAACTAAAAGTTCTCTAACACAGCGGCGACAGACAGTGATAACTTAAATGTGAAAAAAGCTCCACATAATGCATAACATAAAAACATTTCAGGCCACCCAAATACAAATTTGTTTAGATATTATTATGGAGTTATAGCGACGCAAATGTCATATGACTCAGTTATAGTGGAGCAAAAAAGAGAAGAAACTGGTGTACACTACGCGTGCTATTGTTATAAAACAATAGTATATATTGTCCTTCGATTTAAGATTTAAAATAGGTATCACAAGTTTCCCTACACTTAGGAAAAACCAAAATATATGATTACATTACACCAAATTTGATATAACTTGTCTTATTTATACGGATGACAACATTAATTAAAGCTTCATTTCTCATACAGCTGCCATAGGAACGATCATATCATATAGTTGCTTTTAAAGCGATTTTTACGGACTGTGGGAGAGACAGGAAAGACTAAAGGGTATATAAAAGTCAAGCTATTGCGATTTTAACGTTGTAAATATTTCATCTTCAGTTTTCAACTATTTCATCAACTCATACTTAGAAAAGTAATTGTCGAAATAAATGACGCCAAGAAGTATGATTATTTTAGTAGAATATTTAACAGTCGCGATAGTTGGGCTGTAACATTCACTCGAGTAAACTTGCTATGAAATTCGATTGACATGGTTAAGCGAATTCCAAAGTATCGTGCGAAACATGCGTTGCAAACTTTCTGGACCAAGTTATGGGCCGGATTTTTTAAAAGAGTAAGCAAATAAAGCATGTATTTGGCATATCACACATGTAAGGCACTTGAAAGGCAGATGATCCACTAGTTTATTTCCTTCGACGACATGATTCCCGATCACGTCTTGAGACTGACCTCACCTCTCACAGTGTACACAGAAGTCATAAAACGACGAAATTACACGAATTTTTAAACACTACTGCTGACAGAACAGACAGACAGAACAGACAACTGTCGAAGGGCTGCTTGCTTGCTGTTTGATTGTCAGTGCTTTGTAAACAAATAGCAAATTGTCGCATAAATAATTCATTGGGATGTCGAAAGCATCAAAGTAGTAATAGTCGCTTCCTTATATTTGTGTTTGTGCGGCAAGCCTGACTTTTGATGTGACCTAACTATGTTTTATTTTTATCAATGCAGCTATGAATAATTAATTAACCTGCATCTATACACAGACCATTAGTTGTTTCTCTTCAACTGCTACAATGCAAGGGCATAAATAAATTTACAAAATAGGCGCGTTCCATTTAAAATTGCTGGAAAGCAGTAAAAAAAAAATAATTTGCATTGATAAAGCTCAAATTATTTAAAACACGCGGCGCCGAAAAACAAAAGTACATGCAACGCACATATGTTTGTTTTATGTATGAGTCAGTTAACTAGAAAAGTAAGCTAACTTTTAAGTCTTTTTTAAAGTTCTTGATCATTTATTCAAGTCCCTAATGATCGGCAGCCAGTATGGTAGAGAACGAACACATGTTGATAGGTCAATGCCGATAAGGCCTATTTATACATACATACATGCATACACATATGTATATATATGTATAAACGTATTGCAAAAGTATTGAATAAATACAATTGCCTGCAAGATGTTCGATTGTAAGCCATATACTTGTATATGTACGTATTATAAGTATTATTAACACAGTTTGTTTTGTAGTCAAGCGAACGGGATGACGTTTCTATTACCCTTACAAGTTTAGTCGAGAATATGTTGTATGTATATGCCCGAAAATAGCATAAACGGATGAGCTGAATTATATGTATATATGTATTTATGTGTGTACAAATGTATCTATGCCGAAAAGTAGGTGATCGTGCGCGGGTGTCAAAATATCATGGAAGGCACGCTATAAATACATACATAAGTGATAAGTCCCACATAAATAATGAAGGGATGGGCGGAGGTTTTGGGTGGCAGGGTCTTCTGCAGCAAAACTATTTGGTGATAACGTATTATTAATGTAAATAAATATGAATATAAGAAAATCAAAGCTACCTGCAGTCCTCCATATCAACACCCGCACGCACATACACACACATGCATACAACGAACTAACTCACACCTACGCACAAATGTGCAGAAAAAAGTGCGGTCTGTCGTCGGGTCTGCCCACGCAAAGAGGCACAAGGGCATATGGCCATGAAATGCAAAAGTTTTTCATACTCACCTGTATAATTTTTAATAAATATATTCAATTCCCAAAAATTGTTCCGCTCGGATGCTGTTGCCGATTGCATTACTTTTCGTTGTGCGTTGTTGTTGCGGTTGTTAATATTGCATTATTATAAATGCAGGGAATAAATCAACATGTGTTGCTCATCAAATGCAAAATGTGTTCCAATACTAGATGTTTTTATTTATTAAATTATATAAAATTGAGCAAAAGCGGTAAATGTAAATAATTTAAGTAAATGCCCGACTAGCACCTTCGCCGCACAATTTCACAATGCGTGTAATTATAAAGTCTACAGGCTGTTGACATTTTAAGGACCCAGCACTGTGTTGGACAGAAAAAATTTAAGGTATTTAGCTAATTATCAGCAAATATTCGCAACAAACTGATCCGATTTATAACCATGCTTCTTTTTTATGTAATGGCTATTCACAGGAAAGACATGACGCATGCTTTTGAATGGCCACATGTTCTAGTATATCCAGGGATGGCTTTGTCAGTATTTTTTTCAAAATGCGAATCGCGATAACATGGCATTCATCGTGACGAACATTTTAATTCATAAAAGCACTTACGCTATTACAAATTTCAAGCTGGTCATACAGTTTACTTAAATACGTGAACTAATTTTCATAATTCTTTGAATCTAATTTCAATATAATATACTGAACATCCAATCGAATAGATATCGTGCTTTCGATAATAAAACACAAAGAGCATAAACAAATCCAATTTATTCAAAGTATTAACACCAAAAGCACTTTGTCCAAAAAATGATCACCGGACAACATCTCGGCATTGGTAAGTTTACAGTTGATTATTACTTATTATTATTTAATTTATTCTTTACCTACAATCAGGATCCACGAAGCCAATTTTTCCTGACGACGGCCTGTTGCATTTGTATTCTATGCGCTTTTGTCCTTATGCGCACCGCGTCCATTTGGTTCTAGACGCAAAGAACATTCCCCATCACACAATTAACATAAATCTTCGGGAAAAGCCAGACTGGTTTGTCAACAATGTTAGCACAACCGGCAAGGTTCCGGTATTGGAACTTCCCACAGAATCTGGAACTCCAACACTAGTTGAATCTCTTATTATCTGCGATTATTTGGATGAAAAATATCCGCAAAGGCCGTTATATTCTAGGGATCCACTAAGGCGGGCACAGGATAGGATACTTATCCAGCGCTTTAGTCAGTTTATTGATGATATTTATAAGCTTTTGTTGCCCAATAGCCCCACTGAGTTAGGCACTACCGATTTGTATGCCGGCTTGGATATTTACGAGAAAGAGTTGAATCTCCGAGAAACTGCGTATTTTGGTGGGGAAGCACCTGGTATGCTTGACTATATGATTTGGCCATGGTGTGAGCGCTTTCCGGCTCTTAAATATGAGCTGGGTTTTGAAATAGTACTGGACCCAAAACGCTTTGGTAATTTGGTATGTAGTTACTACAGAAGTAGTTTATTTAAATATTAACATTGGTATGCTCACAGCTTAGGTGGCGCGATTTGATGCTTGATGATACTCCTGTAAAAAAGTCCTATTTGGATGGAGAAACTCATGCAAAGTATATGCGTTCCCGTCGCGCTGGCGAGACGGAATATGATATGCTCTAGTAATGCAACAAGAGCATTTTCTCTATTTCTAAATTCTAATTTTGTTTATATTTTTCTAAATGCAGCATTCCCGCCAAGAAACCCAGGTTGTGTTAAATGGTAAAGCTATTACTCAGCTATGAACACAACTATAATTTTTGCATTTATTTTTATTGCAATTTATTTTGAATTTGAATTGTATATGAACAAAATAAAAACCAGCGGGCTAACACCTATCGCTATCGATAAATTTTAGTTCTTCCATTTATAAGCCGGCAGTCAAAAGCTTTTGGTTGTCATTTATTTTGAGAAAGTCGAATAACGAAGACGCAAACTGAAGCGATTAACAAAAGTACTTACTAAACTGGAAAACAATATGAGTGTACCACTTAAACACTTTAAGAAAGGTGAGAATTATGGCAATGGTCGCTAGAATGTCAAGGTCGCTGTACGACTACGTAAATTATTGAACATTTGTCATTAATAGGTTCGGAAAAACCCTTACTTCCCGATGATGGCGTTTTGCGTATTTACTCAATGCGATTCTGCCCATATGCCCAACGTGCACACCTGGTTCTGAATGCCAAAAAGTTACCTCATCACAAGATTTTCATCGATTTAAAGGAGAAACCTGAATGGTACACCGAATACAGTCCGTTAGGCAAGGTTCCGGCTCTTCAATTGACCGCCGTTGATGGTCAACCAGCTCTGGTTGAGTCACTCGTTATTGCGGAGTATTTGGACGAACAATATCCGGAGCCTCCGCTATTTGCTAAAGACCCGCTTAGAAAGGCACAGGATAAGATACTCATTGAGCGTTTTGGAGCAGCAGGCAGTGCTGTTTATCCCGTTTTCTTTACCAATAATCCACCAGAGGATGCACTCAAGAATCTGGAAAATGTTTTGGATATTTTTGAACAGGAGATAACCAAACGTGGCACGCCCTATTTTGGGGGTCAGCAAATCGGTATTGTAGACTATATGATATGGCCTTGGTTTGAGCGCCTTGGAGCTTTAAAGCATCTGCTACCCGATAAATACGATCTGAACCAGACACGCTATCCTAATTTGGTTAAATGGCGTGATCTTGTCGCGCAAGATGAAGCCGTTAAGCAATACGCACTGGATGGGGAAGTTCATGCCAATTTCATGCGTCTACAGCGTGAAGGGAAACCCAATTTTGATTTGGCTTTTGAAACATCGTAAAGCCCACTCCATAATATGAGCAAAATGTGAGACAGATGATTAAGCATACTTAAAATGTTCATAAAATTATTATTATTCATATTTTTTCGAAATATATTGTGTATTCTAAGTTCAACGACCAGTATACATAGTAAAGCTGAGCGCATGATAAAATAAAAAATACTCAAATTTCCCTTTGCTAAGCAACTATTAAGACATATTAATTTCTGGAATTTTGGATGCCGATTCTTTTATAACGCTTTTTGTTTTTATTGACCTAATCAATAAAAAAAAGTGCTGTGTTTTTCCACTGTTTTACTACGAGTATGTCTCGGTAATCCGAAATTTTCAATATTTCGAGGCTGGGTGATTGATTGTCCGGAATATTGAGATTTTTTTTAGTAATGCTCAATAAAAGAACGGGTTTTTATTGATGATGCTTCTTGTGGTAGCCTTATAGTCGTGTTCTTTAGTGATAATTTAATTCACAGTCAGCGACGTTAACGTTGCTATACCAAGCCGCAAGCTCACGGTTATAATTATGCTTATCGTATAGTGTATATTTAAAAAATAAATATATAACCGAAAAATTATTCATGGTCTTATTGAGAGTCAGTAGGAGGTTTTAAATAACACATAATTATATTTTTTTCTCTAAACTTGAAAGAATAGATTTTACAGACTTTAAAATGTTATGTAGGGGCTATTATTTCTATCCTAGACATCGGCTTTAACCAGCAAATCATAATTGGGGTTCCCTTCGCTGCGCGTGCGCAAGAACTCTGCCTGAACTTCTGCTTCCATATAGAAGGCCTGTACAGCCACATCTCGCTTCATACGCTCCAACCATTTTGTCTATACGATTGAGCTAACATTATTTCAGACACTTCTAGATAACTTGCGAAACTCACCAAATGTGTGAAACGTAGCTCATCATAGTTGTAGTCATCGCCCCTTTGCAACTTGAGGAGTTCCAGCCGTTCACACCATGGCCAAATCATATAGTCCAGTATGCCAGTCTGTTCGCCGCCAAAAAAGTCGGTCCCGCGCAAGCTCAATTCTTGCTCATAGATATCCAGACCACACCAAAAGGGCTCAATGTCTCCACCATCGGACGCCCTGAAGAAGGCACCCAAGACAGCACCAAATCTTTCGATGAGCAGCTTCTCTTGCACTTTCTTGAGCGGATCACGTGGATAAAGAGGGCGCAGAGGATATTGCTCGTCCAAATATTCGCATATCAATAGCGATTCAGTCAAAACAGGAGGGCCCGTCTCCCTGACTAGCTCCAGAGCCGGTACTTTCCCCTGCGGATTGATGTCATACAGCCAATCCGGCTTCTCTGTGAGATTTATGTAAATTGTATGATACGGAATCTGTTTCGCGTCCAGTACAAGATGAACGCGTTGCGCGAAAGGACAAAAGCGCATCGAGTACAGACGCAAAATGCCATCTTCGGGCACATCAGGTGTTGGCGAGCCTGACGATTAGAAATCACCATGTAGTATAGAGCATTTAAAATCTTCTTGCCTCTCACCTTTTTTTAAATGTCTGCCGTTACTCATGTTGTACTGTCGTTTGTGGACAATGGGTGCGACTGCTCCAAACAGCTGCTTATGCTTGGCTAATATATAACGTTGCCACTTGAGTGCCCTTCGCTAGCTGGTGTCTATTACTCAGCCGAACTTGAACAGCATGTCAACCTTTGTGGTTGTGGAGCATGACACTTAATTAGGAACAAGTGCAGCTAAACTTGTATAGTAGAACTATCCCATAGTGATTTTCAGGGCCTCGATAAAACGTTCATCTTAGAGAATGATATTAAAAATAAATAAATTATGAAATTAAGAGGTAGAGACATAAGAGGACAATCTTAAACAAATAGTGTTTAAATTTGTGTGGCGTGTAACAGCTTTTTTCGATTTTTTACAAATGAAGAAAAAAAGACAATGGAAAGGTTTTCAAATGACATGCATGTGTATGTATTAAAAAACCTTACGGTCATCGTTTTATTCACAATTTTGTTTTGTTTTTTTTTATATACATACATACATATGTATATTTGGATGAATTTATAACAAATAAGATCTAAGATCTAATCTAAATTATGTAGTATTTGTTTGTCATCGTCTCATTTATATGAATGAAAACAACGAAATACAATTTTTATTTATAGCTCGTTTCTTAATCCTTTAAGCATTAAGATGAGCAAAATACATTAATCCTTTATTTTTAAATCGCAAGGAACGCTTGAATACGCTTGATATACATACATATGTACATGATTGATTTGCATTTTGAAGTCATTTACTACACACGCCCTTTTTCAGATATGTAATGTAATAAAGATTACTCTAACTTCCTTCCTCTAAAAAATCAAAAAAAAAAAAACAAACATTCGTTTTAATAAAAATTGACTGTATTTCAATTGTATGCAACTTGTTTCATTAAAAGCAAAAGTGACTTAGGCCAGTAGATCATAATTGGCTTTGCCAGCTTTACGAGTTCTCCAGAATTCGATATGCTGCTCGGGCGTAACATAAAAAGATTTCACAGCAGCATCGTCTATTAGTAGGGCAATCCATTTGCTCTGCAATCGAGAATAATTTGTACTTATATATATGTATATCAACTTAGACATTTCTCCAACTTACCAGCTTGACAAATCGCTTTTCATCTAAATCGTAATTCTCCTTCACCAAGAACTTAAGCACAGGCAACCGTTCGAACCATGGCCATATCATGTAATCAACAAAGCCTGGCTTGTCTCCACCAAAATACTGAGTCCCGCGCTTAGCCAGCTCCGCCTCAAAGATATCCAGAGCTTGCCACAGATCGTCTGTACCAGCATCAGAAAAGACAATTTTCGCGTAAGCTCCCGTTACTGCTCCAAAACGCTCTATGAGAATTTTATCTAGTGCACGCCGCAAAGGATCCTTCGGCAGCAACGGATTCTGTGGATATTTCTCGTCCAAATACTCAGCTATAATAAGCGATTCAATGAGTGTGGGCTGGCCCGGTTCGGAAACTAATTCCAAAGCCGGCACCTTTGTCAAAGGACTGACTTCGACCAGCCATTCCGGCTTTTCTGTGAGATTTATGTATATACTGTGGTGTGGCACCTGCTTAACACTAAGCACAAGATGAGCGCGTTGAGCATATGGACAGAATCGCATGGAATAAATGCGCAAGACACCATCATCGGGCAGAATTGGTTTCGTCGAACCTGTGAGATAACAATTTCAAAGTCATGCATGATTTATCATTAATATTTTCGTCGTAGACAATGACAGTGAGAAATATTATTAATTTTGATAAGACTACACATGAATCGACAACTTTTGGTTCGATATCGGCCGGTTATCGAATCTCTTCATTTCTCACATTCTAAAGCATTTACACATACCATACTATATATACACACCTTTGGCCAAATGTTTACCACCGCTCATGTTGTCCTTTAAACTTTTGTATTGATTTTAACAAGTTCAGGGTTTTTCCGTTTCCTTAAATATTTATGTTGGGACAACCTTTTACTGTCAATGCCAAGCAGCAACTGAACTGTAAAAAAGCTTGCTGAGCCAACTACTCACTTTTGTATGTAGGCGAGGAAAGAGCTTTGATAAAGAATCTAATTGGCAAGTTTTTTAAAATCGTTTTCTCATTGTTGTTTATTTGCGAATAAAACGCCTTCACTACATATACGCTTGTACATATGTATGTATGTGTTTGAATATATGTATACGCATTTCGTTACTTAGATTTGTATAATCACGCTGACTGTAAATATATGTATATATGTTTGTTTGTGTATATTGTGGATTTTATAAACTAGTTTTTTAATTGAACTTCCAACTACTACACACATTTAGAGAGTTTTCAAAAAGGGGTTTCGTTCGGCGGCGACTAAAAAAACTGACTTAACCTATTTACATGTAGATTTTAAGACAATACACTCAATAGAATTCATATGTATAAAAATATAAAACGTACATACTTGAAAAATATATATATGTATATATGTAACACATCTGTATCTCAATTTACATTATCGGTGACAAGATTTAAAATGTAAGTGAAATTAATTAAATGAATTAATATATCAGCGTACACACACATATTAACTAAGCATAAAAAGCTGCAAAAAAACCATTTTAATATTGTTTTGAAATCAAATTATATTAAATTGGAACGCAATCAAATGTGTTTGCATTGCTTTTATGCGATTTTTTTTTATCAATGTCGCCTTGTTTTTACATTTAAAAGTGTACAACTTGAATTGTTTAAATTGCGCGTTGATATTACTTATGTATGTTAGTTTGTCACTTGACCTTGACTGACTAATTCGCGAGTAGGAATTAAGTTTAAAACTATGTGTAGTATGTATGTTAAAAATTCTACCGAGCGCTTTGTTTCTTGATTTGTTTTGCATCGTTGCCTGACGATCCTACCATTCGTTATTAATCTTCGTTTTTAGTTTTGTTTGTTTTCTTTTTCTATAAAATACACTATGTTGCTGCATTTTTGATCACGGTTCTTGCTGTCTCTCATATACAATTACTATATTTTGATTACTGGAACGACTTGATTTTTGAAATAGATTTTCATTCAATCTTTATCTTTCTGCTGTGTTTCTCACTCGTTGCCCAAGTTGTGTCGCATCGCGACTGTTAATTCTGGTGGAGTTCTTCCTATAGTTGTTTGTGTGTGTTTGTTTTTGTTGTCTTTGCTTCTGTTTCTGCTGTGCTTGTTGGCGCTGTTTTCTTTAGCTTGTGCCCACTGTAAATATGTCGTTGACGCATTTGAATTATGCATGCGATGACGTTGTCGCCAGGCCAGGCGATACATTTAGACCGGCGCTGGCTGGCGCTCCACTAACATTGCTGCTGGTGCCCATACCTCCACCACCGCCGCTGGTACTGCTGCGTTTGTGCAGCAACAAGGTCTGACGATTGCCACTCACGTATTTTTTATGCGCCGCAACGGCTGCTGCTGCGGCAGCTTGTTGTTGCAAATGGCTACTGGACGCAGTGGAAGTGCTTGAGGCATTGCTGAAAGTTAAAAAAAAACCGTGAATTTTTATTATAATAAACAGCATGCGTTTGGTTTTCAAATGATAAAGGTAATGAATTGTGGAAGGAGTGGAAGTCGAAAACTATTTGCATTGGTGATTTATGTGAATTTGATGGTTAATTGGTATTGACTATATATGAAATTTTCGATGTTAAAACAAACATAAAATAATAATAAAAAGGTATAATTTGGATTTAATTACTATAATATCTTATTCCGAATCCGACTCGATGCGAGAATTTAATTTGCACTCCAAACAGCAATGCCCAGATTCACAGCACAATGTAGTTAGAGGCGTTTTCAGATCTAAATAATAATGAAATAATAAAATAATTAATATAAAATAAAATAAGTCACAAAAATGAAAAAATTGAAAATAGAAGAAAATAACAAATAAAAGAAAATTATTTATAAAATACTTCTTTAAAAATATAAACAAAATACATATTTTAAAGACAAAACAAGTGGAAAAGTTAAAGTTGGGTGCTCTGATTTTGAAATACCCTGTTGCTATATATAAAATAATTGTGTACATTTTTTAAAATAGCAAAAATTTAAAACAAAGTCCCAAAAAAACATTAATTAAACAATCAAACGAGTTGCAATTGCGAATCAGGGATGATCAATAATGGACATTCTCACACATTGTCGCCACCTGTATAATGTGCACTTTATACGAACTCTGATATAAAATAAATACATTAAGATAAATTTAGATGGTCACATCCTCCACTGTGACATACACAACAAATATGAATTTTTAATAGAAATAGTAGAACAATTAAATTTAGTTGTTAAAAATGAAAATGGGAAAGTTTGTAAAAACTTTCTAAAAACATCACATTATTTATAAACATAAAATGCTGAGGAAAATGAGAATCGGAAAGATACATTTTTTTAGGACCCCCACCTTTTCTGTTCACCATCCTTTTTGCTATTAAACATGGCCAATTCGATTTCCGTGTGCTGACTGTTCATATGGCGCACCCATTCAGCAGGCGTTTCAAACGAGCTGTGTAGTATTAATACCCATTAGTCCAGAACATTAAATATCAAGGAATTCATTACTTACGTAGAGCACAAATCGCAAAGCAGGGTCACATGATCCATATTGTTCTCCTGTTGCTGGGATTTTTAAAGTTATAGATTATTTTGTTGAATATATGCTGCTTTTTGAATTTTGGAAGACTCACCGATACCCTGCGTCGTTTTTTTGGCACATAGGTCTTTAATGCTCTCAAGGCCAGATTGCTGGTACTGCTACTGCTGTTATTGTTGCCAGTGCTACTGCTTGTCATGTTGCTGCCGTTGCGTTCCCGATCTGAGGGTTCAGTGGCGTGTGTGCCCAAATGGCGTACGAGCGTTTTTGTGTCTTCAAAGGACTTTTGACATATCTCACAAACAAGCAACTTAAAGTTGTTGTAATCGCGCAGTGTGTGTTCCTCGGGCTCATCCTGTGGCGAGGCACGATTTGCTTCCAGCTTGACAGCGCTCATTTTAAAGTCAAGAGGCTGTTTGGGTGAAAGCGGCACCTCATTATCGACTTCATTGACTCCACCAATGTTGTTGCTGTTGGCCGTTGCTGCTGGTGGGTTGTTTGACCAATCGGTTGGTTCCTGTTTGATGGTAAGAAAATTATGAGGATGCGGTGGCGTGGACAAGCGGGACGGGGTTGGATCTCCAATATAGGACTTTGCAACATGTTCATAATGCGGCGCATCATGACCGAAGTATTCGTGAGCTGGAGAAATTGAACATTTAGCGGATACTTAAAAGAATAAACAATGTCACTCACCACGCTCGCATGCACTTTCACGACGCAATCGTCGCTCGTAAACCAAACCAACATCGTCACGATCGCACAGGGAATGGTCATCGGGAATTCGTTCGCCATATTCACGACGGCGCAGAGACACCTCGGCATCAGTGGACGGCGCTGCCAATGGGCAGCTATTGCAGCCGACTTCCGTGCAAATGGACATTGGTGTGGATGTTACAGTGCTCACTGGTGGTGCCGTGGATAGACCTTCGACTTGGCTTGGCCCATAGCAGCACTTATCCTCGGGATCTATGGCCACCTCCTTGTTGACGGAAATGCCACCACTACCACCACCGCCCCCTGGGAGAAGTTTACTGCTGCTTGCGACACTCAACAGACCCGCATGGGCCGCTATTTTAGGCGACTTCACTATTACAGGACTGTCCTTGGGCATTACGGAGGCGCCCAGACCACGGAATTGCTGCTGCTGATGGTGGTGTTGATGTGTGGTATGATGATGATCCAGGCCGTAGCGTGTTGAACTGCAATTGCTGCTGCTTGATTTGTTGACATACATATCACTGGGAAGCTGTGTGGACATTGACGAGGGTGGCGGCGGAGGAGGCGGTAGCCCCGAACGCGTACCATTTGACACGTATAATGCATTGGCATCGCGCTGATGCAAATGTCCTCCGTGCCCATGATGATGATGTGCCGAAGATGTCGCTGTTTGTGCATTGCTGCTGCCGCTGCTACTGGAAGCACTGGTGCGACAAAGTCCACGAATTTTAAGGATCTCTCCACCGCGAAGAACTTCGTTCAGAATGTCGTTGGACACTGTGGCTTCGCCACTGTACATGTATTGCACTAGTATTTGTATTGCTCGGTGGCTGAGATCCGGCGGAAGCACTATATAGAGCACGCCATTAGGCGAGGTAATCGGCGCTGTCTCAAACATGGTGGCGAAGAACTGGCTGCAAGAGCTGAGGATAAACTTGTGGGCCGATATGCCAACCGTTGGAATGTCCGAGTTGACGCTGCTATTGCTATACGAGCTGTACAGTACGACATCGGCGAACTTTTCATTCCTATGAAATTCATTTATAGATTAAAAGGTAATGGGAATATATTAACCATTTCGTTCCCTTACTTGTAAAGCGTTGCAATGGAAGTATTTAAATAGGACAAATGTGAGTCCCATTTAAGATGATAGTTTTCGGCGGCCATCTTCGGGCCCAAAGCTATGTTTATGGCCTACGCCTTCGCCTTGCTCCGACCTGCTTCGCTGCCTACAAAAAGAGAAGCACACATAAAGAAAATCGATATTAAAATCAATAATTGGCGCGAAGTTTTGCGTATTTGTATAATGTTCGGTGCACAGGGCTGCAGGTCCCAACTTGTCGTTTTACAGCACTGAGGAGTGGGCTGGTATTAATCGTTATCGAAAATGCACCAATGTTTTTTGTTTATTTTTGCGGATACATTTTCATATCAGAAAAATTTTGTTTACAATGAGTGGTGGCAGTGGCACAGATTTTGATGTGCATCTAATTGATATGGTACGTGCGAATCCTGCACTTTGGGTGCGGGATCTACGAAGCACTCCCTACGACCACACCAAGAAAAAGAAGACGGAATTGTGGCGCAGCATAGCCACTTCGCTCAAGGCCGATGGTAAGTAAAATAAAAGCTCTGTAGTTGTAATAAAAAAATAACTGGGGAGTCGTAGTCAACACTTGCATAACGCGCTGGAAGCACCTGCATGAAAAACTGTTAAGGGAATTGCAGAAAGAGCAGGCAGGTGGCGTAGGCTCAGACTGGACGCTGTTACCAAAGATGCGGTTCGTAGAACAGCATCAAAAACATCACAACACCGAACGACAACAACAATCACACCCATCCTCTCCAATGCAAAATGTGTCTGAAAGCTGGCGCTCACTAAATCCGGAGCAGCTTATCGAGGAGGTGCACGATGAGGATGACCCTCTACAGGAAGCAATGGACGAGCAACGAGATTTGGAGGCGAACGCAGCCCCCATTGTAGTGCAGGAGGCAGCCGTTACGGCAGTCCCAATTATCTCAACACCTCATGTCAGTGCAGAGCTATTGAAGCGCATTGAATCGCTGCTAGAAGGTTTGGGCGCCACGAATCGTATTAAGGCAGAGAAACGCATTGTTGCTTATCTATGTAAATGCAATTTACGCGCACTCAACGATGAGCAAATCGATGATATATTTATTTAAGTAGTCAGAAGAAGCTCATCCATAGCATAGTTCGATTTTAATTACTAGAAGTTTGTCATAGCAATTAAGTGGACGCACTGATTTCGATTTGCATTACATTTAGTTTTAATTTAAGTAAATGGTTGTCAACATTTAAATCAAACCAATTAACTGGTAACGATTTACATATAAAAGCTACTATGTTTGGAATGGGATGAGGGTTGTAAAGGACCCAAAAAATCGAATTCAACCACGCCAAAAAACTCCTACTATGACGCAGTTAGATGAAGTGTATGTTGCTCTATTGGTCAAAGAGTGCGCGCGCAAGTAACAAAACATGTCTGTTGTGCTTGTTGCAAAAAGAGGCAAAGAGGTATGTGGGTGGATGGTGGTGCCGCGGACGACGCTAAACAAGCATTTAGTTTATTAATTTGATGACTCTACACAAGCATGCAATATTAGCGAAACAAAACATAACACAACGAGCAAGGCGCGTCAACGCTACGCTCTCCCTTATCCCCTGCCCCCATACTGCCATAACACAACAAAGAGCTGGGCTGGGCAGGGCGAACACCCTTAAATGACTTCCAACCTAATACAAGCGTCGGCTGCCTCAGCTATTGCTCCTGTCCCGCGCAACCGCCTTCCCCATCCTGCCTACAGTTTATGTGGTGTAGCGTATTAACACCAAATTATTGATTGATTTCAGTTCACACAAAAATCGATAAGCACGCAAAAGTAGTTAAAATATTGTACAGTTATATGATAACGCTTATTTCATTTCACATAATTTTTTATATTAGCCAGTAAGCACTGGTATTTAAGGTAATTATTTGCGTTGTTTTTTAAATTCGCGCTCAAATTTTACATTTGATTTTAAATTTATGTATTAAAATTAATCCAAATTCACCTTGATTTCGAAATATTTTGCAATAGTTTTATATGTTTGTATTTTTAATTAAACTACTTTTTGAATTTATTTTATTTTCCTTTTGTGCAATACACGCGTTTTGTACAACTTGTTTTTGTTATTTTAGTACTTTAATGATGCACAACACACAACACGATTATAACGAGGCGCGCATAGAAAAGGCCGTTGCTTGCAGGTGCAGAGCAAACTAAATTCTGCCACAGAGGACTTTATTACAAGTCCTCGCCGCTGGCTGGCGATGTACACATACATATATGAAATGCATGCGTGTGTGTGGTCGTACTCAAACAAAGTAGAAAGCACGCGCGGGCGCCAAGAGTTGTTACGGAGAGAGCGTGTGTGAGAGAGTCCGGGCCTAGCGTTCGAGAGAACGAGCAGTGGAAACACTCACGTGCGCATTGTTTTTGTTGTGGTGGTTTGATGTCGAAATCGCGTATTTGGTATAAGCGCGGGCAAAATTGATTTTATACGAAATATTGATTTTCAATGCGCGACTCCTTAAGTTCAACAGCCGTGTCCTCACATAACTTTTTGCTTTCTTCAGCAAATTCTTCTGCTTTGTCATCATCTTTAGGTTGAGTATCGTTCTCAGTTTTTTTTAAAGCATTCTGCTCCAGTTGTATTTGACTTGCTGTAGAGGTATCCAATTTCAGCAATTCTCGTAATAGCATTGTCGCATATGCCGCAGTGGGTAATGAGAATTCCAACAGTAGTGCCGTATATTTGGTTTCTGGTTCGGCGGGCACAGGCGATACCGGAATATGGTTCAGCTGCTCCCAGTCAGATGCAATTAAGGTATCTTCTGGTGTGCCATAGCGACGGAATTCCCATTTCAAATCGCTCGGCTGTATTAGTAATTTTCGATAAGCACCGCCTAGAGCATAGGTTTTGTCCTTATGACGCAGTAGATCCGAGGAAAGGCCCGCTTCGGCAAGCATTTCTTCGTACCAAGTGCTGCACTCATTGCTCGGATAAGTGATATCGTAGCCTGGCAGTGGAAGTACCACATCAGTGAGCTTGTATGTGCCACTGGCCACGTCTTCTGCAGTCAAGGATCTGACTTTGCGTTTGAAAATTGATTCCTCGCCATCAAGCTGATTGTCCTCGTCTGTAATCTCTGCAGTAATCGCATCTTCTTCGGACGGCTTTTCTTCCGACCCAGCATTAATTGATTCGCCGCCCATAGCTTGATTTTCAGTTTCATTTGAGTCCACATACACTAAATCGCCGCAAATCACTTTCATTCCAAACTCTCGAATACGTCGTGATGCAATCCGATTGAATATTAGACTCTGATAAGCATGTGGATATAGAAGTAGCATATTCCGTGGAATACGACGCAGAGCCGCTGCGTAGTCATGTTCCCCAAACCTGGCCAAGCCATCCAGCAGTTTTTTCTCTATAAACTTATCCCCATGAAACATTGCAGATGCGGCAGCAGAGTCTCGATTCTTCCACCATGTCTCGCGTATTGAACGCATAAATTCAATGTCATTATCACGGGGCTTTAGTATCAGTTCACAGGCCAGTTTGTAATCACGTTTGAGCAACGCAATTCCCACTTCATAGGTCGGCACATTTGCACTATTGCCGAATCGTTGTAGCCCATAATAGTTGATGAAGCCGCGTTCACGCAACGACTGAAGCGCTTTCTCCACTTTCGCAGGATCCTCGGTGATGTGACGTAAAGCAATGCGAAAATGATTGCCATTCAAGTCTCCCAACTTAAGCGTTGTGGTCTGAAACTTGAAGTTACCAATGTTCACATTCTGCATGCCACGCACAGCGTTTGCAATGCTCTCGGGCGAACGGCGTTTTATGCAAAAGTTCTGAGTGGTCTTGGCACGTTTATCCTTGGTCCCACAGTAGTTGACTTGAGACGGACGCAAACTGTAATGAAAATACACTTGCGAATTAGCAGGTATTTAGTTAAATAGGATTCTCAACACACTTAAGACGAGCAGCTAGCGTGGCAGCCACCTCACTGGTATCGGTGTTCGTCTTATGCACCAGAAAGGTTACAAACTCGGCCGGAAAACTCCATCGATTGTCACCTATTTGAAAAAAATGTTAATTTACGAAATTTCCGACCCATCTCAGTGCACTAACCGCGTCCCGGCTTCGGTTTCATTATACGTATCGTCCTCTTTTCCTCTCCAGCTTCAGACGGCACCTGTTGCTGTTGTAGTGGCTGTGATTGTCCAAGAGTTGTGGAGATTAGTTTGCCTTTATAGAACTGTTTGATCAACTGATGTATTTGAGTACGTTGTTCTTTATCGATATTGGTAACATCAATTTCCAGCACCTGCTCGCTGCTTATTTTGTAATTTGCTGCAGCTAGATCTGCCATATCTTGCCAATGTTTCTGCCCCACTACGGACTCCAATTGTTTACGCCATTCATCCAATTGCTCTGGCGCAACACATGGTACTGCAAGTTAATAATATAATACCATATGCATTGGCTATAGAAAAAACTTACAGGTGTCCACACGTGTTGGTACTTTTAGATCGTTCAGCACAAGCACATTGTCACTGCTGTCGATTTCGTTCACATGGAAATCGGAGAAGCGTGACTTTAGAACACCCGTAAAACCTGGTAAGTCGGGGTTGGTAAATTCTGTAATGCCCACTTGGTTTTCGCGCAATGTTGATTTAGGCTGCAAAGTCCTGAAAAAATAGTAATCAAATTAACGGAAGTGTTTAGGCAAACACGCCGGCTAATTTCTATTACCTGTTGAATGAGTTCCCGGAATTATGTTGTAAACGTTCTTTTTTCTGTCCTCGCCAATTGTTTTTGTTGTAAGGCTTCGACTGAAATCGTTTGCGTCCTTGTTCCTTACCCATTTTATTCAACCGACAGATAAAAACACAACAAAATTGAGCACAAACCAACTGAGCCAAAAGCACGTTTGGCTTAGATGGCCATTCGCCACGGTACACAGACATCAGCTGATTTGACATTCACAATAAAAAACGACGTAATTAGTAATTCCTACCACCACACGACTATACGACGTATATATGTACATACTTCACAAGAATTTACTCATGTAGTCGCAGTCAGCTTTTCTTTTGTATAATGTAATAATTGCAAAATGTGCTTAGCTAAAAGAAATAGTTAAATAAACTTAAATAATGCTACCCTACATCAGCCCAGAGGAAAACGTGGTGCCTATGGCGAGAAAAGTGTATATTAATCCAAATTTCAGAAGCCAAGTGTCAAGAGCTGTAGTTGTGAGTCAGCAACAACAATATGCGATACCAATACCAACGCTGCAAGGTCATATTGCGCATCCAACCATAGCTCAGCCTGCCATACATATAAATCCCTATTTTCTTCAAAGACAATATCAATTGGCTTTCAACAATGCGCCTTTCCAGCAACAAGTGTCAGAATATCGCAATGTAGCTGCTGCTGAGATATCTGTACCAGTGCCAGCTGCTAAAATTATAAATAAGGCCAGTACTTCGATTGTCCGTAAACCTCGTGTGGGTATTTCTGCTATAAAGGCCACTTCTGTGCCAGTTGTTCAGCCCCCCCTACTAAGCAAAACAAAGCGCAAAATTGTGCGACAAGGTGCTAGTGTTAGCAGTAGCCCTAAACCAGCTTCCACAGCAACAAAAACGAATCCACCTCCGCCCCAAAAACGAACAAGATACAAACTTGTGCGGGCCATCTCTCTAACCTCCACTAATACTCCATTGGTGAAGAAGCGCCGTAAATGCGACTTTGTCGGGCGTTATGCTTTGAGGCGCAGCAGCAATGGTACAAATCCTGCTAAGAAATTGAGGTAAGTCTGTAGAAAAGAATGAGACATCGCAAACTAATGTTCTACATCTCCTCTGAGCAGCTTAAAACCGCATGTCTTGAGACCAAGTGTTAACAAATCTTTGAGCATGGTCAGCATACATGGGGTTATGTATAAGAAAACTGCTAAAAATAAGTTAACCAAATTGGAAGCAAATGCCACCGCAACAGTTGCCAAATCTTCGCCATCACTCAAAGCAACGCCCTCAGCTCGCACTCTGTTTGTGCGTGGCACAAAATTTGTCTTGGATCCGTCGGGCTGTCGTCTCACACGTGTACCTGTAAACACAATATCAACTCATCTGCCCGGAAGAACTAGCAGTCCAATGCTGCGACGCATCGATATCGGTGGTCTCACCTATGTGGCCTCTGCAAAGGCACAAAATGTCTACATACGTACCACAAATCATGTATCTCGTGCCCATCTAATGACTGCCAAACAGCGCAGCTTGCAGCTCCTTAATCGATCACTGGTAAAAACCAACATACCATGTGCAATCTACCAACGATTGGGCAAATGCGCTGCCCATGGTCGCGGTAGATGCCGCAAGTTGCACGATAAGCGTCAAGTTGCCATCTGTTCAAGGTTCGTGCAACCAGTATACCACTATCTCTGCAACGAAGACAAAATGTCGGCCATTGATTGCAAGGATATTTTAAATCTCTACTTGTTATGGTATTTTTGAGTAGAAGCCTTAAATTTGCTTGCTGCTTTTGTGTTGCTTTTTTGCAGTTTCCTACGCGGCGAATGCACCAAATCAGATTGCCTACTCTCGCATAATGTGACGCTGGAAAAGATGCCTGTGTGTCGTTATTATTTGCGCGGTGCCTGTGTACGGGAGGACTGTCCATATTTGCATAAAAAACTCAGTCGCAAGGCTGAAATATGCGTTGACTTTGTGCGTGGCTATTGCGCACGTGCCGCTGAGGTAAGTTGTGTCTCCCATGTGGATAACTGTTTTAACTCTCTTTCAATTTTAAGTGCAATAAACGTCATGAGTTTGTCTGTCCGGAGTTTGCGCGCAATGGCAAATGTGAATTAACAAGTTGCGCCTTTTGCAAACACAGGACCAAGACAAAATCTAATGTCGTCCCGTCACCAAAAACTAAAAAGGTCCCAAAACCAAATGTCGTAGTGGTCCACGATGTTGCAACCACCCCCTCCTCCGTTCTCGATGAAGCATCATCCATCACCTCGCGTTACTTCAAGTGTGATGACATCGTAACTATAGATAAACTGGAAGAGCTGCCACCCACCGAATCCGCTGATATTTTCCATATCGATGAACAAATTGAAGATGGTAATGCAACATCCACAGCCAACTTGCGCCAACGACCCAAATTGGGTGCACTGCCCGCTTTTATACCACTGGACGAGGACTGATAGTGAATGGCGATCGCGTTGGACAACACGTTTCAGGTACAAATTTATTCTTTTAAGTTAAAAAGTTAATATAGTAAATAATAAGTTTTGGGTTTCTTAATTATTAATTAGTTCCTAGGTCAGTAAAAGGCTTAAAAAAATATTAATAAATAAATAAACACAAAATAAGTATTTCATAATATGTCTGTCGTTTTCATTGCCATTGGATTTAAATATAAACCAAAATTGTGGCTTTTATCCTCAACAGAGGCCAACTCCAAATATTAAAGTGGGATTTATGCAAATGATTTTGATTTGTAAGTGATTTTACATATACTGTAATTATATTTTGTAATAAATATATTAATTTTTTTTATTAAATCAACAACCAACAAAGTGTTACCCAGTGAAGTCCAAATGGTCGTTGCTTCAAGTGATTAAAATTGTTATATATAAATCTATTAAAAATCAGTCGCAGGAATACCTAATATTATGTATATTACAAAATTTGATATACATAGTTCAAATTCAAAGTTTGAGAAAAGAACAAATGTTACATTTATATTGTTTATGTATGTCTATTATACATGCCCTAAAAAGAGCATATGGATTAACTTCAACCGTGATTTATTCGAAACTCCACTTCGCAGACTCTGTGCAGATTTAATTGTAAATCTATTTACGATCCTTTTATTTTTATTGTAAGTAAACCGTCGTACAGCACGTACCCTTTAGGCTATAATAAACTAACAAAATTGGAATAATATTATTAATGAACGGATAATTTATAATTCTTATACAAGCATTTTCAAAAGCGTGCATTCGTCACTAGCGCAGATTTCTTCATTTACACTTCGCAAACCCTTAGTGAAGCTCTAGAGCACAATTTAATCAGTTTATGATCCTTTTTTGCTGTCATACTTAGCGCACCGTTTTGGTTTTTAGGGGTCAAGCGCAGATAACATCTAATCAGGGGTACTTTTAGATTAGGTAGAGAACTGTAGTAGCCGTTCTGCCTGCCTGTCGCGCTAATTATCATCGGTAGGTAGAATCGAGTCGGGAGTGCTGCAACTGCTGTTGCGGTTAATTTAGTTTAAGCTGCGATTCGACCGAGCGCGGAACATGAGGCCGTCTCTTCTATCAGCGATTGTGGTGTGCTTAGTCTTTGTGGGAACCGCAACGAATGGCGATCCGCTGCTTGTTGACTTGCCCGTTGGCACAATACGCGGACGCGATAACGGCGAGTATTACAGCTATGAGTCCATACCATATGCAGAGCCGCCAGTTGGTGCACTAAGATTTGAGGCCCCACGTCCGTACGTGCGCCAATGGTCTGAGATATTTGATGCAACCAAACCGCCGGAGCCTTGCATGCAATGGGATCAGGACACAGAGGGACGCAACAAACTGCTGGGTGTTGAGGACTGTCTAACCGTAAATGTATATAAGCCGAAGAATGCAAGCCGGAGCAGCTATCCTGTGGTGGCTTTGATTCATGGAGGCGCCTTCATGTTTGGTGCAGTTCGCCAGAATGGACACGAGCATTTTATGCACAGCGGGAATGTGATTGTGGCGAAGATGAATTATCGACTGGGCCCGCTTGGCTTTGCCAGTGCCGAGGACGACACTTTGCCAGGCAACTACGGACTCAAAGATCAGCGCTTGGCATTGCAGTGGATTAAAGAGAACATTTATCGGTTTGGTGGTGAGCCCGAAAATATTCTAGTGCTGGGCTTCTCTTCCGGTGGTGCAGCCGTACATTTACATCTTTTACGTGAGGATTTCAAGGAATTGGCCAAGAGCGCTGCCTCGTTTAGTGGCACAGCATTGAATCCATGGGTTATGATGCATAATGCCCGTGCCCGGGCCTTTGAATTGGGTCGTATTTTACGCTGCGATAAGGTGACCAATTCAATGGAACTGAAGAGTTGCTTAAAGTCGAAGCCGGCGGCTCAAATTGTAAGTGCTGTACGTAACTTTCTGGTCTTCGGCTATGTACCGTTTACCACATTTGGTCCAGTTGTGGAGCCCATCAACGCGCCAGACGCTTTTCTCACGCAACCACCCAGGGAGATTATAAAGAGTGGAAACTTTTCTCAGATTCCTTGGCTCGTCTCCTACTCCAGGGAGGATGGTGGCTACAATGCTGCCTCGTTGCTGGCACGTCAGCCCCACCATGGCGAAGAACTTATCGAAGAGCTCAACGATCGTTGGCATGACTTGGCGCCCTATTTATTATTTTATCGTCACGCAATGAAGACCGTTGAGGAAATGGATGATTACTCGGTGTCGCTTAAAAGACGTTATATGGGAAACCAAACATTTACTTTAACAAGCTACCAATCGGTCCAACGCATCTTTACCGATGTTCTTTTCAAGAATGGCGTGGAGGAGGCCCTGAACCTACATCGTCAGCACGGACGCAGTCCCATCTACGCATACGTCTATGATAATCCCGCTGATCTTGGCATTGCACAAGCGCTGGCAAAACGAAATGATGTCCACTTTGGTAAGGCAGACAAGTTATTCATCTGTGGTCTATATATTAACTGATTGATCGTTCCTTTCAGGCACTGTGCATGGCGATGATTTCTTTCTGATCTTCGCCAATTCCATCCGTGATCCGAAAATGCGTCCAGATGAGCAAACGATTTCACAGAATTTCATCAAAATGCTGGAGGACTTTGTCCGAAGCAGTGACGGGAAATTGTTTTATGGCAGTTGTGAGTTTAAGAATAATGTAAACGAAAAACAATTTCAGTTGCTGTCCATCACACGCAATAATTGTACAAATAAGAAATTGGAGCGATTTCCATAGAGCCTGAAAATATGCTTTATACAAATTAATGGAATAAATATACTTCATCAACAAGCAGTTTAATTTGTTAAATCATAATGTGCATACGATTTTCTGTGCTGTTGTGTGCTGGTTGAAGAGCTGATATATAGCTCAAAACAAAATCCAAAATAGGAATCAATCGCGAAGTATTCTATATCATTCTATTCCATATCATTCTATGCCATGCTTACTTTATGTTCTGCACGTTACTTTTCTTCACGTTTTACTTCTTAAAAATAAGGAAGCTAATATTAATCTTTGGGGTAACATTTGATTAATCTCCCTATAATTTAAAGCACTCTTCCTTTTAGTACCTTTCACAATTTTACTAAAACGTGTGACACTCATTATTTCAACATATCAAAAAATCTAAGTAATTTTTAATTGATGTCTTAGATTTAAAAAAACCTCTTTTATGGATTAGAAAAAGGGTTATATTGAAATTACAAGAGTGGTATGGAGAGAACAAAAACAATAATAAACTAAGAGGGCAGAGGAGTCTACATCAACAAAACAAAGCCCACAAGGAAAGATATTATTAAGCACTGTTGACACATGAGCAATTTTTCAATATTAAAATGTATATTTACAAGATATCGCCCCTTGTGGGTACTGAACTCTTGATATGCTTTATGATATGAGTGTAAGGAAACATTCTTTGCCATCTATTATTTGATATTGACTCCAGCTAATTTTTTATTTACCTAGTCTTTGACTGTGACAACATATATTCGTATAAATATTATAAACAATACAATGAGAACACTTCTACACTGAAAGTGTTCCATGGGGAATGTTTCGTAAACGTCAACAAAATTTATCTTTTAAATGTTGTTAAGATCGCTTTTTATACCAGATTCAGTTTGTATTTAACAAGAATGAGGGGGTTTAAATAAAATTGCTCCTGTAAATAAAACGAGTTTGAACATATTCAAAAGCAAACACGTGAGCCTCAACGTTTATTGTCCGACAAGTCAGATCATTTATATTATAACTGGCCAACAAGAGGCTTGAACTCAATTTCAACCACTTGTATAACTCAGTCGCAAAACGGATTTCTTAACAACTGGTTGCCGAAAACAATGGATAGACTTTTCATATGGATATTGCTTATTTTATCTGCTCTGACTGTGAACAGTCAAGTTATAGAGCTGCCTTTTGGCAAGTTACGTGGGCGAGACAATGGACCGTACTATAGTTACGAGTCCATACCATATGCAGAGCCGCCACTGGGAGAATTACGGTTCGAATCGCCCCAGCCATACAGGCAAAAGTGGGAGAGTATCTTTGATGCCACCAAACCACCAGAACCATGCATGCAATGGGATCAACTTTACGAAAATCCTGAAAATAAGAGCAAATTAGAAGGAGTGGAGGATTGCCTCACAGTGAATATCTACACCCCGAAAGCAAATAAGGGACCTCACCCGGTTATAGTCATTATACACGGTGGTTGTTTTATGTTTGGCGGCGTCAAAAACTATGACATAGGACGATTTACAAGCTTGGGCAATGCCATAGTGGTGGCCATAGCCTATAGAGTGGGCCCTCTTGGATTTCTAAGTGCTGAACACAAAGACCTAAGCGGTAACAACGGGTTAAAGGATCAACGGTTGGCATTGGAATGGATACATGAAAACATTGCCTTCTTCGGAGGAGATCCTCAGAACGTTCTTCTCGTGGGGCACTCCGCAGGTGGCGCTTCTGTGAACTTTCAACTCTTGAGACCCGATTTCCATAGATTAGCCAAGGCGGCTGTCTCTGTAAGTGGAGTGGCCCTTAATCCTTGGGCTATGCCAAAACAGGCTCGAGAGCGAGCCTTTGCCATTGGCGACATGCTGGGCTGTGATCACAGATACATTGCAAAGAAGCTCAAAAAATGTTTGCAATCCAAGCCCGCTGAGGATATTGTCTCTACTGTGCAGCAATTCCAGGTTTCGGGCTATGTGCCTTTTACTATGTTCGGCCCTGTGGTTGAGGATGTGGCCGCACCAAATGCTTTTGTCACCCAACATCCCAGAGAGACAATGAAGAGCGGATCATGCTCCCAAGTTCCTTGGCTTGTAACTTACACAAAAGAGGATGGTGGCTATAACGCCGCCACACTTTTAGAGAAAGATCCCAACACTGGACAGGAGATTATAGAAGTTTTGAATACACAATGGTTAGACTTGGCGCCGCATTTGCTCTTTAATGGACAGCAGGGTCCGTCTACTTACGCCCAATCGCTGGAGATTCGTCAGCGCTATATGGGAAATCGTTCGTTTAATATTGCTAACTATCCGGCCTTGGAAAAGATGTTTACCGATGTGCTGTTCAAGGATGGCATTGAGGAGACAATGAAACTGCATCGGAAACACGGCCGCAGTCCTTTATATGCTTTCATCTACGAAAATCCGTTACTCTTCGGAGCAGGACAGATTTTGTCAAAGCGCACTGACTATCAGTTCGGTAAGGCCAACAAAATAATGTCCTGCTCGCTGATATTTTCGATATCCATATTCAGGTACTGTGCATGGTGATGACTTCTTCTTGCTTTTTCCACTCTTGAATGTTGGAAAAGAGTTGCGTCCAAATGATCAATCAATATTGGATAAGTTTCACAAAATGTTAATTGAATTTACCTTGAGTACGAGGTAAGTTGTATGTATATAATTATAGTCTATACTGTAACAGGGAACGGCATGCTAAATATATATAATATATGGAACCCGTTTTATAGGTCATACTGCATATATTGTTTCGTTATTATTCCACAGTGGTGACTTACAATACGGAACATGCCGTTTCATTAACAATAGCAACGAGCCGTATCTACAATTGATGAACATTACTAGTGACTCTTGCCAAAATGTTGCAGTCAAAAGTTTACCTTAAATTTTTAAAGGAGTTGGATTGAGAATTAACAATTCACCAGTACGTTTTTTTAGTCATTTTTATTTGTTGTCTTTAAGTTATAGAAAGAAGCGTTGCTGTTTGTTAGCAATTCCAATTAAAAGGTGGGACAAGCTATTGTAACTATTGCATAACTGAATTAATGCCAGAACGGAAATCCCAGAGCAACTGTATGTATTTGTTGAAACGAAGAACGGAAATGAATTTTATTATGAAGACATTTTGAAGCGAAGAAACCCTTGTCGGTAATCTTTGTTGAAAATAAAAAAAACATTTTTCGAGCTTTTTTTTAAAGACACAATAAAATAACATTTTATGATTTCAATTTCAACTGCAATTAATAAATACCACACCGTATTGGTGTGTTCCAAGTAAAATGCCTTTGTTCAATTTCAATAATAATTTCAGTGGAAACTATTAGCTAAAGGAGCGACGTTTGGCCTTGAAATGGATAACGCAAAATGTCGCTTTTCTTGGAAAGGAAATGCATAGTATCTTACACTAAAGAAGACGGTGGCTATATTGCCGCCACACTATATGGGAAATCGCAGTTTTAATCGGGCTAACTATGGACTACTGCAAAATGTTCAACTGAAGCAACAAAACTTTATTAATTATATGGAAGCAGCCCCTTATATGTATATATTTACGATAATCCTGCAAGTATCGGATAAGTACAGCTACTATCCAAATAAACTTCTTACATTTCGATAAGTCTTACTTATACAATGTATAGACGACACGTTTTATATATTTGTAAATTTATCAGCATAATAGGAATAGAAAACTTAACCATAACAGGCAGTGGAACCAATGCACGTCACTAATTCTTACACAGACATAGTTTAATTCTAACTATATAGTTGGTTTCATATAGCTCCCATAGAACTGATTGTCCTCAACATTATATTAAGTTTCTTGGACCGGCGGTCAGTTTTTTATTTAATAAAAAATATCAACTAATTCTTTACTAAGGAACACTCTACAATGGGAGTTAATATATTAGACCGTTCATTATTTTAAACATCATTCACATGTGCAACGCCACTTGCCTAAGGAAAGGTGAATTTACCCATAAATTATTTTGGAAAGAAAAAACTATTATAAAAAGAATAAATAAATAAAAAACAGTCTCATTTTTGACAGAACACAAAATGAGACAATCATATTTGTTGCTTAATTTATTCACATAATGGACAACTGAGGCAAATCGAGTGTACATACAAGTGCCATAACTTATAGGGCATCGCCACAGAAGATAGCTTCCTCCTCACTCTCATCGGTGTCCGCATCCTTGCCCTCTACATTGCCATAAAGGTCGATTTTGCTGTCCAGGAAACGAAAATCTTTTAAAATATGGAGCTTATTACTAAAGCCAGAGATGGACATGAACTTGAAGGGTGTCGTCTGCCACACGCTGGAGTAGCAGGCCGTATGCTCCACAGGTATATTGGACTGCAACGCTCCATTAAGTGTGTAGAACTGTACATGATTATGTTCTCCGCCGAGCAGCACACAATCATCCACAAAATCACAAACGTGCACACGACCGGGGAAGTCCAAGGTACGCGTGCATTCTAATGAACCCAAATGCCATATGGCTGGTCTGGGACCACCGCCACAAATTAGCCAGTCATCGTTGACGGCAACGGCACCAATCCATTTGCCCCAATCGGGTCGCAATAGTTGTGAGTTTTTATGGGGTTCAAGCATGGCTGTCTGTTCCTTTTCCTTGTCGTTCCAAAAGCGTACAGTGCCATCCTCTGCGCCGGAATAGATGCAACCATTTGCATTGCCCACGACGCAGTGCACATAGTCAGTGTGGCCGCGAAATTCACGCTGAATTCGTCCATCCTCCAAGCTTATTTGGTAGATGACGCCATCCCCACAGCCCGCATACAATGTATCGGTATCAGAGTGCAGCCACATTGAGTTGACATCCGGCACCTCAACCGCGTCCACCTGCATTGGTATTTTGACTTCCCACGCTCGTTTTGTACTAAGCAACTGCTCCTCTTCATTCCACTGCAGACCATAGATCAGACCAATGGCACCCACAATGAGATAGTCCCGATGGAAGGCAAGGCAGTTGATGTCCACGTCGCTGCCCTGTGCGCTTAATTTTAGCTTGCCTGGTGGCTCCTCTGTGCCCTTATCCAGCTCCTTGAGGCTATGCCAATGAAATGTTTAGCTGCCTTTTTATACTCATTTAAATTGAAATACTTACTCAAGAATAAAAATGTCGCCGAGGAGATTGCCACAAAACAGAAATCGTTGCGATGTGGATATGGTTTGCGAGAGTACATTATTATAAGCACGTTTAAGATCTTTTTCCTTCATATTAGTAATCTTTACTCAATATCGTATAATAAAATGGAAATTAACAAACACCGCGTTGTTTACGCCGGCATGCTACTTCTTACCACTCAAGCATTCACAGTTATAACAAACATTTATTCAAAGTAATTTCAGCGGTGTTGCCATACTGTCAATATATTAAAGTACGTTGAGTTTGCGAAATTTAAAAGGCTGCTCAACAAGTTTATGAGCTTTATTAAAGGAAATACACGTAATAAGTAATATATAATGAATTGACATATTAATTGCAATCGCTGATTCAGCTAATTTGCTTTGAACTTTTCTTTTTTTTGCCAATTTTTATATATATATGTATATATATATATGTATGTATGTATGTACGTAAGTATTTGGATTTTTATTAATTTTGCCCCGGCCGTTCAAGTAATTACGGCATTTTGCATATTTAAATTGATAACAATTGAAAGTTAATGTTCTCGGCGGCACATGTCGCCATACTAAATGCAAAACAATTTCGAAATTATTGCCATGTGCGGATAGGATGCGTCACGTGCTTGGACTCGAGTTCAGCGACTTGCCAAAATTTTGCGCCGTTTGCCAATTGTGAATTCCAGTGGCAATAACAAAAAAAGAGTGCAACAAAACCATCACCAGGTAACATCAATAGCAAATGCTGAAGGAAGTAAAAAAACAAGAATCATGCTCATATAAACTATTAGGTTTTGTTGACTAACTGTCAAATTAATTCAATGCTATGTTTTGTAAACAAAAACTTGATGTGATGCCCGGTGACGATTTATCTGATAATTAAAAGTGGCGCAGCTTTGCGTGATTCATAAGCTTTATGTGTTAAGGGCTGCTCTTCTGCTGGAATTGATGACGATCGTCAGAAATTGTAGTTTTATTCTCTGACGTCAATATTTGCACATTCAGGTGCCCAGCCATTGTCAAAATATTGTGCGCGTGCTTGGATACACGTGGGCTACCTACTCTGGCTTAGTACGATTATAGTATGATATATGTATGTACATACATATACATACGTATGTATATATACATACATAATTTCAAAAATTAATACCACATTAAATTATCATCAGGTTTTTTATCAGGTATTTCTCCTTAGAATAGCATAATTTAATTGTGCGTTTTTCATATTGGCTCTTAATATTCAATATCTGTATTGGCAGCTACATTGTCGCACCGTTTTTTAGAATGTTCTAATTTAAATGCAAATTCTAAATGGCATATTAATGCCGTCGCGGGCACTTCAACAATTTATTATATTAGCATCGAAATTCGGCGCCAATTTGCCGCCTCAACATGCATAAACAATATAAAGTAAAGCCACAAAGAAAAACAAATGACAAAAACAAAACAAAAAGCAATAATAACAAACAAAGCTTACACAAAAATTCCACAAGAGCCATAAACATACTATTTGCTCTATGTTTGTTTTATGAGCACATGTTAAATGTCAAATGCGGTTTTCCAGCTTAACCAATTTGTTAGTTTTAATTCTTTGCTCAGTTTTTCAAGTTTTATAATCGCCAGACACCACTACTTTAAAGGTTTGTTGGCAGTATTTGATGGCAATTTAATGATATGCAAATTTAATTTGACAACTTGACGTATTATGCGATCTGTCGCAAATTAATTTCAACTATTTGTTTTGACAACTTTCTTCGAATTTAGTCGCTGGCTGTCTGGCCGCCTAGTCTTACTGTGTGATAAGCATTTCACACGGATTTCTGGGGAATACCAAAACCGAAACTGCAAGTGGCGCCAGAATGCGTTCCATGATAAATTGCAGATGTCTGTCACAGTTTTATAGCTAGTTTGTTAATGTGTAACTGTGGTTGGCTGAGCTGGAGATGGGATTTTGTTCGTGACCCAACGCGTCTAAGCTAAGATATCCAATAGAAAGTAATTAAATAGATATTGTTATCTAAATTAATGGCTCTATTAAGAGGAATACGAAGTGCTAAGAAATTATAATCCTGATCAAAATTACCTTAAATATCATAGCCACGTCATCGGCGTGTGGATTCCAAAAGGTAAAAATTAAGACTTTGACTTGAACAAACTCCTTGCATCTGCCGATAAAAAAAATCTCTTGGAATTTTTTTGAAACTTTTTGAATTTTAGATCCAGTTGAAAATTTTATAGTTTGATAAAAAAAATCATGTGATTTTACTTTTTTTCTAATTTAGTTCAGTTTTATAACATATAATTTATTATTGTTTTATTCTAGTATTATCATATCATATTTCTAACTATATTATTATAAGAATCTTTAGCATTAAAATTTTCCACAAAAAAAAAAAACAAATATTCTTATCCATGTTCAGATTACAAAAAAAACTTTTGAAAATCTTACTAACAGTTTGGTGGAATGTTAATTGTAGTTTCTTTAAAGCCCTTTTATTGTCTTTGTTGACATCGATTTTGTGCCGAGTCGTGTTACGAAAAATGTTCAAAATGAGTGCGAATACGTGATTCAGAAGTCCATGCCGGCTCGAATATCAATCTCTAGTCTGAGACTTGGCGCCAATAAATTTCTTTACATTTAGCGAAAGCCTTAAATGGAGCGGCCGCTTAACGGCCATATGAATGGGCCAACCATATAACAAATCATCAACAATAACAAAAACAACTAAAACATCAACTGATTTGCATAGTCTACGAGAGAATGACCGCCGAACGATCGACCGCAACTAAATTTGTTTGTCACACTCACTGGGAGCAGAAAGAATTGCTGAAAATAAAAAACGTCATGGGAGATTGTTTTTGTTGCTGTTCGTAGCAACTGCTGGGAATTCCGAAGAGATTGGCGCGCTATAAATTTCTAAGCCAACTTGTTTGTTCCGCGCTCTTTCTTCTTTCTATTTTCGCATTTATTCATCTTTTTTTTTGTTTATTCGAAATTAATTAGAATTTTGTGGACTTTGTTGAAGCGTTTACTAAAACCGACCCAACCGGATCTAGTTTGGCTAAGTCGGTTAATGCGGTAAGCAAAAGTAGCAAACAAAAAAGCCAAACAGTTTAAATTAAACACTGTTTTTGAAAGCATTCCAGTCGGGCATTTTTCTTTTATTTTTATTTTTTTGAAAGGTACCGGCGGCAGCTCTTTAGTCTTTTCAGTCTCACACCCACGGCAGTTAAACAAAGCAACGGCTTCTGCGGCGGCTACTGGTGCTACGCCATTGCATATTAAAAGGCGTATTCGCACGTTTAAAAAATTTAATTAAATTGTAATATTGTATACGAATTACGGGTGCGTGCTCCGAACTCTTTGACGTCATTCGTCATTCGATATTCCTCATCTGTTGGGCCTCCAATTCGGGAGTTCGGTGATGAGTCCGGTGAATGCACTGGACTCCTCAACAAACGACGTTGATCCAAAACAAGGTTACTGCGCATATTCTGACTCAGCTATGTGGGCCACTTTCTATCGCGAAGGTCAACTACTTTCACGAGCAAGGTAAACAACAATTGTGGCGCCAGTACGAATGGAATGGGTGACTTACCTTTGGCTGATTGAACCTTGATTGCGTATTGCATGTTTTTTTAATTAAATGACTTTTTAAATATTGCCAGAGAAGAACCTCGAATTTGCATAAATTAACGGGTTGGCGTCGTAATCGTAATTCTTTCCACGCTGGAATTTCAGATAAATTGTTGCACGCTCTGTCAATGATCTGTGGCTATCGTTTGGCCTCTTGCTTGTTGGTTGTTGATTCTTAAGTACAGTCGCAAAGAGAGTTTTAAATGTTTTTTATCAGCATTAAATTTAAATTAGTTTAAATGCACAAGTGAACATTATTTATTACACACTTGAACCTGTTCCTAAACACTAATTAATAATAAGTGCAAATTAAATGTCTGATTGGCATTCGCATCGATTTTATGATTTACCAACAGCTAAATGGCAAATTAGCACAAATATCTAGACAGCTAACTGACGTCTGCCGATAAGATTAGGAGTACGTAAAGAATACTTAGAATTTATTTTGAATAATACACATATGTTTATTAATATTAATATTATGTATATTAATATTAACAATTTCGGTATAGAATCAATTAATCTACTATAAATCTTTTGTCAACACTGTGCATTTCCAAAACAGTTGTAAATGTATTTAAAGTCTTAAAATCTGTTATGAAACATTTCGTTTACAAATACAAACATTACTTGGATATAAAAGCTTAATTCGCCTTATTATTAGCTTATATCAGATGTTTTTTCAATGTTTATTTTTTGCAACCCATGACAAAAATACAACACATTTTTGTCGCAGTGTACATTATGAGCAATGACACACATTTTAATTAAACACGTGCTGGAATAAGTTCAGTAAACTAAACCAGACTTGCTTGATAGACATTATTATGGAATAAACCTAAAGCAGATCAGTGCAGGTTTATTATTCATTTATTGTAATTACGCATCGTTTTAAAGTCTTAGTCTTATTAACAGCATCTTCAAATATGTTTGGGATCTTACAGTGATCCGTGCCTAATAAAGCCACAAATTATGAATTGTTTTCAAATATTTAGAAATTCTGTGATTCATTTGTTATTTAGTAGCCAGAGACCTTTAATTATTTTCATCCTATATATTTTTTAGTAGTTTCTATCAAATTCTGAAAATTAGGTCTAGATTATAGAATATAGTTTGTGCTGAGTCATTGTATTTAAAGCTATATACATATTACGTGGAATATTTATTTATGTTGGTTGTAAAAAACAGTTAATATACCCTATGTACTATACAATCATCCAAAAAACGTGAATCGTTTTTGTAAAGAGGAACTTCAGAAGGACAAGTTCTAGTTGATACTCTATTCCATCACGACATTAAAAAACCAGCTTTGATCATATCAGTGCCGCTATAATAAAGCCACTGATTTTATGTTAAATTCGCAATGCTACTTTCACTTTTTTATTTGTCAAAAATCACAAATAGGTGGCATGGCAACAAGCTGTTGAATCATATCCTTTCTTCCTCAAAAATAAACCATATGAGATCACTATTAAAAATAATTTGTGTGCGCCTACAAACGGAAATGCCGATTCTCCATAAAACACACCAACAGAATTTCACACTTTATGCCCAATTAATTTTATAATGCTTTGTGAAATGTTCATAAATGTGCTCATAAGTAACGTAAACAGTAAGCCATAAATAAAAGAGCTCAGGCCCTCCTCCAGACAAGACTTTAATGCTACACGACGCCTCCTCTTTTCCCAATTATATGCGCAGTGCCTAAAAGCCAAATCCCACCAAAGTGTGAAAAAAAATTGCATGCCGCTATGGGAACACCTTCCATTTAAGCACCAACAACCGAATGGAACGACATTGAACAGCCTTGGCCGTAGCGTGAGCAGACATGTTTACCTTTCAGCCCGTTAAGTTGTGTTCTGTTTCTGTCAAAAGAAAAAATCAAAAAACACAAACGGCATGTTCGCTTACATTTCGTCTGCTAATTAGTTAAATTTAATAAAATTTAATGTGTTAGAGCCCGCGGTTTGTTTTCATTAACAACATACCAAGCTGGCGCCAAACGAATTAGCTTCCATTTCGGCCAATTCAATTTATTGTTAATATTATTATTTTTATTTGACTTTTTTGCGCAGCTTAGTAAGTGACTGGAAAATTTACCGAAAACTCAACATAATGCTCGCATTTAAAACAAACAATAATATTTGTTGATTCAGCTTTTGTTTTGACCGCAACTTGACTTCTTTTTTCTGCTCTAGCTATAATGAAAAAGTTAGAACTTAATCGAAAAAATAAACAAATATTGATTCATCTCTGAGTTTAATACGAAATTCGCATGAAAGTTTAACTGAGAATAAAAACCCACAAATATTTTCGCTGAGGCGTAAATTAATAACGTATTAATAAAAAAATTTGAATGGCGCCGCAAAAAAGGAAAGACGGATTCCCCTTTGTTTACAAGCGAGAAATGTCTTTGAAACTACGTATGTGCGCCAACAAAACTTTCATCAAAAAATTCCATATATGTATGTCGTCGTGTTTATTTGAATGAAGTGCCACAAATATTAATACTTTTTGGAGTCGTCCAAAAGCATGTGCTTTTTGTTTTGGCCAAATGGGAGTGACAACAACAGCCCAAAACAGCAAAAACAAAATTAATAACAACAAAATAAAAAAAAAACTAGTCTTCGAATGCTACATAATTAAAAGCGTATTTGTCACCCCAGTAAAATTCTCCGGCTTTGTGGCACCAGCTGCTGCCCAGACCTGTTCATTTTATTCTCTTCGAGAACGCTGTTCAAAAAAAAGTTCATATCATAATTCCATAGTAATAAGTTAGGCATTTTCGTGGAATTGACGTCAAATAAAAGACTGTTTGGAAGTTAAAGAGGCGTCTCTTTCGCTATTTTTAATATTGTACTCATCAGCGCAATCCAATTGGGATCATCGTTTCCGGTGGTTATGACTTGCAACGGAATTCGAAATTGTATTCAACCCAAATTGATAACAGTGCGCAAATTAAATGTACCAAAAAAACAACGGAATAGATGCTGCCAAATAAAGTAAAAATTTAGTTTAAAACGAGATTTTACGACTTGTTTGCTGTCATAATAACAAGCTACCGCAAATAAACAACAACTAAAACAATGACGAAGAAAAAGATCACAGTCGGCCTCAAGCCCTGAACCTCAGCCCCAGTGAATGGCAACTGAGAGAGAGGGAGATGCTCAGAGACTCAGACAAGATAACCGGCAAAAGTTTGGCAGAGCGGCAGCGACGCCAACGTTAGAGCCGACGTCAGCGTCGACAGAGATACGAGTTTCGAAATAAAATATCACGACTCGGTCAGAATGGATTTAGATTTAAGCAAACGTTTGAAGCGTAAAGAACTCACAGAGCACCGTCTAAAGAAAAGAAAGAAATTAATATTGATATTAAAGACAATTAAAAAGGTTGTCAACTGTGAAAAGTGAAGAAAAGTGATAAAGAAAGAAAAAACAGAAAAACATACACAATGCCATCCATACACAGAACTCTCGGTCTTACACTAATTGGCGCCCTATTTGGCCTGCTTCTATATGTAGTGCCCACGACTGGCTATGCCATAGGTCAGTCGAAATTCGGCAAAATTGAAAAGTTCCCCTACCAAGTGATGCTCATTGGCAAGCAGCTGTGGCGCAAGCGCATTCTATGTGGAGGCACTTTGCTGGATCATCGTTGGGTGCTCACGGCTGGTCATTGCACCATGGGTGTCACCCATTTCGATGTGTATTTGGGCACAGCAAGTGTCGACGATACGGCACAGTTGGGTGGTCTGGTGCTGCGCACAAATAAATTTATCGCTCACGAGCACTTTACTCCGGAGTCAGCGGCCAATGATATTGCGCTGGTCAAGTTGCCCATCGATGTGACATTTACATCACGCATTCAACCCGCCATGCTGCCGGTGAGACAGCGTCAGGATCAGTTCACGGGCATGAGTGTGGTAGCCAGCGGTTGGGGTGCCATGATGGAGATGTCAAATTCAGATCCCATGCAGTATACCGAGCTGAAGGTGATTTCGAATGGCGAATGCGCGGAGGAGTACGATGTAGTCACATCAGGTGTATTGTGTGCCAAAGGGCTCAAGGACGAGACAGTCTGCAGCGGCGATTCTGGTGGCCCCCTTGTCCTGAAGAACACACAGGTGGTTGTGGGCATCACCAGCTTTGGACCTGCCGATGGTTGTGAAACAAACATACCCGGCGGTTTCACGCGTGTCACACACTATCTGGACTGGATTGAGAGCAAAATTGGCGGTCATCATCAGGGCTTGCATCAGAGCAATCATCAATTGCATCAAACACAACCACAACCGCATCAAATACATCTGCAGCAGCCACATCAGACGCAACAGCAATCGCCACACCTGCATCACCATGACAGAGATAATAACATCATCTAAAATCTAATGGGCATTGGGCATGGGTATGCCCAATTGTGAAACCGACTGAATCGTGTAGCTTTATTTATCAAATTTAAATTCATTTGATTTACAACGATACTTAACTTAAATGTGCGCATTGTGTGATATTTGTTAATTGATATTTGAATATCGTAGTTATATTCCAAAATTTTTGTAAATTTTTTTAGTTAGTTAATTTATTTTATCGTCTATTATTTATTCTAATTGTAAGAATGAGCGAACAAAATATGAGATTAAGCTGTTTGTATCTTCATACAAATTATGAGCTGAATACAAAAAGAAAGCATACACAAAAGCATGCAGAAAAAATACAAAAACACAAAAAATACAAAATTTATTGAAAACATGTTAAAAAAAAAACAAAAAAAAAAACAAATATACACAAAAAAGAAAACAAAAATCTTTACCAGTTATCTTCTTTCTGCTTAGCTGTTTTAGTCATGCTGATTTTTTTTAGGAATTCCCACATCGCCGATCAACGCGGACTGATAAAATTTTAACGTCTGTGTGATAATTTTCTCCAGTTAACTGTTTCGTTTTATCGCAGCTGCGTTTTACATAATTTGGCAGCAAAAAATAATAACAATAATGAAAATGAAAAAAATCGCACACTTGTTTGTTTTTCAAGTTATCGGCCAAATTATACAGCTGGGGAGCTGTTTTACATAAAATCTCTCGAGAACTCCACTCCATGCCATGCCGCGCCACTTGAGCGCCCAGCCACGCACTTTGACAAGCAGAAGACCCACAACGTCATCTCTGGGTGCTTGGTATTTAGTTCCGTGATAAAAAAAATATATAAATACTACATACATATACATATATGTAGATGTGCTGCTCAGTTAACTCTATATTGTTTTATTCCCCTACCAGTTTGAACTAAACGTCGCTCTGAAATTTCTTCAACAGGCCAAAATACACACATATGTATATATACTTTTGAAAAAAATTGCTGATATGATTTTTATTTTTATACGAGTATAAGTATATAAAATAGAGAATGCTTGCAATATATTTGTTGTTATTTTTATTGTTGTTCTGTGTTCGCTATAAATTATGTCAGTGCTATTTTGTATTATTTTCAATGCCCCTCAAGGTGCGCACATTAGGCTAAGTGGTACCGGTGCCACTGTATATGCCAGATAAGCGGGCACTGTTTAGTTTCCAAACACATAATAAAAAGACAAACAAACAAATAAACAAATCCAACTTAAAAGCTGCAAAACTAATTTATAAAACAGGTGGGCGGCTGGCTGAGAATGATAGCGGACAAGAGATTGCACTGTAGTAGCTCAATAAATCTATTGATTTAGCAATCTAATACGAATATCTAATATGCCATCAGTATTTATTTGATTTTGATTTAATTGTCACTCCCCGAACCGTTTTATTCTTTCAACATTTCTCTTTTGCATCTGCTGTTACTCAGCTACATGCATTTTCATTCAATTTTGTATAGCAAAAAATATTTTTAATAATTTCAAAAATATAATATTTTTTAACAAATGCTTAGCGGCCAATTACATATTTAAAAGACAACAAATATTTACCAACATGTGTATGACTTGCTAAGCATATGGCTTAAATAAAAATGTAGAATTATCCGAAATTTGAGAAGAGAAAATGTTCAAGTTATTGTCACTAAATTTAGTTGTTGTACCGGACATTGCGTGACAAAGTCTGTGAGCGCTTAAATCGAGGGCCTACGGTACAAAGAATTATTCGAATGTTGTAAAACGTGTCCTTGGCAAATGTTCAATAAAATACATTTTAAATAATTAACCCGTAAGTGGGCAGCCCATGTGACTTTGTTGAAACGTGCTCAGCCATTGTAGGGGCCCTTCAATGAGTCTGACTTACTGACGATTTGCATTTAACAAATTAATTGTTTTCGCTAAATAATTCAATTAATGTTAGTGAATATAACATGTTTGTTTGCATGGCATGATAAACAATTCTCAACAATCAGCGGAATAGAAGCGGAAATTTAATAAAGCTATGCCTAGACATATAATTTATAATGGAGCGGCGAAAAACACTGTAGAGCGTCAGTTGAAATAAGTATAGATATTGTTTTGATTTTACTTTTATTGTCATACATAAATTATTATTGCTTTTTGGTGTGCGTTACAGCATAGATATTCTTTTGTATAATTTACTAAAGCACTTGCGGAAATGTGCGCCTTTTGAGAAATTGCAAAAGCACATAATTCTCTACAAATATGCCTCTTCTTTGATAATACAAATAAAACTAGAGTATAGTATTTGGTGTTTAGATCTTTTTGTGCAACATGTGTGCAAATTACAATGCTCTAAAAGAAAAGTGATCTTGTTGCTGTGCTTTGGTTGCTTTGGCTTAATATAAGTTGCATCTTTGGTCTGTTTTAGCACTGAGCCGCCGCCTTGGCTTTCTTCTGCAATATGCAGTCGATGGCCTGTACCACCTCCAAGAAAATATCGTCAACATCACGCTCCGCATTGATCTAGATATAGAATATTAAGAGATATAGAATATTAATCCATTGAACTATATATTTTTGAGATCTTCAACTTACCTTTACGGTTATGTTCACATATTGATCCAGAATAGCGGTGGTGTTATAATTAAAGGTTTGCAAGCGGGCCCGAATGGTTTCCTCATTGTCATCGGCACGTTTCACAGCCGCAGCATTGGCACGTGCCATGATCCGCTTCAACATCGTATCCTCAGAGCACTCGAAATAGAGCGCCAAATCAGCGGGTGCTATGCGCTGTTCAAACGCAATTCCCTGGTTCTTCTCACGGGGATATCTAGTGGGAAAGAGCATTAACGACATGATTTATGATGTAATTAAAGTGTAAAGATAGGATCAACAAATATTTGAAATACTAAATCATAATCCTTATAATATTATTAATAATAATTCATTGTCTGGCAGCCTTATTAACATGTACTATAGTAGGAACTTTTTTTGAAATTTTTATTATTATGGTCTGACTTTGATATAAAATAACGGTCTTTATAAATTCAATTAAACAAATTCGTTCAAGCCTATTGAGTCAAAAAGTAATAAAAATCTTATCTTTTTTTTATTAACTGCTTTTAAGTATTATCTCGCTAAGCTTTCTCTTTAAAATATATTATATATAAAAGTGAATTGCTTACCCATCGATAAGGAAACCCTTTGAGCTGCCCTTTTCGCGTGCAATAGCATCGTTGAGCAGGGAGAGTACGTGCTCGTTGGGCACCAATTGGCCGGATGACATTATAGCTTGCAGTTCACGGCCCTTATCAGAACCAGAGGCTACCTAAAATTCAGATTTTTATAATACAGCTTTCATGGCATTTCTTTTTATATGTTAATTAGCTTTACCTCATTGCGCAATAAATCGCCACTGCTGAGATGGGTGAAACCATATTTCTCCACAATCTTGGCACATTGCGTGCCTTTGCCGCAGCCAGGTCCGCCCAGAATCCAAATAATGGGTACTTCAGTCTGAAAAATAGGATAAGTATTAAGCATTAGCGACTCGCAAAATCAAAAGTCGTGCTAATAAAATATACATAGGAACTCATGCAATTGTTAGAAAAGTTAGCTGCACTTTTTCGCAAGCCTAGTAAAGTTTATTTCTTAAGCGCGTTGACTTCAAATCTTGGCGACAATTTTGATAGAAGCTTTCGGTTTTGATACTGCGGCCACACACACACACATATATAGTACATCAATCAACTAGGTCCCAATCACGGTATTTTACTTACAGCGGCTTGCGCCTTACGCAGCTCCTCCGCTTTTAGCTTGTCTTGGGCCTCCTTCTTCATGGCCATTTGATGACACATAAATAACTATTATAACACAAAATGAATTGAATAGGCAGAACGCACATGATGTAACTATTTTATACATTTGTTTATTTTTCGACCTAAAGGCTTGTTAGTGTTGTTTCAATTGAATTTGTTGTGTGCAGCATTCAAACAATTCTCAATTAGTTTCAATATGAAAATGAACTTGACCGAACGAACACCTCAAATAATAAAATAATATGTTCATTGTTAATAGGTAAATTTGTATATACACATATACGTCTGTATATAGCTCGAATTGCTTGGGCACTTTGCCAAAAATGTTTGCCCACTGTGCGCTTTCTGTGGCGTAACAGCTAAATACAAAAAGCAGCCACAAACTCTTTGTTGCTAGAAAACTCAACTGCCAATAAACTTTAATAAGTACATGCACACAAATATACACGAAATGGCGCACAAGTCTCTGTGGTCTGTAATATTCGCCATTCATTTACATTACCTTCTGACATTGATCTTGAATATTTATTCACAAATCATTTGCATGCGCCGCTAAATCAAACAATAACAAAACTATTCCAAAAATACATTTTTGGGGAAATTGGACTGCTAACATATTAGCACTGCTTGAAACTGTATAGATAAATTATTCAATATTTGCAATTAGAATTATACTTTCCGCATATAAACAATCAACTCCTCTTAATCAAGGCCTACTTGTGGGGTGGCTTAAGTACACTAGTAAGCGTATTTATAAATTTAATTTAGCACAGTAAACATTCCTTAAAAGAAGCGACTGCTATATTCCTCTAATTCCAATTACTTGTTATTTATTTTAATGACTTATACCTATCAATGTCCTTCCTATTGAGTGTTTATTTGATTGACAGCTAAATGTTGATATTCATTGATATTATATAAAATAAAAATGTTATAGAACCTTTTGGAACAAAATTGATTGAGGATATAAAAAAAAAACACGTTATTTAAAACTAAAACTACAAGCCAACTGATTGATTGTTGAATAAAGACAACGAACGTTCTGATTAAATATGGACTTTTAAATATTTTCTAAATATTAGTCAGATTTTTAAGAGAATTGTGGTTTTCTGGGTGTGTTAAGTTGTTTTAATCGTTTGTTCACTGTATATATTTGTAGAGATCAGTCAGTCTGCTTGCTATATACACATGTCTTAAATGTTCCGCATTGTCGCACCTAAAGAGAATTTATTTTTGAAAAACACAAAATTTGAATGGATTTCGCGCTTTTTGATAGACTGCAGGTTGTTTTTCGCCTCATGTCTTATGTTTTATATACTTCTGTATATATTATCGAAGCTTCTATGTATATATCTGTTTTTAATTTCTCTCACTTTTCGCACGCAATTCCTAGCATATGTGTTAAAATTTATGATTTTCAATGGCACGGCAATATTTGTGAGATTTTGCTTGTTTTACGTAATTTTATTTTTAAATGTTCCCTACGGTTCGGTGAACGGCTCTGCGTGTGAATGTCATATGCGAGGATAAAACAAAATTAGCCCTTTTGCCCTTTAAAATAGTTTTATGTTCATTAATTATGAAGCACTGACCTATGACAAAATTATATCTCCTCAAGTTATAATTAAAGCCCCAATATATTGCATGTTTGCGGCGAATAGAAACAAGTGTCTGAGTTCACATCACAGAGTTGCTTGTCACGCATTAGTTGTAGGTACGAGTATATGCATGTTTATATATTTCGAAATGTATATACCAATACACGAGCACGTAGTGTAAAAATTTTAGCAACAATGTGTGAATTATTAAAGTAACTGCTGCTTTTTCACTCGCGCTTGCCAAACGGAACTGAAAACACTTAAATACTTTTATTATAAACATCTAATATCTATTCATCTAATTTTATCCTCACAATAAAGTTTTAGAACTTTGGTGATCTAGTATTGTGTTAATTATTAGATTTGTGCAAAGCTGCTTTCGATTAGAGAAGTTGCCAATGAACAGGAAAGAACTATTTTCTTACCAGAATTTAATTTGTAAGAATATTAGTCGTTTTAAATTTTCAAGTTTTTACCGTTTGAAAATGGTTCCATTTGTTAATGCATATATGTATGTTCATATAGCATGTTTAAGAAAAATTCCATTGGTCGCGACTTCACGTCGTCGAAGGAGGAGTGTAGAATTTATAAAGGCTTTTAACTAAAGTAAAACCGGCAACATCAACGGTGACTGACTAGTTCGGGTAGCGCCAATAAACACATTTTTAACTGCTCCATCATTATTGTTTACTCGAAATTTGGCGTCGGCAACGGCGACGGCGGCGACATGCTAATGAATCAAGCCGTAGTCCAAAAATTCCTGTATGACCAGCAAATATGTCGCTTATTATACATATGCAAATCAAACTGGACTTTGACGTCAAAAATCGTTGTCTACGGAATGTGAAATTTCGACTAATGTTGTTGTTGCCGCCGCTTTTGCTGCTGTTCTGTTGCTATTGTTGTTGTTGGTAAAGCTAGTTGTTGCTTTTATAGCGAAATATTAGCCCAACTTTGTATGAAATTTGTGTTGCTAATTTTTTCTTATTGTCGGCGCGACAGACAAACAAACGAAATAGGAATGATGATGTTTGAGTTGATTTTGGGAATTTCTCGGGCACATCGTAACCGGCTGTAGCGTTAGGTTGTTCTTTATTTATAGCGCGCACGCCGCACAGCTGATGCGACGCTTTAACAGTTTGTGCATCGCATACGCGGCGTATGCGTAATATTTTTGAAAAAGAGCCGCAAGTGCGCGAATCAGCTCTGTAAAGTGGACGAAGGTCAAGCATGCGCCACGTCATCCAGTGCAAAGCACTTATGTGAAATGCAAGTGAAAGCGGTCAAGGTCAGTTGTGCCAAACTAATCTTATCGTGGCTAAGCAACTTAACTTCCCCCACCCATCATTCCAAATTAATTTCGACGAAGGGATTAGTATTGGAATTTAGAAAAAAGAAATGCAAGTTGTAAAATGAATAAATGTTCATACGCAAAAATAAACTGCAACATCTTTGTAGTACTCACACACACACACACTCACCATTGTGATATATATTAGATATAGACGTTGCTGTTGTGTGGGACCTTTTGAAGAGCTAATCGCGAAACAGCTTAAGTGCGTTGTTTATTGTTGTTGATTTTTCTCAGCGCCAAAAAATCAGTACTTAGTTTACCAATTGTCCGCCACCGTAAACAGTCCAACGAATTTTCCACCCTCAGTGCAGCGTGTGTCGAGAGCGACTGGCAGTGGAAACGCTTTAGCTAACGGTTTCAATACGCGTTCTGTGTATGTGTATGTATTGAAAGCTCTTGCCTTGTAGCTTTAACCGCGTATGCGTCAAAAGAAGCTTTTATTCAATTTTGATGTGCTGTTTTTTTTTAGATTCTAATTCTGATGTTTTTTCCGAAGTTTTTAATTTTGTTTAGAAGTCTAACGGCCAATTGTGATTCTCTCGCCGCGGTTTTTAATCAGCACCTGCAAGTGTGGCACGATATCTTCAAAGACCTCATTCACATCCCGCTCTCCATTGATTGGTAACATTTTATTGTTATACTGCTCCCGCAATAGCTTGGTCTCCTTATCCAATTTATTTTGTGATCTTTTAGGTGAACTCGAGATTAATTGTTCTTGGCGAGCATCGCATATTTGCTGAAATTTGTACTAGTATTATGGAATTACAAGTTTTTCTAAACAATCTACCTGGTCGGCTTCCAAATAGATTATCACATCACATGGTCCGATGCGTTGTTCAAGCATTTTGGCTTCTACAGTGTCACATGGATATCTACAATATGATATTTTTAAATATTTCATATTATACGATGCTTTATACAGACCCATCAATAATGATTCCTTTGATACCACCTCGATTTGTCATAATTAACTGCTCCATAATTGGTATTACGTCCTTCAGAGGCACCTCTTCACCCTGTTGGCGCACCGCTTCAAACCCTTTGCCCTTATCTGTTTTGGCGTTAATCTATTTAGACGTTCTTAAATATTACAAAATCTAACCAAATACTATAGTTACAGTTGATCACCTCTTTGTCCACTAACGCTTTTGGTTCTAAGTGAATAAAGCCAAACTTTTCGACAATCTTTTTAGATTGTGTGGTCCTACCACTGCCCCGGGGACCGACAACCCAGACCATTGGAACGTTCTGTGAGCAAACTTATTTTCATCTGACAGAATGCGTATTAGCCTGCAAATATTACCATTCTGAATTATTGCAATCAATTCGAAAATCCATTTGAAAAAATTTAAATGGTGTAGTGTGCAGCCTATGTGGCTATGCAGCGGATCGTCCAGATCTATTTTCAACGCTCAGATGTTAATAATCATGAATTTTGTTGAACGAAACGAACTACATATATTGTCCAAAGGTTCGGGGCGTGCACCTCTAGCTATGCTCTAACTAGCTCGCCGGATTGTCGGGGTTCTTCCTACACTTTAGACACATACACTCTCGCACAGTATTTTAGGTGCACTAAACGGTAAAAAGCAATATCAATAAAACCAACTAAAACCTACTGTACTACCCGACAGAATAGATCGCCTAATCAGATCAATTACTTGTTGTTTGGGAACCAAGGTGTTGTCTGTTCCCTTTCTTTACCCACCCAACCAATGCAATTCAATCATGTATATATATCGATTGTGAATTGACCCTAATACAACTAAAAGCTTTCTTGTCTAGTAGAGCTTCATCATGCTTCAGTAAGGACACTTCAAAGGGTTTAAGTCATCATTTCTTATTTAACTTCATTTATTAAACATTTTCATAGTATTTGGCCAAGCCACTAAAAGAAAATTATTTCGAATATTCCAAAGGAGGCAAAGAAAATAATTAAAATTACGTATACAGAATGGAGATTACTTAGAATAGAAATAAACAGATCTAATGGTCGTTTCTAATTGGCCAAAAATTCGCTATTTAATATAATAATCTTCTGTTCAGTGTTGTATCCAAAGTAACAACCCAATATTAAATAATTAATTTCAATATAAAAATTATAGAAAATATAAATGCACTTCGGTATTAGTTTTCATGACATACTCACTGCGGCGTGGTGTTCGTTGAGCTCAATGAAGACGCAGCACGTTGATTATATATGCTAGATCCTAAGTATTAAATATATATATATAGCCATACAAAAATGCAAGTACCGAAGTTGGTATACAAATTAAGGTGATACTAATATTAATTTTAAATGAACAGGAGATTATCTCTATTGTTTCGTTATTGTGACCAGATCGATGGAATAAATCTATAATTTTAACGTTGACTGGTCAGCATAAAAAAAAAACAAAAGGCAAAAATGCACTAGTTATGCGTCTATATAGATATGCAGCATAGATATATATATATATATACATATATCCTGGTGAATTGAAGATCTATATAATCCTCATAATGGAATTGCAGTCGCGCCAACGAAGATTAAAGCTGGGTGTTGAGCTGCGACTGGGACGGCAAGTGGTGGTCGACGGGTGACGTAATATGCTACGTTGAGCTTAAATTTCCATTTCATCCATGGCCATTCCGTTTAAATAAGTGACTGGACAAATGGCTTTTACTGGATGCTGTCTGGGAAGATCCGAGCGCCTCCCAGTCGAATTAGGACTGGTCGTAGAAAGTTTGGGGATATTGCGTGGTTCACAAATTATATCCCACGTTTTGGAATTAGCAATTATAGCTTTCAGGTGGTCGTGCTCTCCAACCGTATCTACCACTTGTTCAAGAATATCACCAATTTGAGGTTATTGGATAATACCGGCAAGACCAATTTCTATAAACATCTTTACTTTAGTAAGGGTACCAATTTAGCAGTAATAACATACCTTGCCAGACAGCAAATACACTTCACTGATTTTTATTATCCCAATTCTTGTAAATTTGTTAGCGTATTGTGCTATTTGAATAAAAGCACATGTAATGTAAATCACAATAATTTATTGTTGTCTCAAAACTTAAATATGCACGTCCGCTTAGCTCAAACTTCTCTTTAGCAATGCCTGGCCTTTGCTACTTAATATAAGTGGAGAGTGCCAAAAATCTAACTTTTTGTACAGTGCCAATGCATTACATATTAGCATAGCTTAAAAGATAAGCGCGCTAGCTTTCGTTCAGATAACTGTATGATCGTATGACCATCTGCCAAGCAAGTGAGCTTAAGTCAAGGTCACCTAAGAGCACAAAACCAACGTAGCTCTTATCTCTCAGTCTGACAATAATTAAGAGTTTGGATAAAATCAACCTTGTAGGAAATCAGCCACTACACCACAGTTTATGTTGAGGTAATCCTATTAGCGAAACATACACTGAAAAAAAATGATCTTGAGATGTTTTAAATTTGTATATCTTTAAGGTGGAAAACGCCTAAACTTTTGCCTTGTTCATTTCTTAATCGATAATAAACTGGACTAATTTTGTCGGAGACCTCTGCGGGAATGAAAACTGGGGCTAACTTAGCATTAAATTTCTTAAGTGCATTGCTCTGGCAAAAATTACGTGCAAATACCTTGTCTCCTTTCTTCAAATGAACTTTACGACTGCGTAAGTTGTATGTCTTAGCGTTTCGCTCATGTGCCTGAGCAACTCTTTCTTTAGCTTGTTGACGAATCACTTGCATTGCCGAAGGTCTTTCTATGGCTGTGTCATCAGACAGCAATTGCAACCGTCTAAGCAGATCGTAGTCTTTGCCGTTAAGCATCATATTTTGGCCAAAAGCCAGAAAATATGGAGAGTAACCTGTACTCTGATGAATGTTACCTCGTAGCGCTGTGCTTATCGCGGGTAATTTACTGTCCCAATTGGAATGGTCGTTCCCAATATAAGCTCGAATTGCCGCCAACACTGACCTATTCACTCTTTCACTGGCATTTGCCTGCGGCGAATAAATAGCCGTGCATATGTGACTAATTCCAAAACGAGTAAGAAAAGCTTTAAAGGCTCCAGAAATAAATTGTGACCCATTGTCGGTAAGAATTGTTTCGGGCACACCAAAAGTACAAAATAAACTATTTTCCAGATACTCACAAATTTTGCTTGAAGTGAACTTTTTAAGAGGACACAAGAAATGAAATTTGGTATTATGATCGACCACAATTAGAAGACCAATATTGCCATTTTTTGAACGCGGATAGGGTCCCAAAAGATCCATATATAATTTTTGAAATGGACGTTCAGACGTCATTGGTTTACCCATTGGTGGCCTGAGAATTTTATTGGCACCTTTCGTCTGTCGACAAACCGTACACCCTGAAATATAGTCTCGGATTTGTGTGACCATTCGTGGCCAGAAAAGATATCTTTTCAGCTTTTCTATGGTTTTGCCCATTCCGCAATGTGCAGCATTAGGAGGATCATGAGCCTTAACGATAATATCATTAACAAGAGTTGAGGGAATCCAAAGCTTCCATGACAAGTTTTCTTGCATCTCATCCCCTGAGACTTGTTTTATTCTTTTGTAAACTAAATCATCCACTATTTTTAAATCGGGGAGTCTGGATTGATTGGCACGAACCATGTCTAACAAATTGCAATACTCTGACTGTTTAAATTCTGTCGAAGACAGATCAACAATAGGTCCCTGATTTTCAAATTCTTCTATGGCCAGTTCATTTTGACGCGAAAGTGCATCTGCCACTACATTTTGAGAGCCGCTTCGGTGTGCTATTTTAAAATTAAATCCTTGTAGTTTTACTACCCATCTTCCTTGTCGCCCTCTGAGATCTTTTTGCTTCATCAACCACTGCAATGAGGCATGGTCGGTAATGACTTGGAAGTCCTGTCCTTCCACATATGCTCTAAACTTTTTAATACCTTGCAATACAGCCAAGCACTCAAGGTCAGTAACGCTGTAATTCCGTTGTGCCTTTGAAAGTTTCTGCGACATATAAGCAATGGGTAATTCATCCCCACGGTCATTCAACTGAGCTAAAACACAGCCTACTCCACTAGTACTCGCATCACATATGAGGATAAAAGGCCTGGAAAAGTCAGGTGTAGTTAAAATGGGTGCCGAAGTCAAGCGGGATTTTAGGTCAATGAAAGCTGATTCAGCCTCACTAGTCCACTTAAAAGAATTATTTTTCCTAAGCAAGTCTGTCAGCGGAAGGCTAACCGTAGCATAGTTATGGACAAACCTTCGATACCAGCCTGATAAGCCAAGAAAGCGTCTAAGTTGCTTTACGGTTTTAGGTACCGGAAATTCGTTAATAGCTTGTACTTTTCCGGGATCTGTTTTAAGTTGACCATATCCAATTACAAATCCAAGATATTTGATTTCACGCATACAAAATTTTGATTTCGCTATGTTAATTGTTAAATTAGCTTTGCGCAAGTGCAACGCGACCTCCTGTAATAGTAGCATGTGCGACTCGAAGTCTTCTGACAATACTAACAAGTCGTCTAGGTAAACGAATACACGGGTGCGCAAATGTGCTGGGATCACTTGGTCCATGAGTCTGCAGAGCGTCTGAGGCGCATTGCAAAGGCCAAATGGCATTACTTTATATTGAAATAACGGCCGATTTGGAACAGTAAAAGCCGTGTACTGGCGCGAATTTTTCTCGAGTGGAATTTGCCAGAACGCGTGCTTCATATCAAGTCCAGTAATATATCTGGCCGGTGGCAATCGACTAAGTATGCCATCAATATGTGGTAAGGGATACGCATCCTTACGAGTATATTTATTTATTTCACGAGAATCTAAGCAAAGCCTGCACTTATCTCCTTTCCTCACGAGGACGCTGTTACTACTCCAAGGGCTGGTAGATTCTTCAATAATATCTAAAGCTAGCATATGCTCGACCTCACTAAACATTAATTTTTCGATAGCTGGAGAAATTGGCCAATGCCTTTGTTTCACTGGTGTCACATCGCCAATTTCAATACGGTGTTCTATTAGATTAGTGCGACCTAGTCCTTCACGTTCATACGAAGGAAAATTCGAAATGACCGACTGTAATCGCTTCCTCTGTTCTAAATTAAGGGTGTGTATTTTCACGTCGGCCCCAGATGTTTGGTCCTTTCCAGTGTCTAATTCGTTCACGTGCTGGTCTGGGTGTAGCAAGTCTGATAGAAGGCCAAAGTCCTTCCAAAAATCTATACCCAAGTATACATCTTGTTTCAAATCGGGTATAATGAAAAATTCGACATTGTGAACTTGGTCACGAAAATAAACGTCAATCACCAATTTTCCTACAACTTGGCATGTTGCATCGTTTGCAGTTCTAATGTTACCGGAACATTTCTGAACCTTCTGGTGTTTTAGTAGCGCCTTTGCTGCCGCACCACCTACGCAACTGATGGTAGCTCCTGAATCTAGTAGACCTACATAGCTTTGTCCGCCTAGATTTATTTCCGTATATAATCGATTATCCGAACTCATAAAAATCGATTGAATTAACTTCTTACGCACGATCTTAATTTTTCTCCAAAATTGTCTTAGTCTAATAGTGGAACGCTTTGGTTGATATATAACTTCTAGTGCTGGTGTGTCGATATTCTCGCTATGGGTATCAGTTTTTACAGCTGAGTGGGAAGGTAATGTCCGTTTCGATATGATGGTTGGTTCTGAGGTTTTAACTGTTGATATTGACCTATGACCATTAGAATCATTTAGGGATGCGGCAAGGAGGTGTTGTTCTGCGCATCCCGGAGTGGGTTTCCCGTAGGATTGCATTTGATACAATTTGGCTTGAATACATTTTTGGTTCCACAGCCATAACAAAATATGCGCCGTTCCCCTAAGCAATCGTCGAAACGATGACCAATTTGATCACAATTCCAGCATATAATTCGTAGTCGTTGCAATGCCGCAAGACTTCCCTCTTCTGTTTCATCACCACTTTCTGAAATTTCAGCAATATTATTACGAACAAATTTTGGTCGAGTTCCAGTGTATTGAATGTCTCTACAAAAGTTTTCATGCTTTTTCACTTCTGCCCTTAATTCTGATCTGTCCAATATCTTTAAATGCAAAAGTTCATACCGCAGCGCTGATTTTGCATTGCGCTTCAAAATATCAACCAATTTGGCTTCACTTATGGAATGGCACAACTGATTAACTAGGATTTCAATAGCTGATTGAAAATCATCAAACGATTCGTTCTCTTTTTGACGTCGCTTACGAATCAATTCCCATAACTCAAAATCATCCCTCTCGTCATCAAATCGACGACGAAACTCGGAACAAAAGGGCTGCCAAAGTGTTGTTTGTGAACGTTAGCTGTCCAGTATTACAAGCTGTCTTACAAATAGGACAATTTGGAGAGGCTTGTAAAGCGTCACACGCGCATTGACTATGGAATTTGTGCTGGCAAGGTGTGGTTGCTATTAATTGGTCTTTTCGCATAACTTCATGACAAACAGCACAAAAGGGATCTTGTGTGTTAATTGCAAGAGAGATATCTTCTGTACTTCGCCGTACAGCCATTGTCACAGAATTTGTTTTCAAAATTATAATTACGTTTGTCCTTTTGAAGCATGAATCCGTCTACTAAACATCTAACAACAAGAATATTTTGATCTGTTAAGCACAATATGAATTACCATTCTATTGCAATTTAGCTAGAGAAAAAAAATCAAATTTGGACAACCACCAAATGAAATTATCTAGATGATTGTAGTTCCGAAACCTGAACTAATTCTCATCTAAATTGATAAATTAAAAGCAAATCCCCAAAAATCTGGTTAAACCAAGTATGCGATTTATATTTCGGTCGGCAAACCAAGAAATCCTCGATTATCATCCGCTTATTCCAGAAATAACCATTGCAACTGGCCAAACTGAATTGAAGAAAATACTAATAATTTGATTTGGGAAGTATTCCTAATAGAATTCATATCCCGATATCATTATCGGCTTTACTGAATATATTCCGGTCGACATATCCAACGTTTGTGAATAATATCGCAAATTCCGCAAATAACATCAATAACCGACACTAACATCCAAAGTCATTCACTAGGAATATTACTATTTCGCTATTTGGATGGAATAAAGCCAGAGCTTACGTGGAGGAACATGCATAGGGTGATCTTATGCATAACTTTTTGGTGTTCTGGTTTTAATGTCGAGGCCCCACGTTGGGCGCCAATTGTTTAGTGTGCCGCCTATGTGGCTATGCAGCGGATCGTCCAGATCTATTTTCAACGCTCAGATGTTAATAATCATGAATTTTGTTGAACGAAACGAACTACATATATTGTCCAAAGGTTCGGGGCGTGCACCTCTAGCTATGCTCTAACTAGCTCGCCGGATTGTCGGGGTTCTTCCTACACTTTAGACACATACACTCTCGCACAATATTTTAGGTGCACTAAACGGTAAAAAGCAATATCAATAAAACCAACTAAAACCTACTGTACTACCCGACAGAATAGATCGCCTAATCAGATCAATTACTTGTTGTTTGGGAACCAAGGTGTTGTCTGTTCCCTTTCTTTACCCACCCAACCAATGCAATTCAATCATGTATATATATCGATTGTGAATTGACCCTAATACAACTAAAAGCTTTCTTGTCTAGTAGAGCTTCATCATGCTTCAGTAAGGACACTTCAAAGGGTTTAAGTCATCATTTCTTATTTAACTTCATTTATTAAACATTTTCATAGTATTTGGCCAAGCCACTAAAAGAAAATTATTTCGAATATTCCAAAGGAGGCAAAGAAAATAATTAAAATTACGTATACAGAATGGAGATTACTTAGAATAGAAATAAACAGATCTAATGGTCGTTTCTAATTGGCCAAAAATTCGCTATTTAATATAATAATCTTCTGTTCAGTGTTGTATCCAAAGTAACAACCCAATATTAAATAATTAATTTCAATATAAAAATTATAGAAAATATAAATGCACTTCGGTATTAGTTTTCATGACATACTCACTGCGGCGTGGTGTTCGTTGAGCTCAATGAAGACGCAGCACGTTGATTATATATGCTAGATCCTAAGTATTAAATATATATATATAGCCATACAAAAATGCAAGTACCGAAGTTGGTATACAAATTAAGGTGATACTAATATTAATTTTAAATGAACAGGAGATTATCTCTATTGTTTCGTTATTGTGACCAGATCGATGGAATAAATCTATAATTTTAACGTTGACTGGTCAGCATAAAAAAAAAACAAAAGGCAAAAATGCACTAGTTATGCGTCTATATAGATATGCAGCATAGATATATATATATATATACATATATCCTGGTGAATTGAAGATCTATATAATCCTCTTAATGGAATTGCAGTCGCGCCAACGAAGATTAAAGCTGGGTGTTGAGCTGCGACTGGGACGGCAAGTGGTGGTCGACGGGTGACGTAATATGCTACGTTGAGCTTAAATTTCCATTTCATCCATGGCCATTCCGTTTAAATAAGTGACTGGACAAATGGCTTTTACTGGATGCTGTCTGGGAAGATCCGAGCGCCTCCCAGTCGAATTAGGACTGGTCGTAGAAAGTTTGGGGATATTGCGTGGTTCACAAATTATATCCCACGTTTTGGAATTAGCAATTATAGCTTTCAGGTGGTCGTGCTCTCCAACCGTATCTACCACTTGTTCAAGAATATCACCAATTTGAGGTTATTGGATAATACCGGCAAGACCAATTTCTATAAACATCTTTACTTTAGTAAGGGTACCAATTTAGCAGTAATAACATACCTTGCCAGACAGCAAATACACTTCACTGATTTTTATTATCCCAATTCTTGTAAATTTGTTAGCGTATTGTGCTATTTGAATAAAAGCACATGTAATGTAAATCACAATAATTTATTGTTGTCTCAAAACTTAAATATGCACGTCCGCTTAGCTCAAACTTCTCTTTAGCAATGCCTGGCCTTTGCTACTTAATATAAGTGGAGAGTGCCAAAAATCTAACTTTTTGTACAGTGCCAATGCATTACATATTAGCATAGCTTAAAAGATAAGCGCGCTAGCTTTCGTTCAGATAACTGTATGATCGTATGACCATCTGCCAAGCAAGTGAGCTTAAGTCAAGGTCACCTAAGAGCACAAAACCAACGTAGCTCTTATCTCTCAGTCTGACAATAATTAAGAGTTTGGATAAAATCAACCTTGTAGGAAATCAGCCACTACAATGGCACACTGAAAAATTTATGTTTTATTATTTATCAAAAATGTTTGTTTTAGTAAGGCATTACACCATATGAGGATTTGTTTTCCTATTAATAGCAGCCTGCTCAGATGCGCATTCAAATTAACTATTATACATATAATTTTGAATTAGCTTATGTGATATAGAAAGGCTTGTATTTGCTTTGATTCGCTTACGGATATAACGAGCAACGGCGCTATATTTGGCTTACAACAATTGGCAATCTCATCATGGGTTGGGAATGACTCACTCTCTGGAAGTATGATGACACAAAACTTAGCCAGCTTGGGCATACTCTTTTTAAATCCATCGTTGTGCAAATGCAAATCAAAGGTGATTTTAAGGTTGCGCCGTTTTTGTTTATCGTTGGTCATTGTAGAGTTTTGTACCTGTACAATGTCGAACTTAGAGAATACTTTTTGAAATTTAATATACTCCGCTTCTCTTGTTAAAAAGCCAATTAGACTGTTTGCTGTTCGTGCCTTTTTTTTAACGACTACGTTGTCAGACTCTGCCGGCCGCTTCCGTGTGTCAAAGATGAAACCAGTTGGCTGACTTTCTAAGCTTATATCACTAGTTTCTTCTGATTTCCGACCTATAATTTGCTGTTTAATGGTATCCATGCTCGCCTCAGTTTCTATAAAGAGTGGGGATGCTTTAATATTTTCCGGTACAATAGCAATGTTTCCCAAATTGTGCTTTAACAGCGACCAAATGCATTCTGCCTTCGTTACTTCATTTCTTGTTGCAACAGTATTAACTTGATGCTTTACAACTATATAGCCAGCGCGTGTCAACGTCGAATAGACCAAGTAATTATTAAATTTCTCGTTTGCGGCTTCGCCAAGCAATAGTAAATAAGCTTGCTCCACCGACACAATCATGGATTGATACTCTAATTGCAAACGTCCCTATAAGATGACAAGGAATATAACAAGGAATATAAGCCAGCATGCCATAGATACTCACGGATTCTAGTAAAAACAAGGCCTCGAAATACTCTAAATAGAGTTTGCCATGCTCGCTGTATCCGAAACTTTCAAATTTTCCATCCATTCGAACCACTTCCGCAATTTGTTTACTTTCGTGCCAAATAGCTTTGGCTCGACCATCCAATCGCTCAATTCGCGGTACAGACAGTTGGACTCGCAATTTGGCTAAAAAAAAATTGACTTGACAAAGACTATTGTTATTTTTGAATACTGCTTACCATAAATGTTTTTCAGTTCTATGTCTTCAACCGAGGTACCTTCATTGTGTATACGCTTAAGACCGGAACGTGGCGTCTCAACTTCTACATTTCTGTGTTTTATCAATTCTGCCGCTCTTAAGGAATTAGTTGTAGTTATTGAGCGATATAATTGTGCCCATTTTCATTTAGTAATTACCTTAAATATGAATTTTTTGGCACGATTTCAACAGTTCCATCTTCCAGTGGTACCGCGCTCATTATAACAGCTGCTTCTCGCAGCGTTGCCACATCGATTTTTAAAGCAAGTCACTGTTTCGTGTAGTTCCATTGTTGAACCGCTAGTTCAAAGTATTTACAAGTTAATTTTCGGCCAGAGAAGCCAACGTAAAAAGGTGTCTTAAGAAGAAGGTAAATTCGTTTGAATAATTGTACCTTTAAGGCGCAAATTAAAGACATACCGCATTTAGTGCGCCTACAAAGATCTCGAGCAGCATTTTAAAATAAAGCGCAGTAGATTTGAGTAGCGCAATCAAATAATAATGCTCTAGTTGGTGCGTGCACGTTTTTTTCGATGTTGCACAAAATCGCAAGGCTGTTAAAAAGAATTGAATTGACGGAATTTCATTTACGCCTTCGGCACTATTGGTGCAACATGGACTCCATTGAACTCTTACCCCCTCCAGCTGTGCGAGGCATGAAAATTCTTGAGCGCGACCACTTCAAAAAACATGTGCCAATCCCCAGGCTGCATGTGCCAGAAAACAAGGCGCAACGTGTGTTACCATTGGTAAAAAAGTTGTTGCTTAAAATGGAACACCTACAGCCGGTGCGGGCCGTTGAAGACGGGCGCGAAATACTTTTACATCCTCTGCCCGTGAAAGCCTGGGAATCGCTGCCAACGCAAGAGTTGGAAAAGCTTCAAGTTACCGAGTCCAATTTCATTGTATCAGAACTGCAGCTGGGCTACGAAAATTGGAACGCAAATGAAATACTTAAAAGCGTGCTACCTGCCAATGAGGATGGACTAACGTCCTACTCGCGCATTGGACACATTGTTCATTTAAACCTGCGCGATCATCTACTGCCCTACAAACAGCTCATTGGCGAGGTCTTGCTCGACAAGGTACCCAACTGCCGGACAGTGGTAAATAAGGCGGCAACTATAGACAATACCTATCGAAATTTTCAACTGGAACTGATATCCGGCGAAGCCGACTACCAGGTTGAAACTAAAGAGAATGGAGTGCCTTTTGAGTTTGACTTTTCCAAGGTGTATTGGAATCCAAGGCTCTCCACCGAGCATGAGCGCATTGTTAAGCTGCTGCAGGAAAATGATGTGCTATACGATGTCTTTGCGGGCGTTGGTCCATTCAGTGTTCCAGCAGCGAAAAAACGCTGTCATGTACTGGCCAACGATTTGAATCCTGTAAGTTTTCATTGGCTACGGCATAATGGCAAACGTAACAAATGTCTGACCCATTTAAAAATGTACAATAAGGATGGGCGTCAGTTTATTTTGGAAGATGTACGCCAGGATTTATTGCTGCATTGGCGTACGCCTTCGGAATCAAAGTATAGTATACACATTACAATGAATCTGCCAGCATTGGCTGTTGAATTTCTAGACGCATTTCGTGGTCTATATACAGCCGAGGACTTAACTGATTTACCAGAAACCGTAATTTACCCCACTGTGCATGTTTACTCGTTTGCCAAGGGGGAAAATACAAAGGCATTGGTACGGCAGCTGGTGGAAGACAATCTGGGAGCACCTTTGGGCAATGAATTGGAGAGCATAAGCTTCGTGCGCAATGTTGCGCCCAATAAGGACATGTATCGTGTTTCTTTTAATCTTACGAAAGATCTACTATTAACACCAAAATCCGTACCGTCCCGAAAGCGAATTGCGACTGAAGATATCGAAAACGTAGTCGACAAAGTTAAATGTGTTTAAATATGCATAATAAAGATTTTAATTTACAATCGAACTCTGAAAGTGTATATATGTCTATAGTGCCTCATTTATTTGCAGCAAAACAGACATGGGTCGCAATAAGTCAAAAGCGAATGCCAAAAAGGGAGGTGCCGGTGCTACCGCAGCTGCCAAACCCAAAACCCCACTTAGTAAGTCGAAAAAGGCCAAAAATATATTCAAGGTCGCTGATAACAACAAGGGCAGGAAGAAGCCAAAGGAAGTTCAGGGCAAATTAAAGCAGGTGAGCCCTGCCCATTAAATAGATCCAACCGACTATAAAAAACACGCAACTTTACAGATCAAAGAGGCCGTCAAGACCAAACAGGAGAAGGTCGACGCCAGCCTTAAGGCGTTGCATCAGGATCTGGTGGTAAAGAAGCCAAAGCCTGCAGCAGTTACGCCGATAAAGAACACCAAAAAACCGGCAGCAAATGCCAAGAAGGTATCCGACAAACTTGGAAACCTCAAGTTTTAAGCTATAATGTCTATCAAGCAACATAGCCATGTCTAGTTAATAGTATAATCGTTCAATCCTTTTAGAGACAATCTTGTCTTCTAGTGTAGTCCCAATTTTAATCAATGCCTAAACAAGTTTTTGTTTTCTCGGCACAATATTGTGCAAAATATATGATAGATATATTGAAAACTACCATTAAACAACGACTGGCACTGAAGCTGGCGTTGAAGTTACAGTTGCAACAGTTGTATTTACTGCATTCCAGCCAAGTGTTTCACGTATGATCCGATCCAACTGCACGATATCAATGTTCAATTCCTGTAGCTCTGCTATTAGGGTCTGACCTTCGGGAGATGCCAAAAGACGTTCGTAGACTGGCTGCAAATCGTTGAGGCGCCTCCAAAATTGTGCAAAGATACCTCCTTCAAGCAATTTAGTTTGAATATGAGCACGAATAGTGTGTAGTGGAACGTAGAGCTGCAGCTCATCAATAAAGCCTCGGAAACCAAAGACCGTAGCCGACCAATAGGGGAAGGGATTCACCAGGCTGACAATCAGTTCAATCTCTTCCAACTCTAGGGGGCCACCGGAGGCCAACAACTGCTGATTTACCCACTGTTTAAAGGCCAGTACCTCAGGCTGGGAACGCACGATCCAGCGTAGATTAAATGCCTCTCGGCTATTGACAATCCGTACAAACCCCTGGAACTGGGCATCGTTGATGAGGTAACGAACCAGCAGCTGGCTGATTGACTGAATTTGAGCCAACCTATAGATTTCATCAAGGTCCTGCGTGAGTGTGGGTGGTGGTGGTGGAGTGACAGGCACAACCACGGGGGGGCCTCCAATGACAACTGCACCTTGCGGTGGTGGTGGTGGCACCAAAGCACAGGTGCTGCTTCCTAGGCACAATAGCAACAGACTGATCACTGCAATATTCATGACTGGTTTCCGAAACAACTAGCTTATTGCCTTATATACGTATAGCTAGTTGGACGAGTTGGCGTTTATTCTGTCAACTGATCATCAGATAAGCGTTAAAGAATTTGCCGCATCCTATTTGTTGACTTTGCTGCTGACGCTATTAGGTAATACGCCTGATAACCAGTTGCTTCGATCCGTTTATAGTGGAGGCGGTTACTCATCAGAAAGGTCTGCATCAAAATATGCCAACAAAGGTAACAACATTAATAAATTTGTAGAGTTGAACATTTTTAAAATTATCACTGAATCTTCTCACGTGTCTACAGATATTCTCAGCCTTATCTAGAATTTAAAACACCTTAATTCTTTGTGTAAATTATCAACAACAACAAACGAACGATGACAGGTTGGGATCCCAGTTTAATCCGTAGAGAATAAGCTGTAGGAGTTATTCTTCACCGACTCAATATGTTTCTGATGATTTCTATATTACGGACATGAAACGAGATTTGAGCATATGGTAGAGAGAGAAGTTTAGTTGTATAAGGGCCAGTACATTTTTTGGACCAAAACTTAACAAATCCAAGTATAGTATAGGCTTATTTACAGTAACTGAGATGAGCGGTTTGAAGTTCAATTTAAAATCAAAAAGTACCTCAACTATTGAGATAAGTTGTAATGGCACATTGTCAACCTCATGTTTCGAATAGAGACCAGTCTCTATGAAAATTAATAAAGTTACATTTACAAAAATGAAGGTGCAAGTCTGCATGTTAATTAAATCATCCTGTAAACGACGTTGTTAGGAACCGACAAAGAACAATTAGTGTTCAACAGCAACCATGTCATAAACAATTATCTGTGTTTCTTTACAGTACTTTATTTTCAAATTTAATGATGAACAATGCATAACGCAGCAGGGACCGAAACTAACCCACAAACAAACACAATATATTTAATTTGAGCCTAGAACAAGAACTGGACGTAATCGAGGCATACATACTCGTGTACATGAAAACAAACCCCAGGGCTTAGACATATTTAGAAGTCCGCGAGATTCTTTCGAACTTAAAGCTTAAAACATAAAACATAGTAGATACATTTGTAATAGGTAAATATTTTGATGACTAACTTATCACTAAATGATAAAGGCATATGAAGTGACTAGCTACCGTCGTTGTTTCCGCCACCCCTACGACGCATCCAATTGGGCATATGGCCGCGTATTGCCTCGCCAAGCTGGCGATAGATCATGAGTGCCAATATAGGAAGTACTAGTCTGGCGTCCTTGAACAAATACACATAGCAAGCGACCAGAAACAGCACCAGATCGGTGGAATAGCTGACCGCAGAGCGTACCTTTTCATGAGCCTGCTCCTCTGAGTGTGCCACCGCCAAAGCGGCTGCTTTCTCTAGTAAATCACGATCGGCGGCTGACAGGATCAGCGCCGTTTGTGAACCTCGATCGAGGGCTTGGCTTAGGTCCACTGCTGGTCGATTGAGCGAAGCATCGCGAGAGCGCGTGCTGGAAGGAACACGTCGCTTAATTACTCGTTTTACCTTGACCAGACGCGTGCGTCCCCGAGCATCTGGGCGTGCCTCCACAATTTCGCTCATAACACTCTCCGACTCGCTGGTAGTCTTGTTTTTGGTTTTTGGTGATGGTACGACCAACAAGGTGGGATATTCGGGATCTTCCGCCGACTGTGCATCGATGGGTGGCGTTTCGGGCGTCTTGGTTTGTGGCTTGTGCATGGCTAGATTGCTGGCCGCATCTCGTACATGAACAAGTTGTTCGCGCTCAGAAATCGAAAGGCGGCGTTCCCGACTAATTGGAGGTGGCGCCAGTAGGTTATCATTATCGGGACTGGGGGCGCGACGCTTTTGGAGTTCGGTAGCCAAATTGGTTTCCTCATCTTCGTCTTCACTCTTTTGACCAGCCTCCTCTGCTGCTCGCGCCGCGGCCCGTTTTAGTTCGTCACGATCGAGATAAAGCGGCGTGTGATATTTATGAGTACTGCTCACCTGGCGCACCAGATCGCTGTAGTGATCGACGGCGGCATGCGCCTCCTCTTGCATTAGGCGTTCCAGCTCCTGACGCTTCAGATCCTCTTCCTCCTTTGCCTTGCGTTTTATCTCCAGATCGGCTGCAATGGCGGCAGCATTAGTTTTCTCTAATGGATTTGAGATTTCCTGATTTGCTTCTGTATTCTTTTCGGTGGCTGAACGTTTGTCGCGAGTAAAAAACGATTTTATACCTTTTGCAAGGTCCAGTTTTAAATTACTTGACGGTGTAATTGACTGTGGATTGGTAACAATATCGCTATTGATAACTACAGGCGGACTGCTGGGCGTACTTTGCTCAACGTTTTCATTAGACGATCGCTTCAAAATAGGCTTAGGCACAAAATCAGGGCTGGGCAATGGCACAGGACGTGTTAATACAACAGCAGCTTGTTCGGGGGTGGGGGCCCGATAAGGAGTAAAGGTTCCGGCTGTCATGTTGCGCGGATGATAAGTCTCCAGATCACGAGGACTCGGTGAATGCGTACGTGCCATCAGCTCCATTTTGAATTTTTCTATCGAATCCTGGTCGGAGGAGGCAGTGCTTTCAGTGTAGTCAGAGCCCAGATCGTAGCTGCTGGTTTGTTGACGCTGTGGCTCATAATCCTCGATGTCTTCCATCTCCTCGCTGTCCTCAGCTGTGCTTTCCGTGCGGTCCTCTTCTTGCTCCTCATCATCCTGGCTGGACTGTTGCGTAATAAGCATACCAGTGGTTCGAGAAAGTGGCTTCATGTCATTAATATTTTCCCGTGAGCTCCATTTGCGACCCAAGTTTGTCTGTTTCAGATCCTGCACCACATCGGTCGACTGACGACGAAGCTCGCTTCTTCGCTCAAAGGACAAACGCTCCGCCTCACTCATAGAGCCCAAGCGTTTGCGGAAGATACTCTGTGGCGGAGGTGGATTCGATGGTGTGGCTAGCTTATCTTGAGAAACCTTTTGTTTGCGCACCTTCTCCGCTTCCTCTAGCTCAACAGCCTCATAAAATCTTGCCATGGCTCGCTCATAGAGCAGCTCCGTGGAACTAACAGAACGTCGCAGCGGGAACGTGGTATGCAAGTTGGTAAATTCTAAGAAGGCTAGATCAGGCGCAGATATGGAAATTGGCGGCGGTTGTATGGCATCCTCCAGGTCCAATTCAAAGGAATCTTGCTCTGAACAAAAGAAAAATTAATACATCATGATCTCTTTGTAAGAACATATTGTACTCACTGTCTTTATCCTTGACCTTGCTATTCTTGTCGAACACGACGAGCATGAACTCATTGCTCGTGTGGACGTCTTCATGTTTGTCCGTTGACCTTAGAGGACGCGATGCAGGAGGTGTCGAATCCGATGTGGCAATTGGTGGTGTTTCAGGCACAATAGTTTTTGAAGCTTCTATAGTAATCTCTTTGGGCGAATCCGGAGCTGGTGGTGCACTGATTTCGATTATAGGATTGGGCAATTTTTCGCCACCCAACGCACTCGTGGCAATCGCAATTGCCAAAGACGGTACATTCTTTGCTGGACTCAGGGCGTGTCCCGCAAAACGACGCACATTCTGATTAACTCCCAATTGTACAGGCTCGGCACTACGCTGCAGCGCTGGTGTGGACTTGATGGGCTGGGGTGGTGTGGGACTTTTTCGTAATGGTGTTGACTGTCTGATTGGGCTCAGGCTACGCTTCCGTTCAAGGGTCGATTGTTTAGGTGGAACCTCCGGCGCTTTTGAGGGTTCTGGTGATGCCAACGGCGGTGGCGGCAGTGGCTGAGGTTTCTGAGATGTAGGCCTGGGACGGACTGGTGATTTGTCCTTTTCAGATGTGGATTTTGGCTTAAACAATTTGAGAGGTGACGGTGTTGGCGTACGTTGCGGAGATTTTTGCTTAGCCACAGGCGATTCTGGCGTATCTGGCACTGCGGTTGTGGTAATGACCGTCAGATTTAGCTTTGAGTTTACTTTGGAGCTCTGCAAAGCTGTGGACTCAGCACTACTTAACGATGGACTTTTGCGCACATCCATTTTAAGTGCTTGATCGGATGTGCCATAAGACATCTCGCGATGCAGTTCTTCATTGTCAATTAGTTGAGGTCGTGGCTTCCGCACTGCGGCAGGCGATTGTTTTGGCGACATTCCAGTAGCCGCATCCACGTGCGGACGAGGTGGTGATAACGTCTTTCGACGTGGAGGCACTGGGTTTCCCTTCTGCTTTTCCTTCTCTTTGTCATCGGTGATTTTTGTAGCTGATTTCGGTTTCGTTATACCGCGTTTAGGATCTGGTATGAAAAGCACGTCGGATTCGATAGAAGGTTCACTAAGGCCATAGGGGTTCTCGGCTTTCACACGAAACTTGTATTCGGAGCCCTCGATAAGATCATGTAACGTTGTACTGAGAGAGCGTGTTGTGGCCGCCTTTAGCCACACATTCCATCCAATGCGAAAATATTCAACGATATAGTTTCCAATTTTACAGCCTCCGTCGTCAACGGGTGCCGTCCACGAAAGCGTAGCCGACCTGCCGAACGACATATTAAGACGCACTCTGCCAGGCGGATTGGGACGTGCTGTTACTGTGACCAGAAAAGATGTCATATCCTCGCCCAGCTTGTTCCAAGCACGCACCATATACTCTCCACGATCTGAGCGGTACACGTTGTCGATTTTCAGCAGTGAATTCTTATCTGTATTCGTAATCTCGAAGCGCCCGCCTTGCGCTATTACCTCACCCTCATGAAGCCAGGTAACGACCGGCGGTGGCTGTCCAGCAACACCCACCTTTAGACGTAACACCTCGTCCGCTTCGACGATCAGCCCGTCCTCATAAGTACGTGGCAACCGTATTTTGGGCGGTGCCTGCACCATAAGACGTGCTTTAGTCACCACATGACCGGCACGATTTGTGGCCGTGCATTTTATTTCACCCTCGTCAGTGAGCGCCACTTGATGTATGATAAGGACGCTGACATCGTTTTCGTTGACAATTTTCGTTCGTCTGCTGCTAAAAATTTCGTATCCATCCTTAAACCAGTTGATCTCGGGTGGTGGTTCGCCCAGTATGCGCACACGAAACTCGATGCGCTCATCCTCTACGGCGTCTGTGTCCAAAAGCTCGTCTATAAAGCGTGGAACGGTAATCGCGTTACGCTGCAAGGTGACGGTCAGTGGATCGGACAGCTCGCTAGCATCTGACCGGCCCACAATGTTCTCGGCGAAGGCGCGAAACTGATAACGCCAGCCAGGCTCAAGGCCACTGATGGACACTTCGCAGCCTGCTATGGGCGTGGGCGTGGCACGCACCCAATGAGGCGAGCCCATACGACGATGCTCGACAACGTACCCAGTGATAGGCGAGCCCCCATCCAATACTGGACGCTCCCAGCGCAAGTTCACTACATCGGGCTGTTGCTCGGAGAGCGGCGTCAAAATTGGACGACCCGGCGGAGAGGGCCTTTCTGAAAGCACAGGTAAAGCAAATAAAACACTCTATGTTAATAGACTCTCGCATTTGCACACTCGATGTGCGCCTTCATTTTGAAAGCATTTTCGAAAACATTACTTTGCCCGTCTTTTAACATTTTAGGCCAAATATGCCAAACACGAACACACAGGCAGACGCGACCAAAGCATCAGTGTGTGTTAGGAGCGGGCTGCTGTGGCCACGGCAACCACTTGAATATGTGAGTTTCTAAAAATAACTGCATTTCTAGCGCTCCCACCATCTATGTGGGCTATGTTGCTGTGGCACTGCCGAACGACCAATTATAATTATTTATAATAAGCACAGTAAACAGGAATTTACAATTATTTATGTGGGGGAAGACAGCTTAAACTTGCCTGCAGATTTCCAATGCACATTTTTTTTGGGACGTCCACTCTGTGTATGGGCTTGGAGCTTGCCAGGCTGATTACCCATATCGATACTCAATTTTTTTGATATGCAATATTTTTACATATGTATATAAAAGTATCTATATATAGGCAGCCAACATTAACTGCTCAGTCTTGGCTCAGTCCGTTACTCGACGTAAAGTAAATTTAAGATTTTCGACACTTTATTTTATGTTTCTAATAATGCAATTTTTTTGTTTTCACCATAATTGTTTTCTCAGTTGCAGGCGAATTACGGGCCATTTTTGCGGCACGTTAAATAATCCGTTTCGTTCTCAGCAACATTTCGTTCTCCAACTGTCGCGCTAATAAGAATTGTAGCATTGCCAGCAGCAAGAAAATTGATCGATACTTGTGCTCGGAATACAAAAACAAATTTATCGAATAACAGGCGCCCTTCTTTTTGATTCATTCGTCATTCACACGACGCGCAAGCATCATCAACCCCAACAACGCACTTACTAAGTGCCTTTTCGCATTAAAATATTTAAAAAGTTGATTGTTAAGTTAAAAGTGCTCTAAGCTTTATATTTATAAATGAAACTGACCGCATAACATAAAAAACAACAGTATTCTCCATTAAGGCTGAAGCAAAACGCAAAACAAAGTCAAGTGCAGGGGTGCTACTGCTGCTGCTCCATTGCTGTAAAAACTAGTTTTGTGCTCTAACTGCGTTAACTCCGGCGACCGCTATTGCGTGCTATGTGGCCATGTGTCTTAATTAATTGCGAAGAAAAGAAAATTTAATATTTTACTTGCAACTTTTTAAGTTAGCATTTTGTTGGCATTGCAACTGCGCATGCATGTGCGTGTGGCAGTGTCCCTATGTGAATGTATGTATATGCATATGTGTGTTGTTGTGTGCCAGTGTTTGGGAGGCTGTCAACCTGTCGCTGATAGATAATTAAGCCCAAACAGACGCCAGCGCCGGCGGCGATATACTACTAGAAACAAAGAAACAGCAGCCGCTAGCTGAAGTGCAGCTGTGTGGACGTGACAGGTGCAACAACAGAAGCAGCGGTGGCGGCGGCTTAAATTAATATTCGAGTCATACACGCACACATACGCAAGCACAATGTCTGGGACGGCAACGCCAATGGAAATTGACGAATTCATAAATGGAGCACTTGTTTCTTGGGTAAGTAAATAAAATGTCTCATAAGTATGCAACGTGCTTGGAATAATTTATTAAATGTTAAATTTACATAAATATAACAACGCACATATGTATGTATGCATGTAATTTTGTGGGAGCAACGCGCATTGATTTCCGCATCGCCATGGCCCCAAGGTCATTGTAACTGGCTTTGACTCTACGGTACAAAATGTATGTTGTCATTAGTGCGACTTTGCTGCTTTTTGTCTGCGCCGCTGCCCACGGCGGTCTTTCGCTGGCAAAGACATAAACATTACCATTGTTAAATGAACTATATATGTACATACATGTGTGTATGTATGAGCCTCTTGGCCAGCCGGGCCTTTTGTCCATGCTGCATACCTTGTTAAAGTTAATTAAGATATGTTTGTTAAATGTTGAAGTCGACTTTTTACCTTAATTGGGTTGTCGATTTGTATCTAATTGTCCATAGAAAGCAATGCCAACTCACTATTTGTATTCCCCTGCTTTCAGTTGGAATCTTGTCTGCCACGTGCCGAGATACTGGCCGGTTACACATCTTTGCTGGATGGCCTCATAATACATAGTGTTTGGCTGCAAATTGATCCGGAGCCCCAGAACAATCCCAATGAGCTAATCGATCTGAGTGGCTTATCTTTGAATATAGCTCGTGCTAAGAACTTTGAATGCATTGTGCGCAACTTAAAGTCCTTGTTCGAGGAGGAACTTGGTCAAACCATACTCGTTCTGCCTGATGCCTTTACTTTAGGCTACTACCCAGAGAGCAAAAATGGTCTGGAACAAATGAAGACACTGCTTACATTGCTTCTGGGCGCGGCCGTGCAATGTCCGAACAAAGAGCTCTTTATAGCACGCATCAAAGAACTGGATTTGGAGACCCAGCATGCTATTGTGGGACTGATCAAACAAGTCACCGACAGCCATAGCTTGGTGCTCACCGAAGACTCACTGGACCGGCTAACGCCAGAGAATATGTACGCACACATATTACGTTTAACGAAGGAGCGCGATAACATGTACTTGAAGTGGATCGAAACTGTCTGTGTAGAGCCGGAGGCCAACGCTAGCGAAAGTGTGGAATGTGTTGCTGGCACTGGAGTCCCGCGCTCTCCTTCAAGCGTCACAGCTACTTCAACGCCTTCGTCTTCATCCAATTCGGAAAGCAATCACCTGGCGGTCGAGTGTGCAGATCTTAGATCCAAGAACCGAAAGCTGCGACAAGAACTGTGAGCTACTGAATTAAAACTCAATATGTTTCACTTAAAAATTTATTTCATTTAACAGCGAGGAGAAATCAGAAAATCTGTTGGAGTTGCGCGAAGAACTTGATGACAAGAAGCTGCGTTTCGAAAAACTGCGGCAGGAGGTAAGTAGTTTGAAATTTCTCTACGTCGATTCTTATTTGATTTTCAAACATCTTATAGAGCCAAGAGTGGTTTGCGGAGGCAAAGCGTGCTGCCGCATATCGAGATGAAGTGGACATATTGCGAGAACGTGCCGAACGCGCCGATCGTCTGGAGATTGAGGTGCAGAAGTATCGCGAAAAACTGGGTGACTCGGACTTTTATAAATCGCGCGTTGAGGAATTGCGCGAAGACAATCGCGTACTACTCGAGTCCAAGTACGTCAACAATTAAATTAGTAATATAAAATTACATGATCACAAATTACAAATCACAAAACATTTTTAGAGATATGCTGGAGGAACAACTACAAAGATCGCGAAAGCGTTCGGAGCATGCAATAACATTGGAATCGGAAATCATAAAATACAAACAAAAGCTTAACGACATGGCCTTAGAACGGGACGTGGATCGCTCAAAGTTAGAGGAGCTATTGGAGGAGAATGCTCAACTGCAGCTGGTGGCCAAAAATTTGAATTCAACGCAAGAGTTTGACAAATCATTTTCCGACAATGAAGACGACTGTAATTCAGGTGATAACAGCTTATCCGAGCAACTGACCAACAATGCGCAAACACGCGCCCTCAAGCTAGAGTTGGAGAATAGACGCCTCACTGCCGCCTTGGAACAGCTAAAGGAGAGCTCTTTCCACGAGTCCACGAGCAAAATGTTGGAGCTCGAGAAAGAGAAGAAGAAACTCTCACTGAAAATCGAGCAAATGCAGGAGAACATACAGAGATTAACACAACAAAATGTAGAACTGGAAAGCGTGTTCAAAAATGCATTGGAGGAGAATAAGAAACTACAAGCTGCCGTTGATAATCGCCAAAAATCATATGATCGTCAAAGTCTGGAACGTGAAGCCGATCGGCAGAAGCTTTCCGATGTGGAACAGCATGTAGAAACTCTAAACAAAGAGAAGCAGCGCATACAAACCCTTAATGAGAGCATACAACGTCGTGCCGATGACTTGGAGCGTTTAGTGGAGAGTAAAGGCAAGGAGCTTGAACAGTTTACAGAGAAAACACAGCAATATGAGCAAACCAAACACAGGCTTTACGAAATTGAGGCTAAGGTGTGTACATACGAGCGGGAAAATGCCAGTCTGCTTAAGGAAGTATCTAAGCTGAAGGAGGGCAGTGAACAGAAATCGGTGCAACTGGACGAAAGCATCAACAGATTGGATGTGCAAACCAAGGAGCTTATACGGCTGGCCAAAGCCCTGGAAGAAGCAGAACTCATGCAGCTTAAGTTAACCGAATTGGAGAAGCAAAACAAGGACTTGGTATCGCAACATGATATTGACCAGGAACTCATCACTACACTGCGAAATGACTTGGTGACTGGGACACTTGTTACCAAAAAGGTACGACACAATCTAGAAAAACTAGGCCTGAGTGTGGACGAATCAAGTGGAGAGCCAACCGAGCTGAATGTCGAGCATGTGGTCGAGAAACTAGTGCGCAATCCAGAGACTTTCAAAACTGTTCGCGAAATCATGCTCACTGTCAACCGTGAGCAACAAGAGGAAGCGGAAGCCCAGGGTGGTGAGCATGCCAAGTCCGATATGTGTGTGCTCTGTCATCGTCAGGAGATCTACACTGTTGAGAAGAATATAGAATTGGGCGGAATTGCGCCTCAAGAGCTGCGCTTTGAACACAAAGTACGTCTCAGTCCCTCACACGATATGGCCGAAGTAATGCGCCTTACTGAGTCCAACGCACAGCTACAAAACCATAACCTAGAGCTCCAATCCAACAACGATCTACTGCAAACCGAAAACGCACGGTTAAGTGTAGATGTTGCCGCGCTAGGATCACAGATCACATCGCTAAATACACAACATGTGGCATTACAGTTAGCCAATTCCCAGTTGGCTGCTGAAAAGGATACACTGATCAAGGACATCGATGCACTGAAGCAGGAACACAAGCATGCATTGCAAGATCAGGTGACACTACAGTGCCTGCACGATCAACTCTCCGCAGAATACGAATCCCTTAACAAGGACAAAGAACAGTTAAAAGCGGCCGTCCGCGATTTACGCAATGAGATGCGCGATGCCCGCGAAAACATAACAGAGTTGGAGAAACGAATTGAGGAGCTGACGACACAGAACAGCACCATGAAATCATGCAGCGAGGATCTTACCATATTACGCACCGAGCACTCCAAGCTAACAGACGATTTTCGCAATCTTTTCGCAACTAGCGATCGCTTTAAAAACGAGTACAAAAACATACAGGAACAATACAAAATGATACGCGAGGAGCACAGTCGCATGAGGCTACAGAATACGGAGCTGTCTGGTGAGCTAAATACCAAAACGGATCAAGTTCGGCTTTTGCAAATTGAATACACAAAGGTGCAACAGCGCTGCGAGGTTAGTCTTTTCTTAAATAATACTTTTACATATATCTAAAAAAAAAAAGGTGCAATCTCGAAACTTATTACACAGATGCTGATACAAAACAATGCGGATTTAGATGCCGAACGGAAGGCCTTGATGGAGAATGTATCACAACTTTTATCGCAATATCATGAGCTTTTGGCCATTTCTTTAGAAGACAAAAAACATTTCCATGAGGAGGAAAAGAACTACACAGAACGTGTGCACAGTTTAAAGAGGCAAAAGGAAAAGTTGGAAGAGAAAATTATGGAGCATTATAAGAAGTCTGAGTCTACAGTACAGAAGAAGTAATTTTTTTTCCTTCTTAGAAGTGAATTAGTTTAGTAATAACGAGTGTATATTTATAGGAAGCCCTTTGCCAGCAGTTTGGTACGCCGCGTTAAGAAGGCAAGTTCGGATTTAATGAACAAGGTGCCCAGTCGTGTAAGTTAAAAAAAAAGAATCAAATAATAGCTACTACATAACCATGCATCTCTATTGTAGAATCGTCGCTCTTGGGTGGATGATGCACGTGCTAGTTCGCAGTTTGTGATTGGTTCGGAGTCGGGGGGCAATGAGTCTGACAACAGCAATGAGGAGCCACTCTCCATAGCCTCCGATACGCATTTGTTGCAGCGAAATGTACCATTGCGTCAGAGCCTGCAGCGGTAAGTGGGAGTCATTTCGAATGTTTCCGGAGAGTTTTGGTTTATGGTTCCACTTTTACTTTCATGTATAATCAAACGCACAACTCTACACACGCACAAAACACCCACATGTATGTAAATATATAGGGATATGTTTCTGGATAACCCAATCACACGCGGTGGCACAGTACGCAGTAGTTTGCAGGCCCAAAAACGTACGGATTTAAATAATTCACGTAGAAATAGCGTGCACGGGTATGCTTCTAATTCTTTAACCCCAACGTTCAACGACGACAAAGTTGTGCCCGGCGACAAAGCAAGCCTACTAATTACCACTAATGCGAGCACGCCTTTGAAAGCTTTGAACAAATGCAGCCCCATTCAGTTTAATTTAAACCTTATAATATTCTCAACTCATTTGTGCCCACAGCAGTCTTGAAGCGCCGGATGTGACAGGCAGCAGTTTAACTCTAGGAGCTGCTGGTTCGCGTCGCACCGTTTATTTAATCGATGAGCATCAAAAGCTGCCCGATGGCTCGACCAACACACAAAAGCAACCACAACAGCAACAAGCAACCGCTAACAGTAGCGGCAGCACAACTGGGACTTCAACGCCCACACCTGGAGCATCGGAAACGCAAACGCCACAGAAAGCGAACGCCGCAGAGAGTCCGGGCACTTTCCTCATGTACAATCGCATCATAAACACAACAATTGGTGGTTCAGGGACCAGCAACGATCAGAGTCCGTTATTGCAGGCAAGTGGGAGCGGAGGCAGCGTTTCTGGTTCTGCCGGACAGGTGGATGACAAAGGATTGCGCAAACGCAATGAGGATAAGAGTAACAGTATTTGGTACGAATATGGTTGCGTTTAATACGTCCAAGCATTTTGAATTTAATGTGCATTTGCTGAACGAAGTATTATTTCGTTTTAGAAAGTAACGAATTTATTTTTTTTCGAATATACATACAAACATACGTACATACTATATGTCTGAATAATGTTGAGCATAGTGATGCATATATAATGATGTGTTTATAATGTTGCCTTAAGCTAGTAAAAAGTGCTTCTTAAATGCTATGATTTGCCTTAAGACCATACTCGTGCACTGTGTTGCAAATAGTATGGGTAGTTAAAAATGTGTGTATTTTTGTATACTGCTTCCTAGTGTTATTGTATTGTATTTTGTTTCAGATATACATATATATATATATATATATTAGTTTTATGTATTTAAATATAATATAATAATATGTATTTAATTTAAATATAATAATGTCCACTAAAATCTAAAAATGAAGACTACAAGGTAACTACTCCGAATTCATAACTATCAACAACAAATATACAACTTAAACGACAAATACTTAAATTTTGACACTAGACGTTGAAAAACTTCTTTGTAAAAATACTTGATGCACGTTTTATGGAATTTATATCGTCCAAAATGTAACGCTTCTAATTTTATAAGAGCAAAGGATCAAAATACAAATGTATACCCAGCTATGTATTCCTAATAACTATATTTAAATTATTGTGCTGCTAAAGCTATGAGTGTAGATAAAAACACTTGAATGTTTTCAAAATGCGAGCATTAATATAAAGTAATTTATTAAAGCAATCCCAAATAAGCAATAAAACAGACAAATAAGCATAAAACTGTCTTTTACCATCATTTGTTGAAATGAATGCAAACAAATAGATAAAAACCCATAAATGATATATAGGCAAGTTTATATTTAAAAGACATTTTCGTACGCAGCATTTTAGTTTAAAAAGTGAACCGCGCTAGCGAAGAGATCTCTACGATGTGGCTAAAACTAATAACAGTATTGGTAACTATTTATAATTCCTTAGAAAGTACCAAAAGAAGTCCTGAAATTCGTTTTCCTGAATTTTCAGCTACTTGTGCAGAGCATAGCAGCGGTTTGTAATGAGTGCCAACCGAATTATGCAGCCTGCCATAGTGTCAATACATACTCGATCTGCATAGACGGTAAGTGTCGCACTCAGAAAATCTTTCTTTGGTTAATTGGTTAACAATTCTACACGTCTAGACGTACCAACACAGAATTATATAACCTGCCCGGAAGGAATGTATTGCAACGACGGCAAGTATATTTGTTATGAAGGTAATGAAACTATATCTAGCTGTTGGGTGGAACCAACAACTGAATCAACTACAACTACTGAACCAACCACAACTACAACTACTGAACCAACCACAACTACAACTACTGAACCAACCACAACTACAACTACTGAACCAACCACAACTACAACTACTGAACCAACCACAACTACAACTACTGAACCAACCACAACTACAACTACTGAACCAACCACAACTACAACTACTGAACCAACCACAACTACAACTACTGAACCAACCACAACTACAACTACTGAACCACCCACAACTACAACTACTGAACCACCCACAACTACAACTACTAAATCAACGACACCTGCTGTTTGGGATCCAGCGGAAACTTGCAGGGAATTGCAACAAACCACCAATTTTAAAGATCAGACCGATCCTACTTGCAAAAGGTAATTAAATAAGCCGTTCGTAATTCCGAATTCAATCATATTTGCGAAGTCGAAATTGGAAGAAGTTCTTGACCTCGAAAAATGAATTTGGTATTCGGTGTGACAAATGCAAAAGGAGACATGCATTGAGACGTTCTCTTATTTTAAATCGACCTTAAAACACGCCAAATATTATAAACTATTTATTTACTATTTCCGCTTTTTCAGTTACTTTTATTGTTTTGCGAATAATGGAGAATTTATACTAAGTCCAAAAACTTATGATTGTGGAGAAGGTTGGTTTGATGATACTATCCGTAAATGCAGCGATACAAAGCCTGAAGGCTGCATCTAGACTATATTTGATGAGTTCTTCAGACTACGCATATATTCCGAGAAGTCAATTAAGTAATCAGGAGGGTGTGGTGTTATTATATCATAATCAGCATTGATTTATAAACATTTAGTTATTGTTGTTTTTTTGTGGGACTATAAAGTACCGCCAAAAATCTTTATGACATGTACTTGAACAGATTCTGCTAAAAATAAAAATTTACCACGAAACAGAAACAAGGTGTTGCCATTTATCTAATAATTATTGCCACTCCATAATCAAACAACTTATCTTATTGTAATTTCGAACAATACTAACCCAATATTTTTTAACTGCATGCGCAAAACATGTTAGTTGACTATTATATTTCGATTGTTGCGGATGTTCTGAAGCAAAAATGAAGGCTGTAAGTATTTAGTGCAAATTCAAATGATTTTAAGGTAACTGAAACTCGATATCTGATAAAGGGTTTTATGGTGGTGCTACAATTATCAATTCTGATGTCACAGATATATGCACAATGTAATGTTTGTCAATCGAAAAGCCACATGGCCTGTCACGATGAAACAACATTTTCACTCTGCATTGATGGTAAGTTGAGAAAACGATCCGAATCAGATAATCTGACTTATAACTTGTTACCAGGCGTGGCAACTGGCGACAAAATTGTGTGTCCTGAGAACATGCATTGCACCGATGATGTTTATATATGCTATAACCAAGAGGAAACTGTAGCCAATTGTAAGACTCAGAATGTTGATTCGGGCTCAACGGTTTTTCCATTACTACGCGATCCACAAACTTTTTGCAACGAAACCCAAGTTTCTGGTCTCCACAAAAACGAAATGGACTTAACATGCAAAACGTAATACCTACGGGATTTGTTATATATATTTCATTAATTTTTCCTGTCTCATTAGGTATGTGATATGCAAATCTCATACGACCGATGGCTGGATTGGTGTTGAAGCGAATTGCCCAAAGGATTTATGGTATGATGAAGTAAAGCGCTACTGTCTTAAGGAAAAGCCCTCCCCTTGTATATAATTATTAAATTTGGAACTATAAAATAAATCCATTTAATATAAATGGTATATTTATGTATTTTGTAAAATTAAATCTTGAAGGCGAGAAAATCTCGACTAACATCGGTAAAATATATATTACGGCAACAAGACAATACAAATTATTTAAAATTATAATAGAAGACGAAGTTCAATAAATTGTTTTAAATATTTATTAAATATAAAAATAATATCAACGCATTTTATTATCTTAACAATCGGACGGCCTCTCCGTTCCACATCGTCCAGTCTCAGAATTGAAATATTCATTAGTATTACAGTGAAATAACCAGCCCAAAAGTTGTCCGGATAGATCATAACAATAAATATAACTGCAAATTAAAAAATCTTTATACATACATATCAGGCGTATGTATAATTATACTGAATACTTACTCTTTGCACGTTGGATCGCTTTCTACTCTGAAGCTACCTTCCATCTGTACATTGGCACAAAACGTGACAGGGTGTACTGTTGTGGGTACTGGCGTCGTGGTTGACGCAGAATCTGTCGGAGAGACAGTAGAAGGGGTAGTAGATGAATCCATGGTAGATTCGGAAGAAGAAGGACGACTAGAAGTAGAGGACTCAGTACATGAAATTGTTGTGGATTCCGATGTAGTCGAAGGGTCAGACGTAGAGGATTCAGTACTTGAAATCGTTGTAGATTCCGATGGAGTCGAAGGGTCTGACGTAGAGGACTCAGTACTTGAAATCGTTGTGGATTCCGATGGAGTCGAAGGGTCTGACGTAGAGGACTCAGTACTTGAAATCGTTGTGGATTCCGATGTAGTCGAGGGATCAGACGTAGAGGACTCAGTACTTGAAATCGTTGTGGATTCCGATGTAGTCGAGGGATCAGACGTAGAGGATTCAGTACTTGAAATCGTTGTGGATTCCGATGGAGTCGAAGGATCAGACGTAGAGGACTCAGTACTTGAAATCGTTGTGGATTCCGATGGAGTCGAAGGATCAGACGTAGAGGACTCAGTACTTGAAATCGTTGTGGATTCCGATGTAGTCGAAGGGTCAGACGTAGAGGATTCAGTACTTGAAATCGTTGTGGATTCCGATGTAGTTGAAGGGTCAGACGTAGAGGATTCAGTACTTGAAATCGTTGTAGATTCCGATGGAGTCGAAGGATCAGACGTAGAGGATTCAGTACTTGAAATTGTTGTAGATTCCGATGGAGTCGAAGGATCAGACGTAGAGGACTCAGTACTTGAAATCGTTGTGGATTCCGATGTAGTCGAAGGGTCAGACGTAGAGGATTCAGTACTTGAAATCGTTGTGGATTCCGATGTAGTTGAAGGGTCAGACGTAGAGGATTCAGTACTTGAAATCGTTGTAGATTCCGATGGAGTCGAAGGATCAGACGTAGAGGATTCAGTACTTGAAATTGTTGTAGATTCCGATGGAGTCGAAGGATCAGACGTAGAGGATTCAGTACTTGAAATCGTTGTGGATTCCGATGTAGTCGAAGGGTCAGACGTAGAGGACTCAGTACTTGAAATCGTTGTGGATTCCGACGTAGTTGGAGCGGATGATTCAGTAGAGACATCTAAAGAATATTTGCAAAGCAATGTACTAAACAAGAAATATTCAAACTAACCTGGTGGTCGACTCGCACAAGTGGGCTGCAATGAAGAAAAATGACAATTTATAAAAAAAGGTAAGAATCTCCAATACGTACAACAGATGATTCGGTCGGAGTACAATATATCGGAGGATCCACACTGCAATAGCGTCCTTCTGGACACTGTTGAATAGATCCTTCATGGACCGTATTTTGATTATAGCAGATACCAAATGTGTATTCATCCAGGCAAGCATAGACTCTATTTGTCAGATCACAATTCGAACATCTATCCTCAGAGCAGGCGGCAGTTGTTTCCTGCGTAGGTGTCGCACAAATCTCCGCTTGGTTGGTGCACACACTGCCGCTGGGACAAGAATTGACATCGATCCCGGGCACATCTAAGATAATCCAAAATATGTAAATCTTGTGATCTAATCATTGTTCATACCCTATCTGGTATTATACCTTCAGTACAGGATACATAACGCCATGTATCCAGGCAGGCTATTCCGTTTTCCAAACATTGATTGCATCTGGACTGTGCCAGGGAGCAGTTGAAATTAGATAGCAGCAATATTAACTAAATCAGGATAGAAAAATGAGGCTTTTCCAATGTTGTGCTTAATTATTAGCCTAACTCACCGTTATTGCTAGGAATTGCATGTCTAGTGGCGGTTGCGTGGTTTCGTTAAACACCGAAATAGGTCTGACTATGATGGTTTCTTAAGAGCACCAGTCTTACTATTTGCAAAGCGGCATTTCTGTTTATATAGCCTAATTGTGCGTAGATTGTAAAGATAAACTAACTTTTCGCCATATAAATCAAGGTCGCCAGATTTATTTGATACCACCTATAAGCCTTTGGCCCTGTGAATCATGCGCCGTCATAAACTTTTGTGGTTATGTTTTAAATTCAAGTGATAATGGGAAAGAAGCATTTAAAAGCAGTGCCAAAAACGTCAGCCGGCCCATAGAAATATCGTCTTCAGAGTTGTGAGCATAAAAATGCGTAATAAGCTATTCATATTCCTCGCGCTGAGCACTAATTTGCTGCTGCAGGTCCAGGGAAATTGTAATGTCTGTCAAAGCAATGGAGTGGCTTGCATAAATCAGACTTCGTATCAATTTTGTTTCGGCGGAGATAGTCCTACAGTAGATCAAACTTTCGTCTGCCCCGATGGCTTAGTGTGTACAGATCAGCCAACTATTTGTTTCCAGCGCAACCAAAACCCAGCCAGTTGTGGGGACACCGACAGCTGTGGCCTTTGCAACTCAGATCGCGTATTTGCCTGCACATCGCGGACCACTTTTGCATTTTGTTTTGGGGCCACTACCCCATCGACAGTGATTGGAACTTGCCCACAGAACCATTTTTGTGACGCCTCCAGTCCCGACGTGTGTGTCATGCAGGCAACGGATAATTCAATTATATGTCATTTGGACTAATCGGTTTATTGTTTGCTAAATTTATTAATAAAATTTAATTCTAAATGTCCTGATTAACATCATCAGCGATGGCATTTTTATCACTAAGCCAACTACGTATCTCACCCATGGCAGGCAGACGAAAACGCCACTCGTCGCTGCAATGCTTGTAGATATTATCGCCCAACTGTAACAGCTCCATGGCAAACTGCTTCTCATCGGGTTTCCAAGCACGCTCCGCACCACCAAACATTTCCATGCGCAGGAGTGCCGTCATTGTCGGACCGAGATACTTTTTGACACCATTAAATAGTTGGGGCTTTGTCAATTGTGGCGGCATGGTTTTTGTAGTCGATGTGGCGTTGCACATCGCTTTCAGCTCGATATTGGACTGTTGCAAGAGGATATAGCGGGCTGTAAGTGATTCGAAACTTTCCTTTAGCGCATTATGATCTTGCTGCAGCAGTTCTAGTGATTTCTGAAGTAGTGTTGCCTGCGGCTGTAGTTGAGTTGGCTCTTCAACATCGCTAATGACTATAGGTTCGGTATTGTCAATTGCGGTCGTGCTTCTTTTAAAAGTAGTATGTGCTTCGTCTGATTCGCTTCCCACTAAAGGATGTTCGGCGTGGTGGAGGTCATTAACTGGAACAGATACAGTTTCAATTTTGATTACTTGTTTGGCGGGTTGAATGCTTTTAGCTGCGGGCATCTTTCTCTTATATGTCCTGGTGTAAACTTTAATTTCCCTCGCAGGATTTTTTTCCGGTTCAATCCTCCCGTATGAGTTGCAACTTCTCTCTCTCGTAGTAACAGTGTGGACGACATTTATGTCCGACTGCAAAGGCAAAGGCGATGGTTCTTTATCAAAACCAAGGGGACAATTGAAACCTTTCGGCGGTATTAAATGCGGCAAAACAGGCGGCGGTAATTCCACAAGCGCAGGTTCTCCATTATCCCCAATGTTCTCAAGATCAATTGCAAGGTCTTTTCTTATGCGTATGAGTGTAGGTGTCTGTTGCGGTATAAGACGATCCATTTTGTAGTTCATGAAGCATTCATATCGGAAATGGCGAGCGCAAACCACCCGATTTGCTTGCTGTTCTGGAGTTAATTTTAACAACTCAAGCTTTTGCGAATTTTTTAACCAAACCATAACACGCTGCGAATCAGGCACAGGTAGCTTAAAAAAGTGCATTGTTGGGTTCCGTTTGCTAGTTACGGGGCAACTCCGGAAGATGCAGCGACCTCCGCCCATTTTGGAATCCGGACAATTCAAAATCCAACAATGTTTGTTTAGTATACACAATTCCTCCAGAGCTTCGGCGGCGTCGCCCTTGCTGGTAGTTTGAGCACACAGCAGACCAGACAATCTAAAAGCACTATACACCAAATTAGTTGTAAACAAAACAAATAGTTCGGGCGGCTTGTTAATCGAATGATTGCGCGAGTTGGACACATCTGCAGACATGCAACCCTACAAACTTATCGATATCGATTATTAGCATTCGTGTATGCACAGCCATTAGCACTGGGCCACATTTGGTACAAATGTACCAAACCTTGTGAACTGTACCATTTGTTTGCAAATTGCTAAATTTGTTTTTTTTTTATAATTATTAATACATTTGAACACTATTAAATGTTCTTTAATAGGGGTGTTTTTTAATTCGTTATATTAAGAATATATAGTAAGAATATATAGAATATATAGTAACTAAATGAACAAGAAAAGATTTCAATTGGTACTATAATTTAATAGCTTCAAATAAACAGAATTGAGGACTCACTAATAATATTAAATAGTTTGCCGTTTATTTTAGCATTTGATATAAACATATAAGTACTCATAAAACGCAATACATAATTTTTAAGCAGAAGATTTGGATTATAAACTGCAAGAAATTCTTATTGTTCTAAGGAACATTGCTACCTTAGAAACTATTTTCTACCTGGGTGTGCAGATTTATGCACCTTTGATTTTGTTGTTTGTTTGAGTTTAAACATCAACTGCCTTATATCTAACAATAACGAACAGTTCGCAGCACTATTTGTTCGGAACTCCGTGCAACTCTGTGTTAACAACCGGAAATTGCAGCCCTGTTAACTCGAACCATCCAGAAGGATCTCGACGTTTCTAGCATTTGGCATCGCAACTGTATATAAGAAGCGTGCCGACTTGTGCCGGCTTTAGTCGTGTAACAAATTTCGTGCGGTGAGCAACAAAGCGTCTGCTAGAAGGCGAAGTAAAACGTGAATTTCATTTTCTGTAACAAAGAAAAGTGAAAAAGTTTTCCATTTTATTAAATCTCTATTCTGTGTACCAAGAAACAAATCAAGGTAAGCAACTGAATATTGAACTATCAGTGAAAATAGAAATAATGCAATGCAAGGGAAAAGATGCCGTGTGCGTGTGTGTAAAGAAAAGTTCTTGACCCAAATGCCAGTTACATACATATATTGATTGTTGCAACGCAGAATGCGTAAGCAATTTGCCAATCTGCGCCAATTTTCATTAATAACTTATTCTTTTATTGACGAAAAGTATAAGCCAAAATTTAATTCGTGACTCACGCATACACACATGTACCGTTTTCGCCGGCATGAGCAATTGGCGAAGGTTCTGGAACCTTTCGCCGAATTTTCGTCAACTTAGATATGGCTTTTATATATGTATGTATGTATATACAGATGTTCCAAATGCTTCTAGAAAATCTTAACTGAAAATTGGGCTGCAATTAATTTACCACGCACGTTTTTCATTCTCACATATACATACATACATACATCTGTACATATGTATGACTGCAGTCGCTTGAACCGGCACATGGCGATTCGCAAAAAAGAAGTGAATTTTTTTTTTTTTTTTCAATTTTCATTAAATTCGGCATATGTATATCAAATTGGATGGCGCCAATTTGGTTGTCATGGTGGTGACTCTAGAGCTTGTCTCCACTTCTTGTTCTAGACTGTTCTACGATGTACACACCTACATGCATACATACATAAGTATGTATGTACATACATACGTGCATATGTGTAATGAGTTTGCAAATTTATGCACGAACAAAAGAAAATAAAATTCATATAGCAGGGATAATTGCACTCACATTTTACAAAATGTGTACAAAAATAAATTACTAATCTGTTTTGTTTTAATTTCAATTTTTACAGATGCCAGAAGAAGCAGAGACATTCGCATTCCAGGCTGAGATCGCTCAGCTCATGTCGTTGATCATCAACACATTCTACTCCAACAAAGAAATCTTTTTGCGTGAATTGATTTCTAATGCGTCTGATGCTCTCGACAAAATCCGTTATGAATCGCTGACAGATCCTAGCAAGCTCGACTCTGGCAAGGAGCTGTACATTAAATTGATTCCCAACAAAACCGCTGGTACCTTGACCATCATCGATAGTGGTATTGGCATGACAAAGTCTGATCTGGTCAACAACTTGGGAACCATCGCCAAGTCCGGTACAAAGGCATTCATGGAGGCGTTGCAGGCCGGCGCTGATATTTCCATGATTGGTCAATTTGGTGTGGGCTTCTACTCTGCCTACTTGGTCGCCGACAAGGTGACTGTCACATCAAAGAACAACGATGATGAGCAGTACATCTGGGAATCTTCGGCCGGTGGCTCGTTCACTGTCAGGGCTGACAACTCTGAGCCTTTGGGTCGCGGTACCAAGATTGTCTTGTATATCAAGGAGGATCAGACCGATTATTTGGAGGAAAGCAAGATCAAGGAGATTGTCAACAAGCACTCCCAATTCATTGGCTATCCTATCAAATTGTTGGTAGAGAAGGAGCGCGAGAAGGAGGTCAGCGATGATGAAGCCGATGATGAGAAAAAGGAAGGTGATGAGAAGAAGGAAATGGAGACAGATGAGCCCAAGATTGAGGATGTTGGCGAGGATGAAGATGCCGACAAAAAGGAAAAGGAGGGAAAGAAGAAGAAGACTATCAAGGAGAAATATACCGAAGATGAGGAACTCAACAAAACTAAGCCCATCTGGACTCGCAACCCCGATGATATCTCCCAGGAGGAATACGGAGAGTTCTACAAGTCATTGACCAACGACTGGGAGGATCATTTGGCTGTCAAACACTTCTCCGTTGAGGGTCAGTTGGAGTTCCGTGCCCTTCTCTTCATCCCACGTCGCACACCTTTTGATCTGTTTGAGAACCAGAAGAAGCGTAACAACATTAAACTGTATGTGCGCCGCGTCTTCATCATGGACAACTGTGAAGATCTCATTCCCGAATATCTGAACTTCATCAAGGGTGTGGTCGACTCTGAGGATTTGCCACTCAACATTTCCCGTGAGATGCTTCAGCAGAACAAAGTGCTGAAAGTGATCCGCAAGAACTTGGTGAAGAAGACCATGGAGCTGATTGAGGAGTTGACCGAGGACAAGGAGAACTACAAGAAGTTCTACGACCAGTTCAGCAAGAACTTGAAGCTGGGCGTGCACGAGGATAGTAACAACCGTGCCAAGTTGGCCGATTTCTTGCGCTTCCACACCTCTGCATCTGGTGATGATTTCTGCTCTCTGTCCGACTACGTGTCCCGCATGAAGGAGAGCCAGAAGCACATCTACTTCATCACTGGCGAGTCCAAGGACCAGGTCAGCAACTCTGCATTCGTTGAGCGCGTCAAGGCTCGTGGCTTTGAGGTTGTTTACATGACCGAACCCATCGATGAATACGTCATCCAGCACTTGAAGGAATACAAAGGCAAGCAGCTCGTTTCCGTTACCAAGGAGGGTCTCGAATTGCCTGAGGATGAGGCTGAGAAGAAGAAGCGCGAGGAAGACAAAGCGAAGTTCGAGGGCTTGTGCAAACTGATGAAGTCTATCTTGGACAACAAAGTTGAGAAAGTCGTTGTCTCGAACCGTTTGGTCGACTCTCCATGCTGTATTGTAACATCACAATTCGGCTGGTCTGCCAATATGGAACGCATCATGAAGGCACAAGCTTTGCGCGACACATCCACGATGGGCTACATGGCTGGCAAGAAGCACTTGGAGATCAACCCCGATCATCCAATTGTAGAGACCCTGCGCCAAAAGGCTGATGCTGACAAGAATGACAAGGCTGTTAAAGATCTGGTCATTCTGTTGTTCGAGACCTCTCTGCTGTCATCTGGCTTCTCTCTGGATAGTCCTCAAGTGCACGCCAGCCGCATCTATCGCATGATTAAGCTGGGTCTTGGCATTGACGAGGACGAGCCCATGACTACGGAGGATGCCCAAAGCGCTGGCGATGCACCCTCCCTGGTCGAAGACACCGAGGACGCATCCCACATGGAGGAGGTCGATTAAAAAATTTATATTTTCAAAAGCGCACGTACACCACCAAACACCATCGTCGGCCATACTGACAATTCCTTCACTCACATGCTCATTTAGTTCCTTTATTATTTGATTGATTTAACTTGACAAGTTATACCAAATTCATATCTTCATTGTTAATTTTTTGGTGCATTGTGTACGTGCCACTTCAAACCAAAATCGTTCGTTTATAGTAACTATTCAATTACAATACTGTCGCGTTATAAGCGACAGGAACACGCTTAGTTCATAAAAACACTTACTCGCCTGACCTTTTATTAGGCCAAAACAAGAAGAGCAGTTGTCGTTTTAAGGATTTCTAATTTAGAATGCCAGCTATTTATGTAATTTAAATATAAAAAGGAAGACTACCGAACACATAAGCGATAGTACATAGCTTAAAAACACAATAGTATTTAAGTTTGATGATCGATAAGGATGATAAAATAAAAACTAAGAGCAAATTTAAGATAGTTTTATTTATTTAAATAACTTAAAATGGTGATGAAAGACCACCGCCAGGGTACCAAGAGCAAACCATCTTGCATGGTTACAAATTCGTTCAAACTATTCGGAATTTGTAAATGTGTCCAAATCCAGAAAGCTATTCAGTTATTCGGTTTGAATTCCCGGGGACGGGGGGAATTGATGAATTTGTTCAATCCCGAAAAGCTTCAATATGTTTCACGATTCGCACTCCTTGCGCAGCAACTGCTCAATCGCCTCCACTGTGGTCACACCTTTGCTGATGAGAATGATTTTGTTGCGGGAACGCGATCCCTTGTCGAGAGAGACGTCACTCTTGCGAAGGCCCAAAACCTTCGAGAGAAACTTAACCAGTTCCGCATTTGCTTCGCCTTCGGAAGGAGGTGCTGCGATCTGAACGCCTACGCCTTCAGCGCCTATGTTCGTGATGCCATTTTGCTTGGCACCCGGCTTGGCGAGAATTTGTATGGCAATGTTCCCGCTTTTATCCAGGGAGACCGGCGCTTTTTCGGTAATTGGCGGCTTTGCTGGAACAGTGCCGGCTGTTTTTCCTTTTGCTTTGCTCTTCGACATTGCTTTGATGGTGAATGTAGTAAAGAGACGATGCATAGAATAAACACTTCCAAACTAAAAAATATAACTAAGCGTTTACACTAAATTTAAATGCATTTTCAATTAAGTTTATTCGCTACTTCCTAAAAAAAAAGATAGTGCAAACACAAATCAGCTGTTTCACAGTTTGGGTGCCACTGGTACCCAGTGTTGCTTTGAAGAGGCATCCAAACTGTAATACACTGAAAACTGCGTGAGTAGCAAGAATAAAAATTATTGTACGCTAGTGATCCAACATTAAAACCAAAATTTTATTTAGGTAAAAAAATTATCATATATATTTATCAATATTTATGTACTCATAATTTCTAATCGTTTCTCGTATTAGAAAACAACGCTTAAATAATTTAACATGCACATTTAAAATTTGCTGTAAAAGCATCTAAAAAATGCTTCATCTATAAAATTGTGTTTCTGCCTTTGCACATTGTCGAACTAAATTAGCAATCATCAGTTATAGTGAAAGTATGTGGAGCAAAATACAGGAATGCTTTTACATTATAAAAGGCGCACATAATGTTCACTTTTAGACCTTAAAAATTAATAAAAATAGTGGACCTAATTTTGCATAGTTTGCATGTATAAAACACATTGTATACATTGAAGAACTAAAGAGGCCAAATCATCCTATCGCGGAGGCCTTGCACATAATGTCCGATTGTTCAGCTATTGAGAGGGGTTTGAAACTTCCGGTTTAAGCCAATTTTGACGCTATTGTTATTGTAGTAGTGTTGCCGCTGCTCTGATGGGGAGTTTGAATTTTACGCAGCACGTATTGACTGAATGATCTGGAAAATCGCAGAGCCGCACACCACGAAAATGAACAGCGCCAAGAGCCAAGGTCCCACGGGGTATTGCCCTTCCTTAGGTTTCTATAACAAATATATACAAAATTAAGACATTTATAAATATTGCATCACAGATAAGCCGTTTTTTAATACAATTAATAAAGGTAACACTAAGCAGCAGCTAAAACAAATCCAGAAGCAGCGATAGCTTTCGCAGATACTCAGCCACACACACATACATACCAATAATACAACGTTTATACGTACACGCGCATTCAACTCGGCACAACAACAACAATAAAATCAATGACGGCGTGGCACTTTTCGCGATTGATCGCCCCTGTAATAGCCGTACTGTTTTCACTTTGTTGTTATTATTGTACTAGTTTTAGCAGGTGGTTTGAGTCCATTTCAGCAAAATTGCCCTATTTTAATTCTAATATGCAGATTTGTATAGAGAAAAATTCACTCACTGATGATTTGGGTACATTTCCTCGCATTGTCACATACTTGCTAGCCTTCTCGTTGGCGACACGCATCCTTTGTGGGGGAGCCATTTTGTGTGCTTTAAATGTTTTAATAACACGATGCGCTGTAAGTTTACAAACAAAACTGCATTAGTTTGGTGCATTTCATCGTTTTCACTTGCCGAGCGCTGAAAGCAACAGCTTCACAAACAGGTGTGTAATAAAAATGTATGTGTGATAAGTAATGGAACGGTTGTTTTTTATACGTAGGGTCAACTTTAAATGCTATTTAAACACTCTAAGTTCAGAAACTACTTTTAATAAAACTTTAAAACACCCGCTCTTATTACCTTCTTGCCCAAAAATAACAAAAAGAATGAGAGATGAAACGACGACGCGACACGTATGTATGAATGGTTGTCAGTGACAGTTGACAGCAGAACTGTCAAAATGCGATTATACTATCAACATGGCAGTTATCGATTTCTGCCAAAGAAATCGAATAGTTCTTATTTTTAACGAGGGCAAACTAAAACAAACATACATTCTGACATATTTACTTGTATTAATTGTTTAAAACAAATAAAAGGTTATTTGCTTAATCTTAGTGGACCTATTCTAGAAGGTTACTTTAAATACTTCTTATTGTACTTTGAATAGATCCTTTAGAATAAATTTATTAGTATTAATTTGAAGTTTTCAAAATGTCCATCCACGTTGGAACGGAAGCAGAAACTTAACAAATTTGTTGCTCACATTCTAAAGGAAGTTAAAATGTTAATAAAACTTTAATTTAAATTTAACAATTAAACTCTAGCCTATTTCCGTAATGGTAGATTTGTAACATATTTTTTTACAATTAGCTTTGCAAGCAATTTAATTTGTACCAAGTTTATTTTACGTTTATTTTATTATGCTTTTTATATCCATTCACGAATAGAACTTAACATTTGATTCGTGTCACGAAGAAAGTCAGCAGGTATTAATAGTCATCGATAGATTTGCACAGACCACAGCTGATTGCTTATTGCATTTTTTTGGGGCGGTTTATTTACGTTTTTGCGTGAAATTTAATCATTTTCAACAGTCTAAAGTCCCCACATTGTGTGCGTGAGTAGAGTGTATAATAGGGGGAGAAGTACACGATCTTGCAAAAAGGGAAGACAACGCACGTAACCGGCCTTGAGCACAGTTTGTAAGGTGGTGCGGAGAGGCAACAACAACAACCATTACACACACACAAAACTATGACGATTGATGCCACAGCTCTGCCATCAGAGCTACTCGTAACACCACAACCCCTTATTGGGTTCTGCGGCTTAGATGTCTCGCGTCAGAGTGTCCACAAATCCATTTGGGATGCGTTCAGCGGCAACTTACAACGCAAAGCAGCCGATCGCGCTGCCGTTCAATACAAGCTACTGCCTCCGAATTATGAATTCCCAATTGCGAAGCCGAAGCGTGCCTCTTATGAATGGTACCAGCCTAAGGGTATACTCAAGCGCAACTGGATGCTAAAGCATTTGCATGTGCTGCCCTCGGTTGTAGTGCTCTTCCAAGACTTAGAATGGAACGACGCGGAGTGGGCGGAGAAACAGGTTCATTGTGCGTCGCTCATGCAGGGTCTAAGGAATGCGCTGCAGGAACGTAATACACGGCTGTGCCTAGTGCTGCTACAAAAAGCGGCGCCACTACCTCCAGGTGAAGATCTGTTAGCAGCGGAACGTGCTGCTAGTCTGACAGCGGCATGCGGCATCAATAGTAAAATGTTGTTTATACTGCCGCACACTGAACATCTAATGGGTTACACCCTGCGTCTGGAGTCTGCCTTCTTGGACATGGCTCAGACCTACTATGCGCTCATGTCCAAACGCGTTCGCACGCATCGGGACCAGTTGACAGCGCATACACCGCTCAAAATTCGTCACCAATTTAAACTGGGCTTTGTGGCAGAAATGCGTCAAGACTTTAGCACAGCGCAGAAGTGAGTAACGATATTCCTAGATATTTTTCCCAACTTCTACTTATATTAACATCATCAACGACAGACACTACTACCAAGCATATGCCAATATCGATGAGATACACATTAACGATGTCAATTGCGTTGAGCTAAAAACCATTGCTGGTTTCCTAAATTACAAAATATGCCGTCTGATGTTCAAGCTAAAAATGCCTCGAGATGCCATCAATCAGTTCATCATACACATAGAGAAATACAGGAATCGTGTTGGCTTTAAGGATCTAGCATTTGAGCACAATGCCTGGCTAAGTACACAGTAAGTATTGTTTGTTATCCTTTAAGATGCAAAAACTCAATCTATAATCGTTTGTTGTAGGCATTCAGTATTTGCTGAACTCTTTTGCGAGGCCATTAAGAATGGCCTCACTGCACAGCAGACTCAACATCCTGGCATTTACTATCATAAGGCAGCCGAATATGTGGTGAAGAGACGCGAGGCTGCACAGCAGGCGTATGCCACTCTTCTTAACTCAACGGACACAACCGTCAACCCCCAGAACAACACATTGGCCCTCTACACCGAGTATTTTGGCATTCGAGCGGTCAAAATTGGAGATCCTGTTTCCGAGCAGCAAGCCAATATGCAATTATGCGAAGTGGAACGCGGCTACAATCATTCTGCGGCCATTATAGCGCTACTTAGCCAGGCAATGGCACAGTTTAAGATCTACAAATGTTTGAGATTTCGCAAAAAATTGGCTGTTGACATGGCCGAGGAGTATCTAAACAGTGGCGACCATGCCAAGGCTTTGACGTAAGTCACAATTTAATAATAAACATAGAAAAGGGCCTAATAATTTGTAGATACTTTTTTGTGCACTTACAAAAAACTACTATTCAAAATTTAATATTCCTTGAAATACAAGAATATTTAATTTTCTACTTTGAAAAGAAATATTTATTATCCATTTAAGTGCGGCAATGATTATTGGAAAATTGTAGGAACTGCTTTTTAAAACTTATAAAATCAATATTTTAAAAGGTATACAGTAATGATAAAAGAAAATATTATGTTTACCTATTTGAAGCCCATTCTCCGAAGTCTTTTCAAACTAAACATAAAGTGTCTTCCCTTACAGATTTTACTCACTTATGCTGCCCGACTATCGACAAGAGAAGTGGTCTACCATATTCACCGATGTGCTGCTGAAGACGCTCCGCTGTGCTTTACTATCAGCTTCTGTCTCCGACTACGTGGCCTGCAGCATTGAAGCATTATCACTTCATCATCATAGCGAGCAAAAGGAGCGTGTGATGTTGCTGGAAAACATGTGGCAAGTGTTTCAGGTGAGTGGGCGCTGTTTTCAACTCTATGATCAGAATAAACTGGACAAATGATATTACAGAGTGTGCCCCCAATACCGCCAAGTCAACTGACGCCCGATGCCCAAGCAATGTGGAGTAACGCCTTGAACGGTGTAAAATCGCCCGTACAAATTGATTTAGATAAGGTGAGCGATGTGCTCGGTTTGTGGGCCACGTTCGAGCGAGTCGAACTAAACAATAACGACGTAGTGCAGATACAACTCATTGTACGGTAAGTTTAAGCCCTTAATGTTCCAACATTAGATACTCTTACAACCAATGGATATTTTTCCTCTTTAGTGTGCTTACAGACGTCCCGCTTCGCATACGCAGTTTCCATATAGTGTTGGCCGATGTCAGTAATCCTAGCAACAGTTACAAACTGGAGGCCCTCAAATATTTCTGTTTTCCCGATCTGCTGCAGCTGCGAGCGCAGCAGAAGGCAGAAACCACATCTCCCACGGCATATAAGCCATTTGAGAAGAATATGCGATTAGAGCCCGGATGTTATTATCAGCTGCAGTGCAGCACAGATGCGCAACATTTTTTGGAGAATACACAGCTGCGCATGGTGCGTCTAGAGGCGGTTATGGGGACGGACAAAGTATCCGCTCTGCTTACGTGTAGCGCTAATTATACGCGACAACCCTTCCGGCATCACACGCGCACCCGCGATCTAGATGATAATATGACGATAAATCCAATTTGCTACATTGCGCCCACGTAGGTCAAAACGCTTCGTACCGGAAGCTACGATTGCTAACAAGCGCATCTAGCATTCAATTTAATGCTCCACCGACTTCCATTACAGATTCCATTTGAGCACGCAAACTAACCTTGGTAATGACACGAACGCCAAGTCGATGGCTACAGAGACGGCGACGACGGCAACAACCCCAGCAACGGCCACCATGTTGATCAATGAATACTATCCGGTGGCGACCACCATTAGCAATCCCTTTAATGTCTATCTGCAAAATGTCACCGTTCATATAAGCGTGCCGACGGCCTTGCGTAACAGCGGTGAGTTCGAAACAATTACAACACTTAATATTTATTTATATTTCTGTATTAAGAACGCCTAAGTTCTTGACCAACTTGTAATATGAAACAGTTTTAGCAATAACTTTAATTGCGATTGTAAAAATGTCATTTACTTACGTATGTATGCTATAGAAAGTGGTTTTAGAGTATGGAAAAAAACCTTGTGATTACTCCATCTGGTTCTCAAGCTTTTAAATGACTATTGCTTAATGTTTCTGCTCTATTATAATTTGCTTTTTGCTGTCAAATATGTACAAGTATGTGAAAATAGGTTGCAGTGCCTACTTATATCTTAATCTAAGTTAAACATACAGATCTCAGTTTTTAATGACTTTAAACACTAGACTAGTTTTCATGCTTGAGTTGCTAGCAGGGGGAAAAATATAATTACAATAACACTGCAAAAATCTTCTGATTGACTATTATGTTTATACCAAAGGGCAAAAGGGTATACAAGTTTTGTGGATGGGTGTGGGTACAGAGTATTTACGAATTCGACTCGCATTTGACTCTAACTTTATATTTTTGTTATTCTTCGACTTTTCCAAATTTCTAATTTGGCATTTTATGTTCAGTTTCTGGTGCAATAGAAATAGTTTCCTAATAAAAAGCCTAACTTCTAAAGAATTCTGGTTTTAATTGTTTCACTTTTTTTATAACAAGAAATCTCTTTTTTATAAAAAGAAATCTCTAACCACATATTTCTTGCGAATCATAGGAAATGAAACATTATTATTAGTAGAACACTTGCGAATTTTTCAATTTATTTATTTTTTCTTCATAATTAGAGAATTCTTCGTAAAGAAGCGGATAGGTATTATTTTTGTAAATCCAACACTTTGAACCACTTTCATGTTTTGTTTAGGCACTTAAGGACTTTTTGGATTTTTCACAATATTTATGAATTAACGTACTTAATTGCTTCACAATTCATATTATTGAAAGTTCAGATGTGTATGTATAATTTGTTGCATTCAGATTATTGTTTTATTAAATGGAGAGGGTCCTCCCCTTACATGCCCAAAGCTTTGTCGATAAATGTCCTAACAGTCTTCACATTGGTGTAAACACCTGGAGATTTGCGTTGGGCACAACCGATTCCCCACGAAACAATTCCACAAAGTTTGTTTTGGTAGACGGCCGGGCCACCAGAGTCACCGTCGCAAGCATCCTTAACGCCCGGCACTGAGGCGCAGAACATGGTGCTGGTGATGGTTCCCCGCAGCCTGTACTGACTAATGCAGCTCTTGCGTGAAACGAGAGCCACTTCGGCGCTGCGTACATGCAAGGAGACAGTTTGGCTGCGTTCCGTAACCTGACCCCAACCCGAAATCTTGACCAGATCACCCACATTCCACGATGAGTTGCACAGTCCGATGGTCCCAATTTTGTTGCCAGTCAGAGGCGAGGTCAGCTTGAGCACAGCCACATCATAGTGGAGGGTCCGCCCGTTGTAAGACTTGGGAACGTAAACCTTGGCAACTGTGCGTTGCACACCCGGTTCGCTGAGCAGAGTGGCGCCGCCAACCACAAGCAATTTGCTAGCAGCCACTCCCTTCACACAGTGGGCGGCGGTAATCACGTGAGTGGGTTTGACCAGCGCACCACCGCAAATGAAGCCGCCGTTCAGGCGCAAATTGATCAAATATGGCACACTGCCAATGTCCACCGGCGTGCCGCCCACAATGCGCGCGTTTGCGGCAGCACCGGACGCTGCCCCAACCTGTGGCAACCACAGCTCCAGCAGTGGCAGCAGCAGCGGCAACAGTGCCGTTTGCATTTGTTAGCGTCAGTGGATTGGCCAACACATTGCGTCAATATTTGTCTAATCCGTACACCCAAAATAGCTTAATACATAACTCTTTTAAAGTATCTCAAAAGTATTTTCTTTACTTCACTTGCGCAAATACATGCCTCGTTCGCCCGGCGGTTCCGAGTTGGTTCCGAGCGGGTTTGTTTGCTGCGTTTTATTTTATATGTCGAGTCTATTTGACTGTTTGAGGAAATTGTCATTACAGCCAAACTGTTCATCGGTACACATTGTTTTATTGAACAAATAAAAATTAATTATAATAATTTTACAAAATCATTTTGTTGATTATCGCACCCGACCGATCACGAATTTGTAGCAAAAAAAAAATGAAGCTAAAACCGAGACTTCCCTCAATTCACAGAGCTGAACAATGATGTGGCAAAATTTATTTATAACTTTTGTCGCCTTGACCGAGCAATGGATTTAATTATTAATGGGATTGTATCAAAATATTTAAATATTTTTTATAGGACTATTAGGTTTATATATATATTTTTTTTAATATTTCCACATGTTTTCTATAAGAAAGGGGTCAAAGTTTCTGTATTATATATTATTACCCCTCAGAAGTAGTGTGGATTTCATATATTACTAACATACTCGTATTTCCTTTTTTATACCCTTTCCAAGAGTATAAAATAATTGCAACGCCCAGAAGAAGGTGTGCTAAGTATCTTAGGTCTAAGGACTATCTATTTCTGTTACAAATTAAAATTTGTTTTGTTAATTAATGAACGATTTATACTCGTATTTTTATACCCTGTACCCGTAGGGTAAAAAGGGTATATTAGGTTTGTGCAAAGTATGTAACATGCAGAAGGAAGCATCTCCGACCCCATAAAGTATATATATTCTGAATCAGCATGACGAGAGAAATCGATCTAGACATGTCCGTCCGTCTGTCCGTCCGTCTGGATGAACGCAAGGATCTCAGAAACTATAAAAGCTAGAATAACCAAAGTTGGCATCCAAATTCTCCTAGGTCCGAGAAAGGACGAGTTTATTTTATTTTTTTAATTTTCCCCCCCTTCCCCCGCTACAGAATTTCGTCAATAGCGTCCACATTTCAAATGCTACCTAAACCAAACTTTGCACACATAATTTATATATAATTGTCTACTGTTGTTCAAAATTTTATTCAATTCGGTCAATTCTAAGAAAAGTTATTAGCAAAACAAATTCTCGCCAGTACAACCCCCTCAAACTGCAGCAACAAGTTCGCTCTTCTTCCTCTTTTTGCTGCTGCTATGGGCGCATATAATTCAGTGACGGAAGTTTACCTGGGTACAGGGTATTACACTGTCGGGCTTGCTCGACTGTAGCGTTCTCTCTTGTTATATATATTTAAATGGGAGAAGTACCGCCCTATATTTGACAACAACCACTTCGTGTGGGATTAGAATGGTTAGGCACCTATTTGCAGTAAGTTGGAAGGGTTGAAGAGTGTTGAGTCTTGTAACTTCGGCGAACATAAAATTAAGAAGATATTTAAAGTAAAACAATTGTCTTTTATTTAGTAGTTGTTTAACCAAAAAATGCTGTGGGCTCGCCAATGTTTTATCTATATCAGAAGATTCAATTTTCTTTAAATTGGAAATCGTATTAGTTTTAAACTCAACAATAGTCCTGCATCGTTTGCTGTATAAAGTGTTGTACTCGTGGACTTGCCACACTGGTGTAAACACCCGGAAAGGCGGCACGCGCACAGCCGAAGCCCCAAGAGACAATGCCGCATACCTGGCCGCGATATACGACCGGTCCGCCCGAGTCGCCGGAGCAGGAGTCTTTAACACCTCGTATGGCTGCACAAAACATGGAGTCGCTTATTTTCGCTAGTCCGGCATAGGCCAGTTGGCACTCCCTGGTTGGCAGCACACGCACATTGGCCGTACGTACTTGGGACGGAGGCAGTCGATTTTCCTCACTGGTAACACCCCAGCCGCTTATACGGACATAGGCATTACTAGGTGGTGGCAGACTGCAGGGCACAATGCTGGTCACTTGGCCTGGCAGGCGAGTTGCAGGAGTGGATAGCCGCAGGATGGCCACATCCATATCAAAATTGGTCGGATTATAGTTGGGAGCTACATAAAAAGTGTTCACATCACGCACAATGGGCGCATTTTCGTTCAGTCGACTCGCACCGGCATGCACACTAAAGTCCTGAGCCTGCGCTCCATGGACGCAGTGGGCAGCACTAAGCACACAACTGGACGTGATCAAAGAACCGCCGCAGATAAACACATCACGATGCCGCAAATTTACCAAATAGGGCACTAGCTCAATAGTTACCTCCTGCCCGCCCACAATTCGGGGTGACTCGGCCGCTGCTGCCATCGAACAGCAGACGAAGCAAAGCAAGCACAGGCAGTTCATGGCGCAGACTGTCGCCAACCTCATACATTTGCCGAACAATGCACTCCAAATTGACAGCAATTTGCAAATTCTACCCTAATGATGTTAAGCGGGGAAGTTAAATTATATTAAACAAAGCAGAACAGCTACGAGCAGAGATTACATATAACTTCATGACTATAACTTCCTTTCAAATCGTCCCATTGAAATAAAACTAAGCACATGGACACATAATCAGTAGCTGGAGGTATTTGCCAAATTTGATTATACAATTTCCAAGAATTACGGGCATTATGGGAAATAACTAATTGCGGAGGAGATGGGGAAGGGAGGGAAATTTTGAAGTACACATATTAGCCATCTTGGATTAAAAATTGGGTGCATCTATATCTTATAGTGTGCGAGATATAGATGTTTATAGGAACGGCGTTTCCGAAAATTAAACAAATAAAACAAACTCGTATACCGTACATCTCTATCGGAGAACCTGGTGTTCACACAGCCAAACAATCAGGACTAGATCGGCCCTTCTTGTCATGCTAATCAAGAATATATGTACATTTCAACACATTGTAACATTTCAACTATAGAGTATAAACGTTTCACATAAAAACACCAACTTTAAACCAGATATAACAAATATTATCATGCACCCGTGTGGTGCTCGTTTATAAGATCGTTAAAAGATTTTGTTCCCATTATATGCTTTTAAATAGAAAATAGGAACGTTCCCTTTTAACCCCTTCTTGGTAAAGAGTAATATTAGTTTATCAAACGGTTGGCTTTGTTCAAATAAAAATCACTTAATCTTTATTTCGCGACAAATGCCAATCCTTCTTAGCAATACTGTCTCATGACGCGTTTTAGAAAGCAGGAAATATCCGGACTGCTAAGTTGGGTGTAGACGCCCGGATAGCCGCTACCACAGCCATAGCCCCACGAAACTATGCCCACTGGTCGACCTTTGTAGAGAATTGGTCCACCAGAGTCGCCTTGGCAAGCATCTGTGCCGTTGACGCCCAAAGCGCAGAACATGTTGTCTGTAAGGGGATGGAAAGAGCCAACACGTCGAGCACAATCCTCCTGCCGCACAGCTGTCACATTGGCGGCCTGCAAACACTGATTTTTGTCATGTCGACGGCCTCCAATCAGTCCCCAGCCAATCACTGTAAGATTGGCCGCTTCGGGTATATCGTTGAAGTCAATGCGTGCGGCTTTCACTTCGTTGTTGTTGCCCAAGGGCTCCCACATTCTGATGACAGCAATGTCTGAATCCAAACCGCAATAGGGTCGATAGTTGGGGGACACAAAAACATTTCTGGCGTGACCTATTTTCACTTCTTCTCGCTCACCCAAACAACGTTGTGCTGCATAGATTTCCAAATCTCGAACGTATTGCGAACGCCCCTCGAGGCAATGAGCCGCAGTTAGAACGCATCGTGGCGATATGAGTGTGCCGCCACATTTGAAGCGATTATTTCGACGCAAATTCACCACAAAGGGATAATCCGAAATAGCAGCGTCATCTCCGCCAAAGATTTTAGGCAAATAGTCCGAGGGCAGCGCCGCAATTGGGTGCAATAGAGCGATCAGGAGGCAGCTGGTGGCAAGAGAGATGGCCCACATCTTGACTGGGTGTCGGCGGGCTTTTGCAGTGTCTTTTTATAGCCAAGGTTGTCTGGCATTCCAAAACTAATTGCACGCTGATAAGCTGACTTAAAGTTAAGCATAAATTTATTATACAACTGATATATAGCTTAAAATCTATAAATACTTGTATATGTATGCTAAGAATTTGTGGCGATGGTTTTTAGAAACCAGTTTCTTATCACCGACACTCTGGTGTAAACGCCTGGAAAACGCGAGGCACACCCAGAACCCCATGAGACTATACCAGCCAGCTGCCCTCTGTAGACCAATGGACCGCCGGAGTCGCCACTGCAGGAGTCACGCACTCGCGTCTTGCCCGCACACATCATGGAGAAGGTGATAGTCTCTCTGCCGCGATAGACTCTCTCGCAGGCTGCTCTGGACCACATCGGTACATGCATGCTGCGCAATCGATTCGACAAAGCCGATGAGTCCGGATCTGTGGCACCCCATCCGGAAACTCGGACAACAGCAAATGGCGGCACGGGCTGGCTGGCAAGCTCAATGGTTTCGACATCGGGGCCAAAAAGATCCCGATCCAAACGTACGGCCGCTACATCCATATGCAGGGACTGGAGAACGAATTTTGGATGTACTACAGCCAAGTCCACTAGCCTTAAAATGGCGTTGGGTCCATTCTGATTGGAGGCATTGCCATAGACGCGCAGATTATTGAGGGGCGTGCGATACACGCAATGGGCGGCTGTGATAACCCAACGATGCGTTATGAGAGACCCACCACAAAGCTCCACCTCGGTGACGATTTGCACGATATACTTCTCGTTTCTGATGCTCGCAAAGTAACCACCAATGATGCGTGGCTCGCCAACATCATAGGAAAGCGGAGTCTCCATTTCGCTAGACGAACATAATATCAGATTGGCCGAGCAGAGAAATAGACATAGCGTAACCGTCCCCGACATGTTGTGCGAAAACTAACATTAACGGGTAGTGGGTCAATTGCTTTTATATCCGCCCCCAACCGCTAATCAGTGTCTTAAGATTACACCAACATTTGCACAATTGTTTCAACGCTAATTTGTCAAGTAATTCAAATACGGGAAGTACTCTGCGAAACAGAAAAAAACTCAAGAGAAAATCGGCTACTTATTGATATATTTCAAAAATTAGTCAGACAGCAAATAGCATTACTTGTGTTTTGATTTACAACTGTTCTGGGAAACAAACTTAGCTTTGTTGATCTTAACACTGTGCTACATTTTTCAGATAATATTTCGATCAAGTAACTCTGGGTTAGGGGAACTCAGTAAGGTTCATTTTCTTTTATTCACTTTTGTTATTGGTTGCAGTTAATAATAAGAAGTTTCACAATTCGGTGCATTTTTTCAACTAAACCTTTGCATCTTTAATAAGATTAACAAGATAATCTAACCCAACCCCTTAAATTAAAATGAAATGAATGGAAGCAGAGGAGTGTGCAAGACCTTTATATCATTTCGATCCCCTTAAATTAAAAATGAATTCTTTCCACTTTATGGAAGCAGAGGAGCGTGCAAGACCTTTACATCATGTCGATCCTCAAACCGATTTAATGCAGTGTTTGGGCCTCCTCAGTAATTACAATTTGTTGCTTAACAATTATTAAAAAGAACAAACTTTTACTTTATTGATATCTCTAATTGTTTGACATAACATTCTGAATCCACTGTCGAACTGTGCCCACGCGTGTGTAAACACCAGGAGCACCGCGTCGTGCGCACCCGACGCCGAATGACACGATGCCCACAACTCGTCCGTTCTGAACGACAGGGCCACCTGAATCACCACTGCAGGCATCCTTGCCTTTGGTGCTAGCACAAAACATCGCTTTCGTAATGGAGATTGTGTTTTTGTAGCGTCGCGCGCAGTTCATATTCCTTATCACACGAACCAGTGCAGTTCGCACCTGAGTTGAGACACCGCCATTCTCACTCGTATAGCCCCAACCGGCGATTCGCACCATGGTGCCCGCCCTGGGTCCATTTCCCAATGGAATGGTTGCAATATTTGTGCCGTTCAGGGGGGTGCTTAGCTTAAGAAGCGCCGCATCTCTGCGCATGGTGCTTCGTTTAAAAACTTGTGGAACTGCCAAATAACTGACAGTACTGGTAACACCATCGCTACCATCCAATGTGGAAGTGCCTCCGCGTACTACTATCTCCGAAGCGGAGGCACCAGAGACGCAGTGAGCTGCCGTGAGCACCCATTGGGGATCTATGAGCGAGCCACCACAGAGTGAATCCCCGCGACGCACCTGCACCAAATATGGCATATTGGCAATATTAGCCTCAGTACCGCCCACAATCCGGGGCTGCACTGCGGATGTCTTTTTAGTCTGCGCAGTATTCCTATTAGTAGTTGCTCTATTTCTTATATTATTGTTGCGACGACGGGCTGTGGTTCCCAAACGATTGGCCACTCGATTACGTCTTAACCGGTTTCTATTTTGGGCGCGCACCGCAGTGTCTGCTTCCTCGCAGAGCAGCGCCAGTAACACTAGCCCTAGCATCATATATTCCCCAGGCACTCGCATGTCTAATTATTCCAATGGATCTCAGCATCAACTGTGCGTCCGCTGACCTTGTGTCGCATTTTATAGACACGCTTAAGCGTTTCGGTAAAGCACGATAGAGTTAAAATAATCAACTGTGCAAATAAGTTGGCCTATTTGCGCGCAAGTTTGACTTTGGTGTTCTAGGTTCTTGGGGTGTTCTTGCCAGAGTTTGTTGCCATGTTATGGAAAACAACGCATAGCTTGCACAAACACGAGCAAAACATTGTGCTGTTCTTACCTCGCTATTCTCTTAAAAGAGGAATAGAAGAGATATTGGCTAGTTAACTAAGCTTGGCTTGATAGTTCGTACAGCAGTAGCCCAAGGGGTAAACAAATCTAAAATCATATGAAATGGATAAGATAGGATCAATAAGCAGAGCTTGATAGTTTCTACAGGACGAGCTCAAAGGATAAGTGTTGTCTACTCCCTGCTAGGAAGAGATTCTTTTAAAGATAATCCAATCAATCATTGAGATGTTAAATAGACACAAAAATTAGTTTTCATTTCGATTTAATAATACTTAATGATCTAGCTAGTCTAGTTACTCTCCCCGATTGAAATTGCTGCTATCAGTATACTTCTAACGATAGCAATATTGCCGCATAGTCTGCGTTATCCAATTACGCAAGTATACCACATTTGCATAAACGCCCGGACTATCCTCGTGTGCGCAGCTATTGGCCTTGCCCCAAGACACAATGCCCGCTAATTTGCCGTTCGAGTCCACAGCAGGTCCGCCCGAATCGGCTGCGCAGGCGTCCTTAAAACCCGGCACCGAGGCACAGTACATGGAGGATGTTATGTTGCGATAGCCCCGATATAGTTGTTGGCACTCACGATGCGCCAATACCCGCACTTGGACGCTGTGCAGCTGGTTGGGTATCTGGGCAGATCTTTCATCCGTCAGTCCCCAGCCTGAGACGCGTATAAGGGAGCCGACCCATGGCGCTCTTCTTGCCAACGCAATGGTTCCGATTTGGGGACCCTGTAGTGGCTCATTCAATCGAAAAATTGCCACGTCGTGATCCAGTGTGGCACGATTGTAGGCCTTGGGCAGAAAGATGCGTTGCACCTCACGTCCATTGCGCATATCCTTTAAGTATGTGACACCACCACGCACCACAAAATCCGCTGCCTGATAGTTGCCTGCATCGCTCCCATAGACACAATGGGCAGCGGTTAGCACGCAGAGGGGCGTTACTAGCGAGCCACCGCAATGAAATTTGCCACGTCGACGTATATTAACCATATAAGGCTGTTGGCGCACCTCGCTGCGATGTCCACCAACGACGCGACGAACTCGATGTAGTTCTGGCATTGCCTCCTCCTCCATGTACAGGATGTTGGTATTGTTGTTCTCCGAGATGTTGGCATGCGCGCATTTTTGTTTTTGTTGCACTGTTGCGAGTATTAGGAGCATCAGCAGAACGCTGAAGCGCATCTTGGGTTTCGATCTTAACTTCACAGGTGCCTGTAATCGACTGATTCCAGCCGCAGACTAAAGACTCTTATATTTATGGACCTCGTCTACTGTATTTTATGTTCGGCAGTTGGATGAATGGATGGGGAAAACCAAACTTTCCGAAAGGCCATTGTCTCCGTTACTAACCTCACCCAATTTTTCATTATTGTTTGAATGTAACTGCATTTTAGTGACAATGTCAATGAAACATCTGTCTATCTGTCTTTACGCTCACTGTGTACACATAGCACTAAGCTTGGGACCAGGTGGGGCGGAAGCCCACTGCTTAACGATTCTAAAGCTAATGCAGACGATTTTGTTTGTTGGTTACATAGGTTAATATTTTTTGTAGTGGGAGAGTAAATGGTTCGATATAAAAAGAAAGAATGTTCTTAACAATGCCAAAGCCCAGCTGATAAAACATGTTAGATAAAGCGCAGTAATCGGTTTTTTGAATGGAACGAAATTACTCGATTTATTGAAAATGAATCTTAGAAAGTGGTTAACCTCTGGCTATGATTTAATTCAGCTGTTTCCAAGCCGCTCCAATTTGCAAGACAAAATCAAAAATCAAACAAAAATCAAAAAATCATAACGATAGATATCGATCTAGACATGTCCGTCCGTCCGTCTGGATGAACGCCTGGATTTCGGAAACGGTTGAGCGCACATTATCCAAACTTGGTATGTATACGCTCCTACATTTTTGATTTTCCGTCCCCTCTGCCCGCTACAGAATTTCGCCAAACTTTTCTCAAATAATCTATTCACAAATATCTACTTTGTTTCGAATTTCATCCAAATCGGTCAATTCTAAGAAAAGTTATTAGCTTATTTCACTCCAGTACTATGCCCACAAACTGAGGCATTAAATTCGCTCCTCTTCTTTTTGCTTCTGCCAAGGGCTCATATAACTCGGAGACGGAAGTTTGCCTGGGTAAAGGGTATTTCACTGCCGGACTTGCTCGACTATAGCGTCTCTCTTGTTTTTAAATTTTAATACTTGTTTTCTAAATATTGAAATTTGTCTCTCTCCTATATAGTATTCCTCACCACAGACGTATCCCCGGGCCGTCAAAAGTTACACAGTCAAATCCAAATTGATGTGGGCGAGTTGTCGGGACAGAGTAGCAATACGGCCACCTATTACATATTTAGTCTGATAGAAGCCGAGATCAAATTGCAGCAAAAGCTGAGCTATACTTTGGATGTGGAGCGTAAAACCGGCAATACTGGTGGCGGTACGGTTACAGTTACGACGCCCAATAGCGCAGACACGACCCCGGAGAACTCCAAAAGTATTGTAAATAGTTTGGCACCCATATCACCAGTGCAAATCGAGTACCTAGATGAGACGCGAGTTCGTAAATCGCGCGAGGATGCGATTAGTCTGAGATGTGGAGCCGACTTTATGTTTTCCGCGCGCTTCTACACACTCAACCGGCAACCTCTATCTCAGGTCTATCGGGGTGAAAATTTCTTACTGCGCGCCAATACCGAAGTGGTGGCCAACGAGGATGTGGAGATATTGGACAGCTTCTTTATATGTGTAAGTGGACTCATACATCGGATAAATTTGAGCGAAAATTGACTTTCTAATACTTTTGACAGGATCACAATCTAGTGCAATCGAACTACAGCTTTAAACGAAAGAAGTACACCAACAAATATACTGCTGGTGAAAAACTGGAGAGCGTCATAGTGCTGCGCACCAATGCTACGCTACAGGATTGGTTATCGGCCAGAGACTTGGAGCGTAGTGGCAACAAAGGTGACAGCAGTGGTAACAAGTTCGTGAGTCGCCTCCAAAAGTCCCGAACAGCCTCGTCAGCCGCTCTGGGGACTTTGGATAAGAGCAACAACCCATCTTCATTTGCGCCGCCTGCTGCTCTGAGCGCCTACATCAACAAGAGTCTCATAGCCAAGATACCCACAACCATGACCATCATTAACAACAACTCGGCTGTCTCGGGTGCTCTGCAGTTGGTGAATGCGGGCCCTGGCATGAGCACTTCCTTTCAATCGGATGATGGCAGGCTGGCAGCGGACAATGAGGATGGGACGACAGCGGCGGGCACGCAGGAAGTTCTGAAAAACACGCGCCTTGTCTACAACAAAGCCATCGAGTCCGTGCAGGCCACTGGTCATTGTCGTGGCTTCATTAAGGGTGTCTACACACTAGACAGTTCACCACCAACGGCACCTCTTTTCGGCATTTTCTGTATACGCTGGCGACGTGCCGGTGCAAAGGAAGAGAACGAGTCCAAGTTTGTTATAAGTGGCCTCGATATTGTGGAGCCGCCATTGAACATATACTGCACCATCGAGGAGAAACTGTTCGTGAAAATGCCCATTGCATTCAAAATAGTGCTTAAGAATCCCACGACGCACGTTCTGCATCTCATAGCTACTCTAAGTATGAGTAAAGCCGATAACTTCATATGCTCAGGACACAGACAGGTCAGAATATAAATAATATAATATTAATTTTAAAAATATTCAATTATTCCGTTAAAATATGAAATTTGAACATTTCTGAATAGGCCTTTGAACATATGAGATGGACAAAAATTAAGCGACAACTATTTAATCCTCGTCAATCTAAAATTGTTCCCATGCTATGAAAAAACTTGATGTAGTTTCTTCCTTAACCTTTCACTGAAAATGTATCGGGTGAGAAAGCTTTGCACCGGGCACAGACAATACTGTGGGGCACTTTTGAACCATAACAGTTGGAGATATCAAACGTGTCATACCAACATCTCTCATCTTTTATGTTAGGGGCGATTGGTTCAATAATCAGTCTTACTAGAATTACTCTTTTGTCTTTCAGTTTTGTAACCAACCTAAGTATCACGAGTACAATTAAAATCTAATCCCCGCATCGTATAGCTAAACAATCGGTGCAAAAAATCATATTAGTGATAAATATTTTAAAGTTTAAATACAAATATCTCACTATACACTGTAGTTTCATCGAAGGCCCTTTTTAGATGGGGGGTTTTGAGCGGTTAGAAAGGGCATACAAGAGTTGACCTATAATCAATGCTCTTTACAATCTATATTTTCATTTTCAGCTGGATATTTCCATTATGGCCTACGAAGAGAAGGATCTGGTGTACAATCTATATCCGCTGCAAGTGGGTTGGCAAGAGCTGCCTGTGCTGACGCTGGAATACAACACTAAGGTTGATCCGCAAAAGAATGAGAGTCAAAACGAGTTGCTGGGCGAATTAGTGCAACGTGCGCTGCCGAAGCGTGTCTTTGTGCTGGTAAGTACAGAAGGGCAGTGTTATTTTTTTGAATATAATTAATAATACTCTTTTGATTTTCCACAGCCACCCCTTAAGCAATTAACTAAGGTGGGAGTGTGAGTCCATTCATCATTTTCTAGATGTTTAAGTATTTTAAAGTTTTGCAGTAGCGTTTGAATTGTAAAAATTACACTAAACCCTTTATTGCTACATACAAACAAAAGCAGTTGTAACAGACAAATACATACATAAATATTTATATAGTTATATTTATAGAATTACATACATAGCATAATACTTGAGTGTGTGTGTTTGTGAATTCGTGCAATGTCTCAAATGCTCGATGCTCTTTGTTAAATTTCGGGGCGCAACAAAAATATTGTACGCTTTGTGAGTTGCACGTATTTTGATAAATCCTACGATATTCCAGTAATAAACAGTTTAAAGCATTGAAAAGACGGCCGTTACATTTAATACATGGTTCAGTGGTCATTTGCCACTGGATGGGAACTTGAAGACGCCACCAGCCTTTCTTTGGCTGCGATTCTCGTTCTGCAAAGAATAGACAGAGAGAGATATTTATTATTAGAAATTATTGACTACTCGTATATGTTGAGTGGCCCACTCACCATTAGACGATTGCCGAACAACATTTTTGCCTTGTCCTCTTCTTGGGGTGTTGCGCGATCACCCGCTGAGGAGACCGGCTGGCGTCGATGTATTTGCAGCTTTTGTTTGATGGCCTGCGAGACAATGACGCGTCTGCTGACCGACTTCATGGCCAGAAGCAGATCCAACCAGGTCCAGGTAACATTGTGATACTCCAGAGTGGGTATGACCAGCGAGTAGTCGGTGATATCTTCCAGATTCTTCTCCTTATTTCCCTTGTAGCTGACGCGGACAGGCACCTCGGGTATTTTAATGTATATAAACAGTTTGTTTTTCTCCGCACGTTCCTTCATCTTCTCTACATCGTCCTTTTCGATTTTCACATAAAACTCCGAATCCTTCGCACTCTTTTTGCTTTTTGATGCTTTCTTCGAGTTAGACTTGGCCTGTAAATTCGTTGTCGACGCTGAGCTCGTGGAAGCATTGTCATCGATGTCGTCGCTGGCCTCAGTCTCAGATGCGTCGCGATCCGGAAAGCAAAACTTAAGCATGGTGCTGTAGAATTTCTTCGTTATAGCAATGGTAATGGGAGCCACATTAATCTCGAAGTGTTCCTTAACCGAAATGCCACCAACGGGTGGTTTCTCGCGACAAAAGACACGCAACACTCGCTTATGGGTGTCTACCACCGGCATGTCCTTTTGGATTTCAGTGGCCAGCAGCACATCGCGATAGATTTCGCGTGGCAACAGATTGTTCATGTGTATGTTGCCCAACTCCAGCAGATGCTCCACCGAATCATCGCTCTTAGACTTTTTGGTGTACAGGAAGCCGCTCAGCATCAGATCAGCTATACCGATTTGGCCATCCGTTTCGGTGAGACGCCACTGGGCATGCTTGAAACAAATCTCATTGGCTCGCACCATCGTCACGGACTTATCGGAACGGACATTGGAGATTTTGCTTAGCTGCGACAATTGAGTCTCCTTGTAGCACAACAGCATCATATCCAGCTCCTCGCTATATGTGTTTAGCTCCTCTTTGCTTTCACGTATCTGCTGCTGGACACGTTCAAAATCTGAGCGCAGCTCGAGTGTATCTCCCTCCTCAATCCGCTCCTTGCTAATCAAATGTATATCCTTCTCTAGCGAACGTATCTTCATCAGCAGGCTGCGAATCATTGTTTGTTTCTGCTGTATAGGTCGCTTCTGGTCCTCCGTTGAGTGCAGCTGTAGTTGAAAGCGCATGCGGGCCAGCTTCTCCGCCGCCTGCTTGCGTTGCGGCTCCACATACAGGAGGAGATTATTGACAATGTCGAGTATCATGGCATATTGCAGCGAGTTGGTGAAGACGTCCAGATCGTGGTGCATCACAGTGAAGGCATCAACAGGATCGTCCTGTTTCTCCCAGGGCGAGAGCGACTCCTCCGATGGTGGCGGTGGGACCTCGGTAATACTGTTCGGATCAATGGCGTCTCCATAGCTCACGTAGAAGAACTCGCACTTGCACCGCGAGACAATGCGTTGCAACTGCACCGGCTGTGCTTGGCCAGAATTGTCGTTAAGAAACGCACCCACTGTCTCGGATACCACGCCTCCCACGCTGCGACCGCTGCCGACCAAATGTGAAATATCCTCGGGCATATTATTGATTACTGTCTCATCCTTGTCCTGTATATTGTCCACCGTCAGCCACATAATCTCCTTTTCCAGCAGCGAATCGTTCTCCCCGGCACTAACTGTGGCATAGTACTGCATGCATTCGAGCAGACCCTTCCACGTCGTCTTGGAGATGAGCGAACGATCGCGCCAAACAGGACGATGTACGCGCTGTAGAATCTCCGCCTTGGCGGCGCTTATTATCACATAACCTGAAGTCTCACACCCCTTTAGCAGCACCTGAGAATTGACCAGACTAATGGACCAGTTCTCATGTATCACATCCTGAGCGGAGCAAGCCTCTAGACCCTGTAACTGCAGCTCCCGCGATTGCGTGCTGTGATCATCGCTGTACACATTAAACTTGTGATCCGCCTCAGCGATCAGTTGCTGTAGCATAGCCGTCGCATGAACCTGTCCCGGAGGTTTCTTCAGCGATGCATTCGCATTGGCAACTGTAGGAAAAGGGAAAGGTACTGTTATGAACAGTTCTACAAGCATTATCAGGCTTTATAGAATATCGTTAGCAGGGTTCAAAAGCAATAGTATTCAAATGAACAAAGGTATTAGACAAGGCTGTGCGCTGCATCCTTTCAATACAGTAAAGGATAATGACCCCAATTAGGCAGATGGCTGCTCCTTCTCTGATATGGCAGCTAAAATGACAGTAAGATAAATGTCGGTAGCACAAAATCTATCGGAGTAAATGCACGTATTCAGAGATCTTAATCTATGGAGAAGTCACAGAAAACGTGGAGATCTTTTATTATCTGGGGACGGGGATATGCAGCGCAGAAAGCATTTCTCTGGGCACGATATCCCGAATCTTCATGTCTTATGTCCAGTCGGAACTGCTCGTTGGGAATCTCTGGAATCTAACAGCTAAGGAGTTATACGGTATTCGAAGGTCTACCAATAAAGACATTTTTTGCCTGAAACCATACCTAATGAAGGCTTCTGGAGAATGGAACTGTATTGGAAATACATATATGACATTGCGTAAAGAGCATTTGAATCCCACCTCCCAGAATGTTATAGAGATAGCCCGGCTTTATGATAGAGTTAGACTTACTCGGTAACACCTCGGTGTTCGCGTTGGACAGTGTTATGGTGCTGTCGCTACGTCTGTGCTTGACGAGCGCCGAATTGCCACCCTCCTTGCGGTAGCTCTTCACCGCCTCCGTGGACAGATTGTTCTTCAGTTTCTGCGACTTCATAAACGAATCAAAGAGCGCAAATGCCACATCACGATTGCTTTTCGTCCAAGCACCCTTTAAATCGTAGACGACGAGCTTGTGTGTGGGTGTCGTTGACTTGGACTTCGCATCCTCTTCTGCGCTGCTTGCTGCGGGAATTAGCGCCTCGCGACCATACGAGACTTTGGCCACGCTAAGGAAATAGAAGCGCACAATTTTGAATGCGTCCGCCGCACTAGCCAAATTCTCTGAACTGCTATTGTCCATTTTCTCGGTAACAATGCTCTTCAGCCAGATCTCAGCATCGTTCAGTTCACAGTTCATGTAGACCGTAGACCAATCGGCTCGTGGACGATGGATGAGTCCGTCGTCGATAGGATTCAGAGTTAAACTGTATTCCGAACTGAATGAGACACGTCTTCCATTTAACTGGAAACCCTTGTGTAGAGCATGTGACATCCAGTAGAGTACCTGGAACTTGTGGAGGCACATTTGCAGATTGGCCTTCTTGTAGTGCCGACTTAATTGTTTCTTGCGAGGTCGGACGTTGTTGAAAACGGGTCCGCGTCGCGTTGGACGTGTAACGCCGGAGAGGATGAGTTTCAGACTCTCGAACCAGCGCAAGGTGCTGCCGTAGAGCACCAGACTGGGTATGTCAATCTCAACTTCATCGCCAGACTTCGGCTTCGTCTCGAAGCTTATCCAAATATTAAGATTGAGAGAACGATACGCACGAAACGAATCGTGCACCTGGTTGCTGGAGTACTCGGGCAGCTTATCAGGCGCGCAGGGCATGACTGCATGATGATCATTCGGATTTGCTAGGCAAACCCAATTGAGCTTAAACGTTAGCTTCAAATTCGGAAAGTGCAGAAGTCGGCAATCATCATAGCGTGAGGCTGTACGCACCGTTACCTTGAGAGATAAGAAAATTATATACTTTCTAATAATATGAGCATCAGCTTTCAAACTCACATTAAGCTCGCCCTTGAACATAATCTTAGCATTGGTCCACACAATGCCGCAATTGTTCCACGTCAGTTCCATCTCCTCTGTGGTATTATAAGGATCCAGGGAGGCATGCAACAACACCGTAAACTGTTTAGCTATCAAGGTCAGCCGTCCATGGAGGAGCAGTCGCATTTTATCCCAAAACGGCAAGGGTGGACTCGGATCTTTGGAGGGTGCTGATATTTTCTCAAAGCTTAGATTGCATTGCGCCATCACGGGCTCCCAACACGGCCCAAATGCATAGCTACAGCTCTCCAGCTCACAATCAAAGTCATGGTAGAACTTTAAGGACGGCATGCTGCGTTGCACCACATCCGTTTCGAATGGGTCGCCCACCTCGACGAAGACATCCCGCTTGGCACGCTTCGATGCTATTTGCTCAGCTCCGCAGAGGTTGCCGTAGAGCCGCATGCTCTTCACATAGAACATTGGTTGGGGGAAATCGCTAAAAACAATTCAATTGTAAAAAGTTGCGATTAGAAAATAATAATAGATTCTAGTCAGTAATGCTCGATACAAAACTCTTAATGGTAGCCTTGGACATATGGTAATATGTCCGAATATAAATAAATATCTTAAGTTTTGAAATCCGCCCGGGTTGCGTATTGAAATGTATAGTGAATCTTTAAAAAGTGAACAAACGTTTCGGGAAAGGTTTCATTGGTCTAAAAGAGGTGAATTTGGCGTACCAGATGAAGACCGTTCCGGACCGGTAATAAAGTGATACGACATTGAAACCAGCTAATCCCCTAAAGAAGTTTCTCACTATTCGAATAAGATGTTCCGCCAAAACCGCATTATTCTTCAGACATTACACCTTCAGACTATCATCGTTTCAGATCATTGACGAAAAGTATGCCAGGGAAACACATCCGGTACTTACCGCAGCATGAACTTCCATTCCGTGCAGCTGACGTTAACGCCACGGCACCAGAGCGTTGAAAACTGTAAGCCCTCTTCCGGCCAGGGTGTATCGCAGTCGATTTCGCGCATAGTTCGCGTTACATTGTCATAGCCATGTATGGAGGTATCGGCCATGGCCAGTATCTCCACATCGGTCATAATCCAGGCAAGCAAGCGGGTGCGTACAGGTCCACTTTCGCGTATCTTTTTCGAGCGCTGTATGTAAATCTCCGAATTCTTCTTCACCAGATTCGCGTACAGACTCTCAATGGTGCCGGCCGGAACTAGCAATCGTTCTGAGCAGAGCTCGGCAATCTTTTTGTCAAACAACGTTTTGCGCTTCAAGCTCTCCAGATACTCATCCACCAGGAGGACGTAGTTATCGCGCAACTTCACCTCGAATGGATCGTCGCTAATTTCGAGCAAAAATTCCTTCACCTTTATTACCAAATCGCTGGGCAGCGGCGACTGTTCAGTAAATGGCTTCTTCTTATAGTTATGCACCAATTTTAGCCACTTGAAGTGTGTGACGCATTCGTTGTTAATGGCGTCATAAAAGTCGTGATCGTATGGGAAAATTGCCTTGAAGGAACCAATTGTGGTGACCCAAACACGATTGGATGGCAACACGAAGCCGGGGAAGTTGTGACGTTCGTGCGTTAGCGTCTCTAATCGTGGCAGCGACTGCATATCCACCTCCTTCACCGTAAAAATGTGCTGGTCATCAATCTTTACAAACACATTCTCCGCATAGATGATGTTGCGCTCCTTGTGGCTGAAGAACAAATTTTCCACAAAGAACTGTATGGAGTGGCGTTCCGAAAGCTTCAGTTCGCAGATGGTGCTGCGTTCCGCCAACAGTTCAATTATGAAGCCACGCTTTAAGTCGGCAGTATTTGTCAGTTCTGCTACCTTTGCGTCTGTCGCTGGCCAGGCCAACTCTGCTTTCAGATCCTGCATATCTCGCATTAAAGTCAAGAGGTGCATATGCAAATTGGAATTCCACATGGCCTCCGTATTGCCCGGAATACGAATGGATAGCTTTCCACGTGTGCCTTCCGCTTGTTCGTACTCCATACGTATAATTTTGCAATTGGCAAAAACGTCTGTGAAATCAGTGAGACACAGCGATGAGGCCGTCATCGAACGCATGATGGCCATTTGGAACTCCTCCAGTTTGATTGTGGCGCCATGCAGCGCTCGCGTTAGATTGATTTCCGAGAAGCTCAGCAGTGTGTAGACATTGTGATGGTTAACAAAATAGGCGGTGATGTCCTTCACCTTTACGGACACACGCAGTGAAGTGGCCGACTGAGGCACATGGCTCTCCTGTTCCAGCGAACTCGAGCGCGAACCCTGTGGCAAGTGCTGCGCACGCTTGGCACTCAGACCGCCATATTGTTTCACACACTCCATGGACTTGACCACAAACTCGGCCAATTGCATGCTGTATTCCGTGCGAAAGGTGTGTATGGATATATCCAATTTGGTGGTGTTGGCATAAGAGCACAACTTGACTAGACTAACGCCCAGAAAGAAGGGTGAACCGGGTGAATGGGTTTTCTTCAAATTGTTTGTGTCATTGATGGAGTTGCCGAGATTGGACCACAGCGTCTCTACCATAAGTTCCATGCTCCATTGGCGCTTATTAAGCAGCAAATTCAGGAATTTATTTCGATAGAGCGAACTACGTTTCTCCTCCATTTGCTCCAGCAGAAATCGCGTATGACTGACGCTCATTGCTATGTGTTCATCTTCAAGTTTCATTAGTAGCGACACATTCCATAATTCGGCACAGCCCTTGACCACAATGCGTTCCATAATCCATTCCAAAATGCCGCCCTCGTGACTTCGCTTTGAGGCAGCCAACCAACTGCTATCCGCTTCGAGACCCAAATTATCGGGCAGAGACTTCTGCTTGTGCGTATGTAGCATTTGGGGATTGCTAGCCCGCTGACGTGCCAAAAAGTTATTATTAACAAAGTCATAGATTTCGCTGTGGTTGTAAATGATTTGGAATGTCTTTAGCTTCACATACAAATTGAATATGTCTTTCTCCAACTAAAATAAAAGAAATCAAAATGAGTTTATAAGTTATACAATTAAAATTGCAGCTGATGTTACTCTTACCACTGAATCAATGGTGAACTGCTCGACAAATAACAACTTTTCGTACTTTGTGTCGATGTCCAAATGCTGAAACACCAGCTTGGCCAGCATGGAGGGTAACAGCGTTTTTTCGTCCACGACTTTTGAATTGAATTTACCGGTGATCTGCAAGACATAACGTTTAATATTAAATTTGTTTTACAAACCCCTCACAACTTTACGTTGAAAAGCTGTAGTTTGGCACTAAAGTCATTCTGCGAATTCTCCTTGACCGCCGAAAATGTAGCCGCCTTTATACTAAAGTTAAAATTCTTTGGTATGATGGGTGCTAGCTTCTCATAGTTCTCATTGTCATAGTTGCGTGTGGGGGAGGCGAAACTGCGCTGTAAGCCTTTTGCTTGGTGTCCCCGATTTGTGCGTTGTTTCGCCTCGCTAAGGAACTCATAGAGACCGCCGTGTATGACTGATTTGGCATTGTTGATGACCAAACTAAGAGTCTGCAAATTAGTGATAGTTAAAACATCGTTTAGCATTGTTACCTTACTACTTACATCCATAGACAGCGGTCCTTGTGCAAAGAGTGAAGCATCTAGCGTCACATCAAAGCTCATCTCGCCTAAGCATGGGCGAATCTTGTTCAGGTTCTCCAGCGACTGGCGCCGCGCATTGCAATGACGCAACATCTTGAGTGCGGCATCACTGAGCGCAGCATTGACCAACAGTACACGAGCATTCTGCACAATACTGCCATCCAGATGTAGTTCCTTGGCCGTGGCATGTATAAACCAGCCTGGATCAAAGTCATTGTTCATCAGAACTACTGAAATATTGTTCACATGCACGGCCATAAATTGTGCAAAAGTTATAATGCTGGCCGGCACTTTCGTCTGGCGAAAATCGGGCACACTTTTGGTACTTCCATAAAGGTGGTTCTGGCGCTGTCGGCTCTCGTACAAGTCATCGCCGACGTCATCCTGCCGGCTATGTATATCCTTGTTTATACGAATATCGCGTATGTATATGGACAAGAGCTTTGTGACCTCGGTGGTGAAGAAGCTGCTGCGCAAGCACACCTCCTCGATTTGCTGAAGGCAGACAAAGAATAAACAATAAAATTCCACAACAGAAAACCGCAGATATATATAAATCGTCACCTACCACAGAAAATCCACTTTTGCTAATGTGTACATTTTTAAGCGATAAATAGGGCAGCGCAATGCGTCCGATGCGTACTTTGACCCGAAACCGTTTAACCAGATACCAGCTTATGCCCGTGGGTAAAATCCTACCGGGCGATAAAGCAAATCAATAATCAGCTACAAATAGATGGGGCGCGTCCGCGTTTCGTGGCCGTTTTTCTCCGTACTCACCAATAAATTATAAGAAAAAGCAGTAGACAAAATCCGAGCAACTGCAACAGCATTTTAGGGGTGATTACACTGTTACATAGCGCGAAATATAATGTGAATACTATAAATTTGGTAAATTAAATTGTACTGTTGCCCCGCTCGTCCGTCTGTTGCTTCCACTGAGGATCAAAACAACTCTCAGCTGTCAGATGGCCGTAGTGATGGACGCATATGCACTGAGTACGTTATCGATGGCAGCTCCAATTATATCGATACCTCTGGTAAATGCTCGCAGCCCTTTCGCAGATTTTATTTGTTCGCGGAAGGCTTTAAATAAAAGCTATGTCGTTCCATTTAAGTACAAAGGAGAGACTGCTCCTTCTCATTGATGACATCGAAATGATTGCTAAAGAGCTCATCGAACAGGCCACCATGCCCAAACATCAGAAAATATCCAGTGTCGAGCACGCGTCACTTGTGGACCTGTTGGTGTCCAAAGACGAGGAGTTTCGCGAAATGCTAGAGCTGGCCGACGAGCAGGCAAAGGTTGAGGAATCCATGGACAAATTGCGTGCCAAGGTCGAGGTGCATGTAAGTAGCAAATGCGGTAGGATTTGACAGCCACTTTAACTTTACCTTTCACTTTTATACTTTAGGATCGTGAAATTCAGAAGTTGCAGAAATCCCTCAAGGACGCTGAGCTCGTGCTGTCCACAGCCATATTTCAGGCGCGTCAAAAGCTCGCCAGTATTAATCAGGCCAACAAACGTCCGGTTTCCTCAGAAGAACTCATCAAGTATGCACACCGCATTAGCTCTGCGAACGCCGTCAGTGCGCCTCTGACTTGGTGTATTGGTGACCTGCGAAGACCATATCCGACCGACATTGAAATGCGCAACGGCCTATTGGGTAAATCAGAGCAGAACATCAATGGCGGACCGGTAACACATCAAAGCAGTTGCATACCTCCTGACGCCCAACGCAATTTAAGTAGTGGCGGTGAGGTGCCCAACACTTACCAAAATCAATTTAACTGGAATCCTATGGGTGAGCTGCATATGACAATGGGTGCTTCGGGAAATTCGGTGGCTTTGTCAAAAGAGTCATCTGCTCAGGATGTCGAGGTTATGTCTACAGACAGCTCGAGCTCCAGCTCAAGCGACTCGCAATAATTTGCGATGTAAGGAGACTCATAGATTTAAGAGCATTAGCATCTACGTATTTAAGTTCATTATGAAATGTATTCAGTGCAGTGAGAATTTTTATAATTTGCGTGAAAAATCAAAACGCATTATTTATTACACAAATATTAAATTAATTCATTAGATCAAAATAATTATTTTTTATTCAATTTAAATTATATCTAAGTGGACTATATTGCAAAATTCGACCACCTTCATTTGTTACCATGACTTCCTCAGCATAAATAATGTTTTGTTGAAATTTAAGATCTTTTACCAGTATGGTATTCTTTCCAAATAACATACTTAGACATTCCCTGGGGCAATTGAAAAAAAACTGAATGCCTTTATAAAATATTTTGGAAAAATCCGATTCATCAAGCTGCGTCTCACAAACCTCTCTATAAAATTGTTCTAAATCGCTCCAAAGCGACTTTAGTTCCAAAGCCAAGTTAACGTCCAAGCGAACCAACAATTTGTCGGGTACTTGAACAGAGAAAGGACCATTACTGCTGCTTACTTGATTAAACACTATCCGTATTAGCTTGCTCTCTGCAATTATAGGTTTATCTTTTATGAACAGTTCAAGTTCTTCTAACACGATTTCAGAAACTTGGCTGTTTTGCAAAATGTTCAACTTCGATAAAGTTAGATACTTTTTATGATCCTCAAAATAGGCGGAGAAGTCCTTAACCATTACCGAGACTCTCGGGGCTTTTTTCTTCGTTGCAACATCGACTGTAAACGCCGCAATTATTCTACAATAATCCATGAGCTCCACTACAAAATCCCTCAACACAGAGTCGTAATTGATGCGAAACATTTCTATGGATACGTCCATAGAGGAGTCGCAGTAAGGACGTAGTTTGGCTCTGATATCCTTTAAATAAAAAGGGAAAGCCGACTTCAGAACAGGATTGTTTTCATCCGGGTATGGACTCCAATTAGACTCTAAATGATCAATTTTAAGGCCCACGCTGGTGTGATGGGAGAGTGTGTTACGATTCTCTTCGGTTCGATCAAGCACAATGTTTAAGTGAATAGTCCGTAAGCACAAAGCTTGATCCGTCACCCATAATGTAATATCTAAGATTTCCGCATCTATGCTGATATCATTTGGTCTAATATGGCTTATTCCATAGTCCAGAATGATCATTCTACAGTTCTCCGCTTTAGCCTCGATTAGACATTTAGAAAGGGGAAATTTGATTACAGCTGTCGGATGATCTACGAGAACCTAAAATGTATATTTATTTCAAGGAAGCTTAGAATAATATCAGCATACGAACATGAATCTCATTACGGCCAACAAGTCCGGGTAATTCGGTTTTCAGGTAAAACTCTGCCGTCGGAGCTTTAAGATATAAGCGCGATTTTAATTCATCGATCGTCAACTCTATCCCAAAGTCTTTTATATACACATTTATGAACTTTGAAAGCCATCTGATTCGGGCATGTACTTTATCGAAATCGAGATCATTTTTCCGTCCAACAGAATGATTACTGGCGGACTTACAAGAGTTTTTAGTTAATCGTAAGCCACATATGTCAATAGAAATCAGTTTTGAGAGGCCATGATTGAAGAGATTGCTGCCTAAATGCAACAGCTCTATTTCCTAAACAAGACGTAAGATAAGAAATAGTTGGATTTCCAAGCGTTAGGGCAATCTTACCACTGAAAAAACTGTATTGCTAAAGAAAACCTTTGTAAACGTTAAAAGGGGGAATTTGATTGCTCCGATCCGAATCTTGATGTTCAGTCGCTTTAGAAGATACCAACTAATGAACGAAATTAATCTATTAGTTAGTACAAATAGTTGACTTGACCTTCGTAGCACTCACCATATAACAAACAGAGTCAAATGAAAGCAAATTGAAACTAGTACGTAAAACAACATGTTCATTTGCTAAAAAGGGATGAAAACGTCTTAGGAATGTGTACGTCTTGTACTACTGGGAACATTACAGAAACTAATCAGCCAGCTCAGCGCTTCACCTGAAGGGAAGCAAGAAAACATTGTACATACATATGTATGTGCGAGTATATAAGAAAGCTTATCAAATGCCCTTATCGAAAATGTATGTACATATGTATATAAAATTCTGCGAATCCAGTCGATTGTAATTTTACAGAAAGGGGAATCCATACTAAGTTATAACGAATACTTTTTATTCGTTGTCTTATCAACCTTTATCTGATTGCGATTACAAATTGTGGATCGGGTGCAAAACAGGTGTAAAATATAGATCCATAAATAGTAACAAATTGGGTTTCTTTCTAATAAAACATAATGAGTATTCCTGGACACCTAGTTTATTAATTTGTCTAATGTAAGACGTAAGACAGGCTTTATGTTTCTCAAAAATTAAATGTAGACTTTTAAATAGTAGAATTCGGGCAACTGATTTGCATTCAAACAGCTCCTTACCAACGACTGATTTGAATTTAAATTCCGTTTAACAAGCATTCTTGACATTTGAATCGCTTTCCTTCGGAATTCTTTCTATTGGTCCAATTTTGAAATGGCCTTTCCGCAAACGACCGTAGTTGCTAGAACACCAATTTTTACTCTAAAGGTAGTGCCAAAAATGTTCATCGTTATCGTTAATGCTGAAAAGACCAGCATCGATACCTAGCTAGCGATACCAAGTAGTATGCCATCTTTGCTGCTGCTGCTGCCTTGCCATTCACACTAAAATCATAAAAGTTAGAAATTTTTTGCTAATAAAATGGAAAGCAGCTTATTTTTAGTAGTTTATATAATGGAAATATGGCAAAAGTTTAGTTAGATGTTGTGCAAATACATATGCGTTATATTTTGTGCGCGAATCATTAAGCAAAAACATTAAAAAGTGTTACAAAAAGTGACGGACGGTGTGGGCTTGAGTGAAGCAGCAGGCAGAAGAAGAAGCGTCGCCAGCAGCAAGTCTTAAACATAAGTGGTCAGAGGAGCACCCAACCAATCGTACACCCCGTGCTCGTTACACACATACCGTTTTACTTTTTTGCGTTTTTCTTGTAAATTTTACCGCTTGTGTGGCGTCAGTGTCGGCTTAAAGTGCGGCATGTTTAGATTTGTTATAAATATTGCATGTTGATTTGGTAAAACTTTGAACGCAGTGAGCAACCGAAACCGGATTTGAATCAAACTACATACTGCATACGGTAAATAGGACATCCCAAAGCTGATCGTGGAATTGGACAGCAGACGCAAAGAGAAGATAGGCAATAGCAAAATTTCTCTCAAAATTCAAATATGATGGTACAAGAGCCTGTGCAGGTAAATCGATACATAAAGAACAATGGCAATAACAGCGCATTGATTTTGAACATAACACTATTACCTGTTTCTGGCTTTCTTTCATCCGAATTTAGGCAGCCATATGGCATTGTCTGAACCACTACGATCACAAGGATGCCATATTCCTGGCCGAACGCCTCTGCTGTGAAGGTAAGTGTGAGCGTGCGCATGAAATTGCATGTAGTTTTCGACCTTGGCGTGTACACTCAGTCGCAACCTTCAGTAGGTTTCAGCTGATGTGTTTGGTGCTAGGTTTTGTAGTATTTGTGTAAATTAAATAAAACTTATCTGTTTTGCAGTGGAAAACGATGAGACGATATTCCTGTTAGCCACCAGCTATTACCGTTCCAATCTCGTGCATCAAGCCTATTGGCTGCTCAAGGAAAAGCCACGCCGTTCGCCTCAGTGTCGTTACTTGCTGGCCAAATGTGCCTACGAGCTTAAAAAGTATGCGGATGCCGAATGTGCGTTAATAAGCACGGGATTTGCAGACAATAAGAACTTCGACGAACTGCAAAAGGAGTTTGGTGAACTGGCATGTTTTGCCTATGAGCTAATTGCCCAAATTTGTGTTCGAACAGAACGCAACAAATTAGCTGCGAGCGCATTGAGGCGTGCTTTAAAATTGAATCCCTTCATGTGGCATGCCTTCGCCAATCTGTGCCTGCTGGGTCAGGACACGGATACGTCAACAATATTCCAAATCCACAGCACAGATGTGTTCAACACTTGCCAGGGCAATGCTAATCCTAATTCAATGGTGCTGTTTGGCGGCGCGCATTTGCTAAGCGATCAGCAACCCCAAAACCAACAGCAGCTGCAACAGCAAACCGCACTCGAGACTCTGCTGTTGAGTAATCTGAGCAATAATACGAATTATATATTGTCCACGCCAGTGGATCAACAGCCGGCGAATCAACAGCAGCAACAACAGCAGCAGCAAAACAATAACAGCGGCCTAGCCAACTTGCAGAATCTAATAACCCCTAATAACAACAATAATAACAACAATAATCTCAATAGCTCAATAACCATGCTGAGAGGCGGTGGGGGTATAGCCTTGCAGCAGAATAGCCAAAACACCAATATGCTAATGCTGGAAGACACGCCCATGGCGTATGCGCACGATACAAGTGGCGTGACGGCATTACCAGCTGGTCAACAACAGCAGCAGCAGCTTTATGATGGCGCTGGGACACCATTCCGCAAACAATTCAAATATCTGTCAAACCTCTCTCCATTGACACCCAGCTTTGGCATCATGCCCCTAACTAGTCCATGTGCTGCTGGCAATGGTGATGGTTCTTTCATTGCCAACTTCAATACGTCGGCTGTGCAGTCCAATTTAAACATTAGCTACTCACCGTTGCCCCAAATGCTGGTCGAAGTCAATCAGGAGCCCAAGATTATGGGTAAAAAGCTGAAAACACATGTCGGCGGCATTATCAATCGCAAGGATACTAGCAGTAATAATAAACCCGCCGTTTTCACACAGACCGGCAATATAACTCCGCGCACGCCAAACAATGTTGGCAATCCGAATACGGGGGGTAAGTAAAGAGCAATAATTCGAGGAACGGTATCAAGCATACGAATCAAACTCATATTTCATTATTTTCTTTCCACAGTGGCTCCCAATCCAAATGCCGCTGTACGGCGAAGCTCGCGCCTGTTCAGCAATTCAGCGTACTCGGTTAAGGAGAACAACAAATCGCCGAATATAACCAACAATAAATTTGTACAGCCGCGTTCGCCGCCGCGAAAAACAAAGACGCGCATGCCCAAAATCTGTTTAAATAATGAGCTTATTGAGGAGAAGTCCCATCATCTGACTGACAAGCTAAGTGAAAAGCAGGCGCGTAAAGAGAAAGTCGAGACAATTACATCGGCGACGGGTAATAACAACAACAACAATCGGAATGCTGCCGAGGATGCCAAAGTGCTTCTCAATAATAGCCTAAACAATGCGCAAACGATGGCACATCAGTTGTTGGGCATGAAGAAGCAATCGGCCGATGGATTAATGTCGTTGCTGCGCGATCTTGGCGACGGCTATAAATTGCTATCCACCTTTCAATGCAAGGCGGCCATAAAGCAGTTTGAATCGACGATACCAAAGCATCATTTGTGTTCCAGTTGGGTGCAATCTTTGATTGCCATGTCCAATTATGAGATGCGCGACTATGAGGCTGCAGTTACGATTTTCAAGCGCATACATGAAGCGGAGCCATGTCGTCTGGATTATATGGAAATATATTCAACATCGCTTTGGCATTTGCAGAAGGAAGTTGAATTATCGGCACTGGCGCAAGATCTAATCAATCAGGACAAAAGTAATCCAGTAACGTGGTGTGTGGCCGGCAATTGTTTCTCTTTGCACAAAGAACACGAAACGGCCATAAAGTTCTTCAAACGTGCCGTTCAAGTGGATGCAGATTTTGTGTACAGCTACACCTTATTGGGCCATGAGCTTGCACTCACGGAAGAATTCGACAAGGCCATGGACTATTTCCGTGCAGCCGTGGTGCGTGATCCAAGGCATTATAATGCTTGGTTTGGCATTGGCACCATCTATTCCAAGCAGGAGAAATACGAACTGGCTGAACTGCATTATGTGAAGGCGTTAAAAATTAATCCACAGAACTCTGTCATACTGGTCCACATCGGAGCCATGCAGTTCTTTATGCAGAAAAAGGATTTGGCATTGCAGACGCTCAATACGGCGGCCACATTGGATCCTAAAAATCCGCTCGCGCGCTTCCATCGTGGCTCCATATACTTTTCCCTCGGAAAGTATCAGGAGGCGTTACGCGAGCTAGAGGAACTCAAGGAGATTGTGCCAAAGGAGTCTGTGGTGTTCTATTTAATTGGAAAAATACACAAAACGCTGGGCAACATGGATCTGGCATTAATGCATTTCAGCTGGGCCACCGATCTGGACCCCAAAGGTGCAAATAATCAAATGAAAGATGCCTTCGATTCAATGGCCCATCCCAGCTGTTGTCCGGCTAGCGATACCGCCTTGGATGTCGACTTCGAACCAACCTCGGAGCGCTCAGATGACTCGACGCAAGCGCAACAGGATGTTAGCTATGATAGTGACTATTAGGCATGTCTCGGACCCCGATATGTATATAGATATATATTTATGCAAATAGGAAAGAAAACTCCAGCTGCTACTCCAATCTCGTCGTTATCGTCGCCGCTTTCTGTAAGTTTCCAGCGGCAGCAGAGCAAACCAATTATGAAGCATAATAAAGTCTAAACAGAACTCGTAGCATTAGTAACTTTAAGAAAAGATCGAAACGTAAAAAATTATAACGGTTTAAAGAACTCTGTGCACTCTGAATGTTTAAGGCAAAACCAAAAGAAAAAAACAAAAAAAAAAGTATACACAAACTAAATTATACGAATGCAAATTAAAATTATTACTATTAAATTGTACAAGTTAAATAAGTTTGAGTCGTGTTTGCACGGCAGAGCTTGACGGCGTCGAAGGCCGGCGAGGCAGCTAAAAAAAAAAACAAAAAACTGAATCCAAACAACGGGGATCGACGCTGTGAAGTGCTGGCCATTATGCGTAATAATAACAAAAACAAAGAAAGAGAATATACAATTTAATCAGATATTTAAAAAAAAATGCCAATATTTTTGATTCAATTTCTTGCTACATACGCAGGGAGATGATAGTTATATACATTTATCATATATGAGTATCTAAGCTCATGTGCAGTTTAGATGATGGGTGCTTTAGGTATTGATTCATGTTTTGATGGTACAAAACCTTAATAGTGCCTACATTCCATATATGCGGTAGGTAAAAAATAAAATTGGTTCTGTATAAATCTTTTTATACCCTGTACCCAAAGGATAGAAGTGTATACTAGTATTTTGCGAATGTATAAGAGCTAGTAACCAAACTTGGTCTCCAGATTCTTCTAATCCCGAGAAAGGACATTTTTTTCTGATGCACCCACATCCTCCGCTTATTAGTAATTTTCCATATTAAGTTTCATCATGATATCTTAATTGTAAAGAAATTTATAGCCACAATATTAATATCTGCCCAAGCTTTGTTGCCTCAGCTGTTGTTGCTGCTGTTAAGGATGTTTTAAATAAGATTTCACTGAATTTGGGTAGAGAATCTAATTGTTCGTCAAACTGTTCCCGAATTTATTATTTTTATATGGAAAATTTGGATCGTTGGTTTTAATATTAGGAAAACTTTAAAAACAAATTTAGACACGGTTAAAAACATATGCTCAAGCTTTCAACTATTCTCAATCCATTCATTTTTTGTATGGCACAGTTGGCATTTCTTCGTCGTCTATTTCATCATCTGGTGTCGATTTGTACTTGTATGTGAGGCACATTTCTTGAAGTTGATCATATGTAAGTTGTTCGGTAATGTCGAGCACGGCACGCAATCTGTTAAGATCCACATTAAGCATAACGGCTATGGCGGGCAGATGCTCATCCTGCAGTCGATATTTGCGCGTGTTTGCGATTTGTAGCGCGTTGCGTATTTTTGTAGTACCGAATATTTCGGCCAGTGATTCACTCAGAGATGGTGAAGTGGACGTTGATGTTTGTGGAGATCTAGGACGCAGATCTGACGATTGACCATAGATCTCGCCATAGGTGGCAGTGAGTGCAAGCGGTGTCGTATCCTGTGAGGGGCATATATGACACAGTTTAGCGGCAATAGCAGTTGTTTCACGGCTTGTTCCCTGATCTATTTCGGAAATTAGCTTTTGTATAGGTGGGCCAACACCATTAATGGCTCTTTGAAAGGCCACGCGCTGTAGTTCGGCTTTGATATCAGTCAGATAGGTGGTTGCATTAGGCGATTGTTCCTGTGCCTGTTGCAATGGCGGAATCTGGTGGACGAAATGTTCTGGGTATTGAGCGGGGAGCAGTGACTGTGTGGATGTCACAGCTGCTCCCAAGGCCGCGCTAAACGCGTGTCTATTATAAGGGGCTGCGGTATTGCGATTTACAATCGGCGTTCTGTACTGTAGCAGAGATGACGGCGCTGAAAGAATTGCTTCCGCTATCTGTGTCGGCTGACCAGAAATAGAAAAGAGTGAAGACGAGGCTTGACCTGATATCGGCTGAGCAGCAGTTGTAGTTGGACCCGGCAGTGACGCTGTAACCGTTTCCTTTAGCTTGCGAGAATTGCCTCTTTTTTGATTTGTGCTTAAACCGAAAAAATAAATTGATTAATTGGATATATACAAGTACATACAAATATGTATGTATGTATCAGCTTACGTTTTCTTGGGAGCACAATTAGTTTGCGATCGAGCTTTGGATGGATTAGGATTACGGCTGCGTTTCGCGGCGGCCGGCTTTTTTTTCAATAACTCAATGGAGCCGTTATTATTGGCAACATGGTTTTGAACTTGGCTAAGTGCTGTTGGTTGTTGCTCCTGACTCAGCGCAAGGCTTAAAACGCCTTTTAGAGAATAGCCAGTGGGTCGATTAGGTGGCAGTTGACTGCATTCCTCATCCGTCTCAGTAAATAATTGTGGTGATTTTGTCTTCCGGATCTCACGATGCTCCCTGTTTTCTATTGACTTCGCAGCTACTACCGCTTCCGTTTTATCCAGCAATCGTTGGGAGCGTCGCAATGGTGGTGAACTCATCAATTTGTGCATACTCTCCGCTTCAGGACCGTAAGTGGGGACTTGACTTGCCGACACGTTCAAGTCCATAGAATACAACATGTATTTAAAAAATTAATTAAACGGAAATATTTTCACAAATTACAAATGACAAATACCGTTACAATACTGCATCTGCCTGCTGAGTTGCAATCCAATTATCGATAGCACATTGTACTACGGTTGTTCTATTGCGGTAACTGTGACTTATCCCCCATCTCTATGGGGTTGTAGTATTTTATGGGCCTATCAACCAACATTTATTTATTTTTATTTTCCCCAAATGGCAGCTGCAAAGAAAATAAATGCGGCTTTACGCGATCCCACCGCTCCAGGATACAATGTTGCACGCGATCCTACCCTGGTGCGCAATCGTATATTTGTCGGAAACCTTCCAAGCTGCACGCGAGAGGAGCTTGAAAGTATTTGCCATCCGTATGGCAAAGTAATTGGGTCCTTGGTTCAAACTCATTTTGGTTTTGTACAATTCGAGTCGGAGGAGGTAGCCGATAAATGTGCAGCGGCCCTAAACAAGTCCATTTTCAAATCCAATGCATTAACAGTGCGCAACGCAAGCGTCAAAGCTTGGCCCAGTCAGAGTGGCAAAAAGGGCCTGCAAAACACAATAGCCGGCATTGGTGTTGGAGCCAATACAGTAGGACCAACAGTAAATACTGTTCAATGTGTGCCCGCTCCTTCAGAAGTCGTTCCCATTAATGATTGTGAGATCATTGTGGTTAACCGAGAAAACACGTATGTAGTATAACTCAAATTGATGGTCATTAAAACTTAAGTCGACATGTTTATTATGTTCGCCCTATTAGTAAATACGCAGAATTTGTTGAAGAACGTCTTACGCAGGCTGGTATGCTTGTAGATGTGCTTTATCCCAACGAGGACGTAATGCTGGGCAAGGTTTTGGCAAACATTTCAGCCCGTGGTTGCCTTTACGCGGTTCTGGTGACGCCTCAGCATCAAAAGCTAAACAGCATTACCGTAAATATTCTGTATGGGGTGCCGGCAGAGCATCGTAATATGCCTGTGGAGGATGCCATCACATTAATTGCCACTGACTTTCGATTGAAAAAGCATCGGGACAATGCAATGCCAAAAAATGCACCACCGCCGCCACCACAGCCCCCTCAAAAGATTATTCAGCATCAGTACCGACATCCGGAACCCATGCAGCAGCTATTAAACCTGTTGGCCGATAATCGAGCGTTACGGTCATTTGAATATGAAACCCTAATCAAATATTTACAGGAGAGGCATGTCAAACAATTAGCCGTGGAGCATGGAGAGGCAAAATTACAAGAAATTGATCCGGAAATTGAGTTGCAAAAGAAGATTCTTAGTATCATGAATAAACCTTCGGTGACCGATATCAATTATGAACTCATGTATCCCACTTTTGAGGCGGCACGGGAGGACACAAGGCTAATTCAATTGTTGGAGGATCCACGCGTATTCGCTGCTTTGGAAAGTATTTACGACTCCGATTTGACGGACACAATAGCAAAGTACCTTTAAAAACATCATCGCATTTTATTATATTCACTGTAAACATTTACATATTTAATTAAAACATTATGGCCAAGATCGTTTTGCCTCATGCCCTTCGTACTTGCTCCTATACTTGAGGCCTGTAACCAAAGTGGAGCTTTTGGGGAAAGCCGTTTGACCGTTGAATTTAGAGTCGGTCTCCGGATGAAAACGCACGTAGTCATACTGTATGTGGAGGTTTTCTGGCAGCTCTATACGCTTCAATGCATCAAACGGCACGGTGGTGTCCACGGGAGTCGTATAGAAGGCAATCACATCGGCAATGCTGGTCAGCTCGTGCACCTGTGAGTTCGGTACACCGTGTTTCAGTTCTTGAAAGCATGCAGCCAGGAACTCAAATTTTTGCTTTAAATCTGAGAATATGTGATTGTCGCCGCCTTGGACCAGCTGCAGCGACGCTGCCACTGCCCGAACACGCTCTGCCGCATCGTTGGGCGGAGCGTACGGCTTGTGTGGGCGTAAAAAGCTATGGACATGTGACTATATAATACAGGGATCGCAACAAAATAAACAAACCGCATACCCTTTGGAGGCGATCGATTCGCCTACAGCATCCAGTGTTTTGATCTGTTTTGGCGCCCCACGCTTAGCTGCAGTGGCGTAACTCGCCCACCATAGCCTTTTTGCGATCTGTAGGTGAAGGTTGTGAAGCAATTTTCGTTGCAGTTCAAATATTATTATATTTACTCACATTTTCCGACACAAGTAGGCCTTTACGTAAATTCATGATTGTGATGTGCAACACCATCTGTGGAAGCTTATAGCATTTCACAACACTGACAAACAGCCGTATGGCCGCCTTCCATAATGCTTGCCATCTCTAGGGTCGACAAGACTATCGATAGTTTGACAGCTCCTCACTTACTGTTCGGTCTCGTCTCGTAAATTTTTGATTAAAATTTTCGCGAAGTAAAATAATTAAATTACTGCAAACACTGAGAGCTAAGTGTGTACGTGCTAAACGTGTTATTATTAAGTTCTGCCTCACTGAAATGTTTGAAAATGGCGTTTAAAGGATATCAAAAAATCGATTGAAATGTATGAGAATAGAAAGTGGCACAAAAATGTAAATGATGATAAAACCGAAAGCAAAGAAGATTCCAAAAGAAATGCGAAAAAATATATACGCGTGCATGTGTGTGCGAGCGAGCGAGCGCTTAACGAGCAGTTTAAAGTAAATAAGTGAAGTGCAGTAGATGTTGATTTGTTTAACATTATTTTAAACATAAAATCAGCCATAATAACATTTAAATATTTCCGAAGCATTTTCACAGAGCACAGAAATAATTGTAATAGCGGTCATTATCTGCGCTTTGTTGCTTCTACATATAACGTCTGTATGTATTGCATATGTGTGAGAGTGTGGGGGGCACAACTTTGTGCGTCAGCGCGTGTGTGTGTGGGTTAAGGACCAGACAGGTCGGCGTGTCGTGCAACAAATAATGAAATTCTTCAAACAAACCAATGTACGGATAAGTGTAAATTAAATTAAAATTAACTTTTTGAAACGGTCTCACACTAAACAGTGGTTGCTCGCGTCATTGCAATGTAGGTGCGTTTGCGTATATATGTATGTGTGCCATATGAATGCGAGAGGAATGCTTGCTTAGTGTTGAGCAGTGCATGAAATAAATAGGCAACAGATTCTTTGCTTAATAATCTGTTCAAGAGAAATTTGTGGCATCGCTTAGCATCTTTCTCATTTAAACTGTGGTTAATTTTCATAATCCAAACGTACTATTTCTAGACGTTTTTCATTTGGTGTAACAAACGATTAAAAATATCTTCATCAGAGCTGCAATGCCGCATCGATCTGGTTATTGGCCGGAAATATCGGTTTTAAAACCAAAAATTGCATCCCTCAGCAGCATTAAAGAGAGAGAGAGAGAGAGCGCATTTAATAAACAGAGCCGCCAACCACAAACGTACATAAATAAAGTAAAACTTGTTTAAACTGTTCGCTCTTGGGCCTGCACTCTGCTTGCAAAAAGAGCAGAAGCCGCTATTCGTTGCGCAGCCACTATGTGTTTGTCCATTGTTGTTGTTTCTGCTGTGTTTTAATGTGTGTACGTGTGAGTGAGTTTATGTGTGGAGAACTTACAAATCTTCTTTTGAGCAAGCTGCTGCTTTTGCTCGTCACTCGCTACTCGCTGATACTACTGCCGCTCTTTATATACAACAATACAACTGCTGTTGCTGAGGATGGTACAAACAACCTCGAGTGCGCAGGTCTGTTTGTCGGTATTCTCTTCATGTGTCGTCATATGATGTTCCGTAGCCATGTTGCATTATGCTTAATAGTGTTACCATGTCCCGCGCAGTTAAAATTATAAATTTGTGGTGTGTGGTGTGATTTTGATTGCGTTTTCTTGATTGCTGGCAAGAAATGAAATGAAGCAAAAGAGGCCGCCAAATCGAACCGATTAGTGTTTGTATAAAAATCGCATATATAATCCCACGTAAAAATATCAAAAACCGACCGGAGAGTCCTATGCTATGATGACGTTCCATCTCATTGAGAGTAGTAAAGTTGCAGTCTTTACTGCTATACCTTCTCTCTTCTTACCGTAATTGCTCAGCAGTAGGCAGCAAGCACTACTCCAAAGCAAAAGCAAACCTAGACGAGCAAAATTTCCATTGTGTATGGCGATGTCGCCGTCGTCGTTTCTGTTGCTGTCGCCGTTGCCGTTGCCAGTCAGCAGAGCAAGCAGCAGAAACAGTCTCGCAGTCGGTTTAAAATTTTCTGACTCGTCATTTGTGCGAAACACAAGAAAGGCGATAAAAAAATGTATACATATGTATACATTGAGTAATAAATTAAAAATAATATATATTTAACAAGCGCAGAACGGTTTGTCGTCGTCCGGTCGGTCGGTTCTACGATTTTGCGGACCGTTCTTCAGTATTCAATACAAGTATTTCAATTTCTTTACTTAATGTGCGTCTGTTTTGTTTTTTATTTTCAAACCGTGTAAGCATTACTAATCGTACGATTTGCTTGGTTGCAAAAGTGTGTTGTTTGAATTTTGAAGTACAAATATATTACTCATCTGCTTTCCAAAACATGCACACCGACACATATGCACGGACTGAAACAGAAGTATTTATTGTGAATGTGAATGGAAAATCGAAAAAATGTATACATAAAAATGTATTTCAAAGTGCATTGCAACAAAACCTCGTTAGCCCACTGCACACAAATGGCGTCGCAAACGAAGGCAACATTTAGTTTTTCTTTGGCCCATATGAAAATTTGAATAAACTGTAGCTGAAAACTACCTATTTTATTTTTTTTGTCTACATCAACGATTAACGAAAACCAACGACTTTCATCGTCGTCGTTGTCGTCGTTATGCGTCGGTGTGTGTGTGATACTCGCTCACACACACTCAGATACGTCTATATTGGTCTCGCCGTCACGTCGAAAAAAGTCAATTTTTGTGTGTTGCGCGTGTTTTTGTGTTCATGTGTGTGTGTGTGTAGTGTGCTCATTGGGCGCTCTCACGCGCGCTCAACAGCCGAATGAATGGCAGAGGCAGCAACGTTCGTCCACCCTTGCAATTGTTGTATGTGTGTGCGAGTAAAGCAAAAAGTAAAAACGACAGCGAGCGCAGTGGCAACAAATAAGCTAAAAAATACAATAAGAAAACGTAAAATTATTGTTTTTCATTGTCGCCCCTTTGTATGTGTAGATGCTTTCAGTCAGCGTACGCGTATGCCTTAAACTTATATGAATATACCGACATATGTATGTGTATATGTGAGAGTGCATTTCTCAGCAGAGTGTCGCTCTTTTGTCGTTTATATTATTACGGTATATGGAGGTGAGGTATATGTATATTGTTGATTTCAAAATTGATTTAACTGAACGTGTCGTGTTTCGCTTTCGGAGGCGCAAATATAGCAAACGGTTGACAATAATAACAACAAAATCAGCAATCAGGTGTAACTTACAACCTCAATCTTTTTGCAGTGCAACGACGTAGATAACAACAACAACCAACTACAACAAAATATCAAATGAAAAGTGCCGCAGTGCAATCAAAAATACAAAATAATGAAAAATAATTGATATGCAGCAAAATATACATATATTATTCGCCAAAGAATCTTCAAAAAATAATAATAATAATCCACAAATAGCGGCAATAACAGCAACAGCTGCATAAAGTGCAACAACGACAACAACAACAGCCCAGCAAGCAACGCCGCCAATCATTTTTTCTATTGTAAATCAAAAAATGAAGGAAGAAGTAAAATAAAACAGAACAGAGCAAAACAAACAAAATCGTCAACAACAACCACAACAACATCATCACCATTGGCCCGTTTCATATATATGTATATGTATATGTATATATGTGTGTATTTATATGTGTGTCTTCAATTTCCGTATATATATAAATATGAATGTAAGTGAATGTGGATCTCGCTTACCGATCAAATCATGTGAGATTACAAATCTAAAATACTAGAAATAATTGCCACAAAAAATAAATATAACGTACATCTTGAGAAAATGAGGTGCTGTTGTTGTGCAAAAATTAAAAGCCAAGAACTATGACGCACCAAAATCATCAGACAAACGGCGCAAGTTTGGAGGATTGCCATACAAACTTTTATGCCTTGGTAAGTGTGCTCACCAAATGTTTTAAACTGCCAAAAGTATTTGTCACTAAACAAACACAATGAAAAGCATTCTTCAGACGAATTAACAATGACGCGAAACTGTTTTTAAAGACATTTAAGTTGTTAAAGAAATAGCCGGGAAGTCCATTTAAATTAAGATAACATTAAGTTGGGAACAGTTTTAATAACATAAATCACTTCAGGAAGCAACGATTAAATGTATTCATGAATAGAACAGGGTTCTTAAGACCATGCTAAAATATTGTATGCCAATTGCGAGGAATTCTTGAATGTGGGCCTAGAAAAGTGGTCCTGTTGATATTGGCTCACGAATAAACAGATGCATTATATTGACATTGATTAAAGACATTTAAGTTGTTAAAGAAATAGCCGGGAAGTCCATTTAAATTAAGATAACATTAAGTTGGGAACAGTTTTAATAACATAAATCACTTCAGGAAGCAACGATTAAATGTATTCATGAATAGAACAGGGTTCTTAAGACCATGCTAAAATATTGTGTGCCAATTGCGAGGAATTCTTGAATGTGGGCCTAGAAAAGTGGTCCTGTTGATATTGGCTCACGAATAAACAGATGCATTATATTGATTTTCATTGAGGAATAGAGTAGATTAAAAACCTGTATAAAACTTAATTCTCAATGATGGTTGGTTATATATGATAATGGTGAAGAGGGAACTCAAGTGCGTTTACATCCAAAGACGATAGCATATTTTGCGTTTTTGCATATGGAAGCATTTCTGTTAATAGCAGTTCTGGTACATTAGATACTACTTTCAATAAGCGGAATTAAAATTCCGGGAAAATCCCATCATGAAAGTAACTGCAAATTTAAACTTATTTGAACTTCAGAATATACATAATTTAGAGATCAAATCATTTTGAGATTACAATTGCCATATAACATTTTTATGGATTAGGGCTAGATAAAATGCTTGTCCATAAAGCTGAACTTAACCGATGCTTCGTCTGCAATTTGGTTATTGCATATTTGGATTCCAATTTGTGGCGTCACAATGATATAAATAAGTTGTATTATCTTACAAGTGAAGCCAAAGTCCCATACGCATAACACAAACACACTCACACTGTGTATAGTTTTTGTGTGTGTGTAATGGAAGCTACTGTTTTTGCACAAACACCTGCAGATGCGCGCATAACGGGCCATGAAGATGAGTTTCGTCGACTCTTTGTTGTTGTTTGTATGTGCATAGAGACGAGTTTTACACTAACAACAAGAACGATAGCAGAGAAATGCATTATAACGCTATTTTCACAAGCCTTAAAACGCTGCTAGCAAGAACAACAGCAGCAGCAACAACAACAAAAGCAACAAGCCGTTTTTACCTTATAACAAGCGAACCGAAAACCAAGAGATGTAAAAACCAAGGCAGCAGAACTAAAAGATATGACGATATTGTGGCATAAAGAAACACAAAAAAAGAAGCGACATAACAAAAAAAATAGCAAGTAGGCTGTGTGTACTGTGAGACCGTCTATAACAGGTTCTTCAACGGCCAAGTAGTCGGTCTTTTAGTTGAATGCTGTTGCCATAGCGTTTTTTTCTTTTCGTTAAGCTTTTTCAACATAAGGTGGCATATTTCTTTAATGAATCTTTCGCTGACAAAAAAAAAACAACGAAAAGCGGCAGAACGGGAAGAATAAAGACCCAAAAGCGGGAAAACAATACAAGAGCCGCATTCGTTCATGTGTGGATAGAAAAACTAAGTATGTGTGTGCTTGTGTGTAGGAAAAAGCTTTGAAATAACAGCTCGAGCATGCCAGCGTCGTGAACGTCGGCAGCGACGTGAACAAGTCAACGTGCTCCACCCCCCCCCCCCCCCCCCCCCAAACCCCAAGCATCGGTGCGCCCCCTTCTTGACCCTCTCTTTACGACGCTAAGTAACGACGACGCCAACGAACGAGCGACGCACGAAATAACGAAACAATAACAAACGCGCGAAACTTTCTCTGAGAGTCACATAGAGAGAGATCGAAAACGAATAGAGCGCCAGCGCCCCCCACACACACACACTTAAAAATGAGTCAAGTGCTAGAGTCACGCGTGCCTGACTCGTTTATACCCTGCACCCGGCTCACAGGAACTATTTTAATTTAAAACTGGAACGAGTTGAATGATTAAATGGCTCGAGTCCGCGTACTCGGTACCCGCCACAATCCTTCAGCTGTAATACATTGTTTCAGAAATCGTTCCTATGGCAGCTATGTACAAAATATAGAGCACCGATTCCAAAGGAAAAAGTTACCGATTAATCGATATTTATAAAGATAACAGTTATTCTACTAAATGTCTACCTAAACATGTATCGAAATCAAAAAAAAACTTGGACTTCAGAGACCTCACGGTGACTCAAGCTCATTAAGGAAGACCAACGAGTATATAAAGAACAACTTGTCTTGTCATGCTGATCAAGAATATAACTTTGTTGTGCCGGAGACGTCTCTTTTTAGATGTTGCAAAAAAAATGTGCGATCTCTAAACACCCTTTGAGTGCAGGGTATATTAAAAGCGATGGCACGGCCAATTACAGAGCGTGAGAGCGACAACAGAAATATCTGAGTTTGCATGAACTTGAGAGGCACGCGCGTGTGAATAAATACAGGCGTCAGAATGATAACACACAGAAGAAAAAAACAACAACAAAACATATCTATATGTATACACACATACATAAACGCAAACAACACTCGTTCAAATATGGCCTACAGTGAAACGAGCGCAAAAGGCCGAAGGCTAAAATGTAGCGCAGCTTGAGCATGAAAATTGCAAACTCACAGAAATGTACATATACGGGGGTACACATATACATAAATGTAGGTATGTGCAACTCAACGAGTAATACCAACGCGACGACAAAGTAGACTTGACGTTAAACGGCAATGACGACAATGTTGGAAACGCAAAATAGCTGCGAATGTCTGAGTGTAAATACACATATACATAGTATATGCAGATGATAGCCGGCCTAGAAGTTTGGGTAAAGTATGTTTTTCAAAATAAAGAAAAGAACGGCAAATATTCAAGACAAGAAGCAACCAGTTCAATGGGAGCGAAATGCAAACAGAAATAGCGGCCGCCGAAAATTGTATAATTTTAAAGAAAACTAAATTTCAGAATCTTATCTGTTTTAATTGAAGGAACATTTTATTCATAATAGCTTTGCATGTCTAAGCATTCGTTAAGCTTAAGAGGCAGAGAGGGAGAAAGAGAGAGATGCAGAGAACGTGACTGAGAAGTGGCCTAGCAAAACGCCGAAATAAAATCAAAACGGAAGAATGTGGAACAGACGCACACATACATACATATGTTTAACTTGAGTTTAGTGTGGGGGCTCTTGACGCCGTCGCTCGCTAATAAGCAGTAGCAGCAGCGCAGATAGCGTCGTCGTCGTTAGCAGCAGCGGCAATCAGTCAGTTGTGGTTTGGGGGAATACCTTTTGCTTGTATTGTGTTCAAATTGTCTCTTGGCATATTTGAGTGTGTGTGTGTGTTTATTTGCAAGTGTTCGTTTGTATTTAGAGCGTGCGGGTGAGGTGCAGTTATTTTGCTGCGTTGAATTGTTTTTACGCTCTTAGCCAACATTTGGCTGGCTTCGGGGTGCTTCCATTGATTTGGGCTTGCAGCACCAACAGCAGCAGCTACAACAACATATACAGTAACAACAATAACAACTTGTTCCAAGCAGCTATACAACTCTCAACGGAAGCCGCCAATGACGGCCGAACGACACGACCGACCCGTCCGACCAGCCGAGTTTGCCTTTTCTTCTTCTTGTGCCGTTGTTTTTTTGTTTTTTTTTTGTTTAGGTTTCGCCATGTCTGTTGTAGCTGCGTCTTCCACTACTTTTTGTTTTTTAGAGCTTTGGTTTGGTGCTGTCTTTGGCTTTACCTTGGTACCTTTCGTTTTGATCAACGCTTAGGCTGCCATTTGCCTGCACTTGTAAATGCGTTTCATATTGAAGCGTTTTACAACACCTTACCAAAGAAGCTTTTTCTTGTATTTTTTTAGCTGCGTGCAAGCTTGTTATTCCGGAAATAAATACTGTGTCAGGTTTAGGCAAACAATGGGGCCATAAATCCAAGAATTTCCGCTACTTATATATGAATAGTGGGATTTTGTATGTTTGAAGTTATGCTTCAGGGAACGAACACAGCTTAAAATAGTGCATTAATATGTAGTACTTGTGTGCAATTAACTAGAGTCGCATAAGGAAAGTGTACATACCAAGTATTGTAAATGTGAGCTCAGCCATTTCCAAAATCCAGGCGTTCATCCAAACCGACTTTTCTCTCGTCACGGCGTCACGGTGTCTGTTATGCTTTCTTCTCTCTGTTTCATACTTTGCACAAACTCAATACACCCTTTTTAACCTTCGGGTAGGGTATAAGCAAATAGATTATATTCGAATTATTTGTAATGAAAGAACACAAATTTATGAAGAGCAACAGCATCACCATCAAATGTGTTTCCACATGAAATTGTGTTTCAAATATACAAATGCTAGACAATCTTTTCAAAAATAATGCAGGAGGCATATCAGAGAAATTCTTGAAAACGGTGGAAATTAAAAACAAAAGCTGAAACATTATAGGTACACCAAATTATTTGCAATATTGTGTAAAATTGTGTTTAGATTCAATAGTTTAGGACCCAATGTAAATACACCTAATTCTGTTTTTACACGGTAGATTGGTTCCAGAAACAACAGTGTAAAAAAGACGTTGATCATATGCAGAAATAGGTGATTGGTTCCTTATAAAGAAATATGAAATTTTTAATTTTCAAACCGTGTTATATCAAAATCAGGTAAAAACAGAATTAGGTGTACAAAATATTGGAAAATATTACAGGGTATGTTAATATATAGATTTGTTCAAAATTGTATATAGCTCTTTGTATGTAAATCCTGGAAAATCCTGAAATTTGAAACTGTTTGGCTATAATGTTTTTTCTTGGAGGCATTCGGAATAAAGGTACAACTACATATGTGCCGTGAAAACTCTCTCGGCTGGACACATACATACGTCGTTCAACTTTTGTCCGTCCAAAGGCAGTGTCCGTAAAGGGGATACTTAAAACTTAATGCAACCAACCAACGTTTTTAACAAAGGGTCCGCCTAGGAAGGGCATAGATAAGCGTTTTGAAACCGTTCCGGTTCACCCAAGCTTTTTTAGATCTTTAAATGGTAACGACTTTTAAAGACAACACTCTGTAGACATCAAAGAGGGTTTCAAATAGGTATTTATTTTTTCAAAAAAATAATTCTTTTGAAAGTTCGACTTAAGAGTAATATGACCGAAAACGATTGGGTTTATTTCAACTAGGTTAATTTAACAACACTTTAAGTTCCATAGTATATTTTCATTAAGTTGTGTAGTCCTACTCTATTTGTTAACCTAGTTCCATTGGCAATTATGAGTCATTAGGAAATCAATATTTATAATTCCAGTAGACGACATGGAAATATAGTTATTGTAAAATATGGTCTTATCTTTCAAGCATGATGTAATTGCTTTGAGTAATCAATATTTATTAACTAAGTACATATGTATACTATATGACATTGTTTTTTATGTTTTTTGCCTTGCAGACTGATTTGTGTGGAATAAAATGGCGCAAGTTCGTCAATGTGGAGCGGCCAAATGCGTCGAGCAATCCATTGTCCGATCCCATACTCCGCTCATATTCCCGATGCATGCAAGCAGACATGCTCTGCGTGTGGAGGCGTGTTCAATCCACCAAACAGGACAACACCGATCCAAATGCCTTAACCTTTGAGATTACCACATCGACAAAAGTACACCCGCCTTTATCTTTGGCTGCGGCCAAGGAACTCTGGATATTTTGGTATGGCGAGGAGCCGGACCTCAGCGAGCTGGTTGATGCCGAATTGCTGAGAATAGCGGGTGAGTTAAAAATGAATATGCATATGTATGTATGTATGTATATAAAATATCTATGCCACAAAAAAAAAAAACTATGCATTTAGAAATTGTAGTTTGGCGGCAAAAGCAATAACAAGCGGAACGAATAGGTATAAATAAAATACATACAAGCATGCATAAATATTTTTTAAATTTAATAAAACTTCAAGGTCGTGCAGCGCAGCGCAAATTTTTTTACCCATGAGAAAACCAAAACAACGTACTAATACACTCACGACATGCTGATACGCACGCATATGCATACACCTATATACATGCATACATATGTACTCAAAAATTATTGTAGAATGTTCAACGTCACTCACGTGGCGTCCGTTTAACACTCTGTCTGTCAGGCAGTAGCTCAGTTAATCGCTAAAATGCAGAACGACCCACCCGCTCATTGTCTCTCTCTTCCAATGCTTGTTTTTCGCTGTTTCTCTTTCTGTTTCTGTCGTCGCCCACATAAAACACGTAAACGTCACCTGTCATTTGCAATGTTTTTGTTTCGTGTGGCGCTCCATTTAGCTCTCAATTTTGTACAATCTCTTCTTGTTCTCTTCCATTGTTAGCGCCAACGAGTGCGCTCACTTGTCTGCCTCTAACTCAGCGTCGCGTGCTGCTACTGCAATTGTGGCTGCGCAGCTTCGGATAAACGATTTCTTTATTTTTTTCATTTATGTACATATGTACGTACATGTGTGCATAGGTTTATAAAATGTAAAAAGGCTGCTACTCCTGCTGCGACATGGGATTTTCCTCTCACTCTCTCTCTTTCCTCTCACTCTCTCTCTTTCCTCTTAACATCTATTTTGCTGTGTGGGTGTTTTGCACATTTTGCATTAACTTGGCCGCTATTTGAGGGTTGTTAAATACACACAAACAATTTTGTCCCCGACCGCTTATCAGTCAGTGTTGCGTGCTTAATATTTATTCAATTTTATCGCTTCTTTTGTTTTTGTACGCTACACATGTACATGTATGTACATACATATGTGTGAATGTGTGTCATTATCTCTGACCAGAAACACAAGTGTTGTTTCAACGGGTTTTTATTTTTATTGTGTTAGGCGAATTCCATTGGCCACATTGTAATCACGTTAGTACGTCATTGCTACTGATACTGATTTTACGGTTAACTTTTGTAAAAGTTTATTTATGTATGTATGTATGTACATATGTATGTATTTACACGCCCGCGTAGGGCGATTGGCAAACCCAAATCGGCAGCTACAACAACTACATACATACATATGTGAGTTGAATGCACGTCGCTACCTCAAATGGTGAAATTGTTGATGCTAGCGTCGACCCCGATGCCGCCGCATGTTCGTTAGCCTTTGTTGTTTTGTTTTAAATGACAAGGACATTGAATAATTGCATTGACATTACATTGTGCGTTGTTGTGCCTGCTGCCTGCGAGTGCGTGTGTGTGAGTGCAAATTTTCATTTTCTTTTTATAGCCGCCTTTTACTTTATGAGCAACAACATCCAACCAACAACATAATAATAATGTGTTTGTGTGTGTGCATGCTGTGCGTGTGAATGAAACCAGAGATACGATGTCGATGCCGCGTAAGTGTGGTGAAAAATGGCAACGCCGCAGTCAAAGTAATTTTGTATGTGCCACTTGGTTGCTTGCTGCTTGGCTGTTAAGCGGCACAAGTTTTGTTGCTGTTGTTGGCCGGCGCATGAAATGAACGCCACTCGCTCAAGTATACATATTTGTATGTACATACAGTGCCGCTCAACATAATATATTCAAGATTTCTTACCGAACCACTAGTGGAATATGTATTTTATTTATGATTTGGCCACAAATGTGTATTCAAGAAAACGCCAAAAACTTTTAGTTATTTTAACCTTATTTTTAATTTAAATTTAAAAGAATACCTTCAACCAACAATTAAAACCTTTTAAATTGTCCGGCACTGTATTTTTGTTTATAGACTTAGTGCACGAGCCAACCTACGCGCGTGGCTCTGTATCTGTACATATGTGTATGTGCGCGCCACCCGTCCTCAACTCCCCTCGCTACTTGTTATCATTGTTGTTGTTTTATACACACCACTTTACCTTAAACAGCTGTCACTCACAGACATTGAGTGTGAGCGAGTTTGTGCATATACGTTTGTGTGTGTGTGCTCCACAATTGGAGTTCTCAATTTACGTATGTGTCGTATGTGTGTGAGTATATGTATATACATGTGCGTCGCATGCGCTCTCTCTCTCTCTCTCTCTATGTCGCTCTTTGTGCTTGAAACTGGTTTGCAAACTCAATTGCAATGCGATTTGTATTATTATTGTTGTTGTACAATTTTGCATTGCCTCGCTTAGCCGTTTTTGTGCTTATTAACCAATTTTAAATGTGTTCGTCGTCGCAGATTATTGACCTTGATTAAACATTTGTTGCTGCCGCTTGTTATTATTCTCACACGCAATGCTTTCGTAATACAATTGTGTATAGCTCATACAGTCAACTGAGTTCTGAAATATAAGCGTGTATTGGCATTGATTTGTAAATAGAAACACGCAGCCGCATTTGTTGTCATTGCTAGTGAACTTTTACCTGAAATAGCGTTTTGATCACAACAAAATGTAGTGGCTGGAAGTAAAGAGAGTAAGAGCACGCCTTATAAAACTAGCGGCATTTTTGGTAAAAACAACGCTCAGATCAGAACAGCGCCACCACCAACTAGAGGTGGTCATGGGGCGTGTTTTTATCCATGGCTCCTCGTGGAATTGCGTGCAGAAGAAAATAAGATGCTCATATCTTTAAGCCCTTTTTTTCTGAAAAAGTATAAACACTGGGCACTTAATAATATTTTCATTTCTCTAATCTAGTTACGTAACATTGTAAAATAATTTAAGCATAAATGAAGCAAGTAAACTAATATGTTTGCAAATTTATTACTTATAATTTATCATGGTCGTATCATGCCCGACCTAAAAAAGCCGGCCATGCCCATCTCTAGTACATATGAGAAGATACACAGAGATTTAGCTACCGCTATTCTCTTTTTCTGTTAGTTTTTAAAGAAACGAGTGAGTATGCGAACGAGAGCGTTTCGGCAGTAGCAGAAGCAGCTAGTCCGCCACTCAGCAACATGTGCACAAACCACACGTGCTACAAAAAACACACATATACACAGATGTGTACATATACGTACAAAAATACATATACTCGTATTTATGTGTGCATATGTATGTATGTACTTGTATATTTGGAATTTGCATTGGACAGCTTTAGTTGTCGTTGTTGTTGTTGTCGTCAATTCCTGTTATGGGCTAGTTGGGGAGGGCTTTTTTGTAGACGAAGTCCGACAGCTACAACAACAATACCTTCAACAACAGCGATGATGGCGGCAATTTCGTGTAGATTCGCCATCATAGGTTTCGGCCTTTTTCTCTTTTTCGTAACCGTTTCGTTTCAATTCTTTTGTTTGAAGATTGCAGTGCAACCGAAGCTACCCTTTTCTGTTTTTGATGAACACACGAACACACACACTTTTGTCGGTTTGCGAGCGGGTGGTCGTCAGTTTTTGCGTTTTTGTGTATATTGGCTTGTCAGATCCGGGTTTTGAGTAAGTTTTAAACTTTTTGTGGATGATGCTGCGTAGGATGTTGTTCTTTTTATATATATTTTTCTTTACCTGACGTCTGTGTCGTTTGCGACCCCAGCCGGCACATAGTAACAACAAATTTGCGTCACGCACATATACACACACATATAAATAATCGTACATCGCCCTCTGCTTATAGAGTCGAGCCGACTCAAATTATGTGTTCGCTGAGCTGAGCTAAAAGAAAATCATACAACAATACAATCCACAAGCAACAACAGAAAGACGTCGCCAACGGGTGTCTCTGCCTGGCTGGCTGAATGACTGGTTAGTGACGCAGGCCTGTTAACAACAACAATATGCAACAACTAAAACATTGGCTACAAACAACATGTACACGGATACATATGTATGTGTGTATGTATATCGGTGTCTATGTACGCTAACATGTATTTTCTGCCTATGGTGGCAGCGCTGCATTGTTCGGACTCACATAGAGTTGCCACATGCCGCTGTCTGTCGCCGACTACTCGCTACTCGCTGTTTTTGGCGCTCTTGCTTGCTCTTTGATGTGGCGCTCTCTTAGCTCTCTTCTGTTTTGTTATTTATAATGTTGTTTACCTTTACGTAATTATCTTTGCGCTATTTTGTTGTATATAATACATACATACGTGTGTGTATTTAAGTGTACTTGCGTACGCTCACTGCTGCTGGCCTCTTTTTCACTTGTGGTTGTATGGTTGGTTTCGGCACGTCACACGCTTTGATTACTTTTTAATGTAGAGAGGGTGGACCGGCGCTGGCTGCGACTGTTGTTATGTGTGTACGTATGTATGTATCTAGCTGCCTTCTAACTGGGCAGCAACTGTGTAGGCGAGCGACATCATCGTCTCAGATGCTTGGAATTTTCCAAAAATGTCTTTGCTCGTCCCTTTTGCTTGTCTACGTTTCTTTTTGTATTGTAAGTGGCATTCTGTTTGTGCTTCCGCTTTTGATTCAATTGTAAGCTGCCGCCTACGGCCGTTGTGTTACTCTCTCTCTCTCTCTTCTGTTTGTTGACTTATTCTTATTTATTCTCTTTTTGATACAAACGCCAAAAGAAAAGAAAATGTTGCATTTGCATATTGCCATTTGTTTTGTGTATGTACAACATACATATGTATTTGTTTTGGATTTCACTGCCGCTGCTGCTGCTTTTGCTCAGCACTATTATTAATCCAACTGTTTTCCATGAGAGTTGTTGATTGCCGTTTGTTTGTTTGCTTGTCATTGCTGTGCTCAGCACTTATGTACATACATACATACATTTTTATATTTGCATGAAAATATGAACAAACAATCCGTCGCAAAACAATAACAATAAATTGCTTTTAAAATAGAGAAACGCGCGTCGCTTACTTCTTCATTAATTCTACATACCTAAGTATGTGTATGTACATATGCACATATTTATTGCTATTGTTCCTTTTATATACATATATGTACTCGTATGTGCGCATTGTTTTTGATTGTTGATTTTGCACAAACACACACAAGAGAAACAGTATATTTGGTAATTTTCCGTTTTTACATGCGCAACCCACTAAGCAACTCATACATCGAGGCCGTCTGTTAATTAGCAGAACCCCACGCGCTGTTAATCGAATTCAGGTCGCTGTTACCAGCTTACATTGTGATCTTCTGTTATTTAAAATAAAGATTTTGAAAGTAAATTAAGAATTCAATTTATTTTTAAAAATTTATGGAAAGTATAAAAATCAATTTTAATCGATTAAATAAATATCTTTAATTTTCTTTATAGCCAATCAAGCGCTTTGGAATGGCACCTGGAAAGGCGAACTCACCTATGAGTGCCGCTCGTTGCTTTTTAAAGCGTTGCACAATCTCATGGAGAGGTATGTAATCCTACAGCCTTCATACAATCCTACATGCATAAAAAGAGCAGAAACTTATTCCCTGATCCTTTATTTCCTTACAGATTTGTGCTCACTAAGGATATTGTGCGCTTTGGCAAATGGTTTGTGCAGCCCTGCACATCGAGCGATCGCCTTTTTGGTCGAAGGTAAGTTCAAGATCCTGAGTTGTCAGGCCATCTCATTATGGGTTGTGTGCTGCAAACTCTCAAAGCATTGCTTAAAGTTTATAACAATGTTCAAATTTGCTGAATAGCGTGCCACATCCCAGAGCAAACATTAGACAGGAACTCTGTGTGATCACATTGAAGCATCTGCGGTCACATCGTTCTTCCTGTTACAAGCATACGACAGAAAAACACAAACAGACGGACATTTAAATTTGGTCAACAATAACCTAGCACTCAATGGAGTTAATAGTTATAAACAGAGCTGAAGTTGTGGTTACTTTTAAAAGCTATGAACTATGTAGTTTCAGTACAAAAAGCCATTTATGATTATGTATATACAGCTTTAAAGTAACTAAAATTACAGTTTAGTTTAAGTTATCCGTTCATAGCTACTGTCAGACAGGCAAATAATTTGCCCTCAAATACGTGCCTGAGCGCCTTTGATTGTAGAAGAATTATTTTTTGTAAAGAGTTGTTATTGATTTTGATAGTAGATACTATTAACTTATGAAATATTCCATAAATTCGAGAAACTTTTCTGTCGGACCATTGGGCTGGGATTTAATTCAAAAATTTATAGGTTACATTTTAATGTTTTATCTTTAAACCGTTTAACCGTGCCGGAAAATGACTAATCGGGTGGGTTTTGCGAAAAGTTTCTTCCGAGCTTCTTTTGAATAATGAACAGAAATAGACCCTCGAAATGATTAATTATTTTAAAACGATTGCAAACAATTTACTCACTTTGTTAAACATTTTTTTAAATTTATGCAGCTCCCAGCACTTGTCCTTCTCGTTCACCTTCTTCGTGCATGGAGACACGGTATGCGCCTCAATTGACTTACGAGAGCATCCGGCCGTGCGTCCACTAACTAAGGAACATTTGGCTGAGGCTGCGGCCGCCTTTGCGGCAGCCAATGCGGCCCAATCATCATCAGCGGCGTCGCCGCATTCCCACGAACAAAATGCAGGGTCGGCAACGCTGCCCGAAAACTCCCCAACAGCGGGGATGGATCCGCAGAGTGGCGAGGTGGCTGCCAAACCGTCTTCGACACCGGCGCATGCGCGCAAGGTAATGCTGGCACCGTTCGGCATTGCAGCAATACTCACCGGCAATAGCTATAAAGCCAGTGATCCGATGGCCGAGAAGATACTGGAAGATTGGGCTTCATTTTTCCCACTGTGCAATAAGGATAACACGGATGTGCCACCAGTGGTTGAAGTGGTGTCGGGTAAGTGTCCCCCACATCAAATCTTTACCAAAGGCATGCAACTAATTTCTGGTTTTTAACGTCCCCCATAGGTGGTCATAAGATGTATCATCCCACGAATTATGTACTAGTCACAGATCTGGATGATATGGAGCACTTGGAATACACGGAGCTGCATAAGGCGCAGGGAGCAGCGGCCACCACATCGGCTGAAACAGCCATGTTGGCCTCTCTCGGCTGCTCCTCCAGTCCTCCAGTGTCCACAGCCGCTACAGCTTCCGGTACCATGCATGTCGCCGGAAAGGAGGCGGCGCTGGCATCTCGCAAGCCGACCTCACATGCGGTCAGCGCTTTGGAACGTCTAACGTTTCAACCCTACTACGATCAACGTCCAACATCGGGTTTCACCTTCAACACCAACAATACTCACATACCCGCGTCGGCTGCTGTCGAAATGCCCGAACGCGCTTGGCAGGATTCTGTGACGAATATGCTGCATGTGGATGCGGCTGCCGCCGCCGATGAAGATGAGCAGAACAAGCCGCCACCTGGGCTGCAGCAACAATTGCAGCAACAGCCGGACTCCAAGCAGCTGGTTCAGCAGCAAATACAACAACAGCAGCAGCAGCAGAAACGCCAAACCCTTTGGAACTTTGTGGATCCCATGCAAAAGGCCCCCTGCACCTGCACAAAGTAAGTTGAGCCATTATTTTTGTTAGTCCTGCGGTTCACGGAATGGGGATGTCACAGTTATTGGTCAAAATACGAGCCAGATTTCTAAAGGACTCTGGTAAAAGTTAAAGTCAGAGATAAATTCAAGCGCAGTAAAACTAAATATCCGAAAGTTCAATTCTAACATTATATATTACTCCGAAATATAATACGAGGCATTATTGAACTGCATCTAGATGTGGAATGTTCCTTAGCACTTTAGAAACACTTTATTTACTAGCTCCATTTACAATATCAAGATATATTGTATACCGAAAAGGTCGTTTTTATGAGTTATTTAGATCGAACTTGTAGGTTTTCGCATCACAATAAATAAAGGAGTGGTTTCCTGCGGGAGTGAGAAACTGATTTATCTGTAATATTAGTGTTTTATCAAAATATTTATAACACGATAGGCTGCGGGATCACCAAGAAGAAGGGGCATTTGTTACTAGCCTCTAGATGACGCTGTTCTAACGTTTGCGTTCCTTTTTTCTTTGTGATTTCACCTGGATAGGATTTTGTAAAGTTTCTGTGACATCCCGCCCTTCTTGTAATTTTTTTGATATTATTTCTTTGACTACTAAAGACAACATACTATATAAGTATGTATATGTACGTATATTTTTGCATAAACTGCCAACTACTTAAGCCTGGCCTCAGCGTCTTTTGCCTCTTCTTTCATTTGTAGCGCGTATTGTGTAAACTGATTGATTGATTGAATGATTGATTGATGTAATGGCGCCCGCTTTGATGGCATGTCTATATACATAAATATTTTTTCATTAGCGCGCCTCAAAGCGTTAAATTAGCTAAAAAATAGTTTCTACAATATCTAAACATATACTTAATTATTTTTTGTACTATTTAAAACTTATGAAAAAATGTTGCATGCTACTTGTTAACCCCCCCACCCCTCCTCCCAGCCCAAACCTGCTAGCCCTTAGCAAATGAATTGCAGCTTTTAGTGTATGTAGGGCAAAAGTTTGACACGTGCGCGCATCAGAGAGTTTGTCAAGTTGAGTTGTTTTTTGTTTATATATATAAAACCAAAAAACCCCGAAATTTTCAGTACACAATGCAACAGCACCAAACGACAGCACGGTAACAGTAACAGCAACGTTGGCTCACCTCTGAATGCAGCGCTGCGTGCTGTTGTTGGTAGCAGCAGCAATAGTGCTAACAGCAAAGCCATTAGCAGTCACCAACAACAACAACAACAACAGCAGCAGCAACAACAACAACAACAGCAGCAGTATCAACATCAGCAACAACAACAACATCATCATCAGCGATCGGCAGCGAGCTCAACAACATTAACAGTGCATCATTCCAGTAACAGTGCTGTTAGTTGTTACAACTCTTACAACTCCTCGGCCTGTTCGCCTGCGTCGACGTCAACTTCATCTTCTGCTGCGTTGAAGCGTCAAATTGTGCCGTTTCATAAGCGTTTTCTAAACGCTCTTACCACTTCGTCGTCTTCTGCATTCAAATCTAACCTAAGCAAGTTGTCTACAAACAACAACAACACCACTTCCTACTCTACAACAACATCAACAACAACTATATCAGACACCAATATACCAAAACAACAACAACAAAGGTTTGTGTTGCTGTTTAGCGTCGAGCGTTAACAGTGGCTGCCTATGTTTATTTACAAAAAGAAAAAAAAACCGATCTTTCTTTTTTCCCTTCTTCTGTTTACATTTTCGTTTATTTACTTAATATCTCTCAATCATCCAACACAATAAACAAACAACACAACACGCTCTGTTAATTTTCTGTTATGATTTTGGTTATGTTGGCCATAAACCGTTATTATTATTATTATCGTTGATTGTTGGGTCAATACTGGTTTGGCGCACGACTCTCACTTTTATTTTTGCCTCTCATTCCTCGATACAAAATTAAGTTTTACCTTTGGTTACTTTTTATAATTTTTTTTATTATTAACAAGCAAACAACACACATATAGTAATGCATAATAAAAAGCATTTGTAATTAAAATGCATTCAAAAACAATATACAATATTTCAAATTTCTTAAAACTCACTACTCACAACACAAAACTCAACTCAATCCATAGGAATATACTTGAATTTCCATTTAGAAGCTAAATCAAGCAGTTAGGGAAAACATAAAACATTTTCACTAATTAATTTATTTGGTTTTAATTTTGGTAAATGGTGTAGAATCATAACAAAAAAAAAACATATAATCATATAAACAAGAATGTTAAAAAACAAAAATTGTTATTAAATCAATTACGAATATTTTCCCGACTTGCAACACAACAATGTGTTGATTCGCTTTAACTTACCAGTACCATTGGTCGCAGTTTATTATTATCACATATTTGGTTAAGGTGCATGTAGCCTGCGAATTGCATTTTAATTTTAATTTAAAAGTTTAATCCACGCCAATTTTGGATAACATGGGAATAACAGCAATGTTAACTCAAGCTGTTATCAGACATCTGCATTACTTAATCAGCAACTTTAACATAGCAAGGTGTATTTTTTATTGGTTTGTAGTTCAGTTTGATTTTTGACTTAGTTCCCTTCTAGCATTGTTGTATATAACCATTAATTGCATTTTTAACCGACGGCCACGTAAAGCTGCGTTATTTAATAGTTTGGTATAGTTTTTTTTGCATTTCCTTTAAGCCTTGTTCAACACACAATACTTTGTATGTCCACTGAAAAGCCCAGACATGGATGTGGTTTGTTAACATACTTTTTTGATTTTTATCAATACATGCATTAACTACCAACTATGTTTTTTATGGCTAATTAGTAGTTTGATATTTTGTGTATATAATAAAAATAGAACGCTATCTTGGGGATTTGGATCTAAACACGTTCTTCTATTTTTTGTGCTACCCACAGACATCAATTGGCCGCTGTCAGCAATACACCACATGGCACACCCCATGGAGGTGCCTCTACATATTCGCGTAACTCGATGGGCGACTCTTCCATGCCGGTGGCCTCGGTGGGTTCACCAGCAACCCCAGCGCCCTCGCCTCATCCCAATTCGGCGCATTCACAGCCCACATCGGTGCCGCCCGCTGATCAAGTGAGTGCAAGTCGAGGTTTTTTGACACCCAAAACAACAAAATATGCATATTTTCATTTTGATTGTCTTAACTTATTGTTTCTTAACTTTATCTTTGCGTACTAAAGCTGCTCAATATGAGTCCCCATGCACCCACATCCGTATCGAATTTGCAACAACCACCCACACCCATCGACCATTTGCTTGACAAGAATACGCCCGCGCCAACGCCAACAGATCAACACGATAGCAAAAGCATCACTGCCTCACCTTATGTGCATCAAACGCCCAGTGTGGAGCCACCTTCATACAATGAGGCGGTGCACGGGGGTCCAACTGGAGCTGGAGGAGCTGCGTCAGCTGCACAACCCACTGGCGGACCCAGCAGCGTCTCCCAGCCAGCAAGCGTCGGTCGATGTACGCCTACAACGGGGGCTGTTTCAGGGGGAGCATCCACAACGACTGGTTCCGGAGGCCAACAGCAGGCGGCGCCGCAATGCGGCACAATCAGTGTGAAGAAACTGGAAATGCAACAACCTCAATCCTTAACCGCATTGCATCCAGTTGAAGTGAAACAGGAGCCGGGCCTGCTGCCGACTACTGCTTCTGGTCGACTGGGTGACCTGTGTACAACCGCGCCCGCACCAACCTCGACCATTTCCACCACAGAGGCCATGAACAACCTGCTGAAGCTGTACAACCCGCCGAAGCTAACCCTAAGAAACAACGATAGCTTTCATGACGGAGAGTGGCTGAAAGATATCATCTATGACTTCAGTTTTCAAGACTCATGGTGAGTGGGGATCGAATGGAGTTTCCAATTGACAACCTATTTAATTATTCCTTGAACTTTTTTAGGGACTACCTGCCTGTGAAGCGAGCCAAACTAAATGAGGCAAACAAGCAGCGACCGCCACGACATCTCAAGAACCTCTACGAAGGCCACAAGCACTTCAAACCTCAAATGCCCTCGCCGGGGTCCGTTTATGGTGCCCAGTTGCTCTCAATTGACGCCAGTTCGGCGATACATACTGCAGTTGGTGGCGGTTCTGGAGCCAGTGGCGGACTGGTGGGCATTGCTGTTGGTGCTGGTGGCACTACAAATACCAATGGCACGGGAACCAGCAATGGCGACGACCGTGACAATGTGCTGGCTGGCGGGTACTTTCAGGGCCTGGACATTAAGACCGAGCCGGGTCTGCATTCACCCTGCAAGGAATCCAAATCGACCAGCACCGGTGGTAATCTATTCACAGCCGAAGGCCTCAACCCCTCTCTCAACGATCTCGAGCAGCTCTTCGAGACCTCTTCGAACGATGAGTGCAGCAGTGCGCAGATTCATACGCCGCCAGACTCGAACAACCCCTCGAACGGTGGGTGCAGCACCATTACCAACACCATCGACGAGTTGAAGCGCAGCACCGCCATGGCTAATGTGGTCGCTGCTGGCAACTCAATGGCCATGGCTTCTCTCCAGAACTGCAACAACAGTTCTGGCGCAAATACCATACAGGCTGAGGACTTGACAAAAATGTTCCCGACCCCACCGTCGCACGAGCAACAGCATCCGAATTCCAGTCCCTGCCAGACGGATGTCGTCATGACCGATCTCAGTGTGGATACAACAACAACAACAGCAACGACAGCTGTTGCCGTGGCAACAGCAAATGTGCCTCTTGTGGCGCCCACGTTGACATCTGTACCCTCAGCCCTTGGTATGCTGAGCATGAAAGCGACCATTAAGCAGGAATATTCCGTAGAGCTGGGCAGTCCCGTGCTGGAACCTATCGATGATTGGTCCTATGTGTACCGACCGCCACAGCAGGAGAAATTCGTGGGATCCACCTGCTTTGCCCCACTAACCAATCTGCCCAGTCAAACTTTGCCACCCCTAGTAATAACCCCGAACTGTTACTATAAGCCCACGTGGACGAAGCAGAAGTCGCATGCAGCAGCCGCGGCCAAAGCTGCAGCAGCTCAGCAGCAGCAACAACAAAAGCATCAGCAACTCCAGCACCACATCCAGCAGCATCAACAACACCAACAAATGCAGCAACAGCAGCAACAACAACAGCAGCAGCAGCAACAACAACAGCAGCAGAAACACAAACATCAGCAGCTTCATGAACTGCTCTCGGCCGGGCCGCGCACTCCATTACAGCAGCCACGTACGCCATTGGGACCCATGCTGCCCTCTCCCATGCATGCTGGTGCTGGTGGTGGAGGAGGTGGACCCAATACGGTGCCTCAACCTTTGAGCAGCGGAGGTAGCAATCTGCTGCTAAATCAGCTTAATTGCCCCCAAGCTGCTTTAACCAACACACATCTAATGCAGCGGGCTGGCATGTCTCCCATATCACCCGGACCCGGTGTGGTACCCTTCCCCCGCAGCAGTCCCATGATGCGACAAACGCCGATACATCCGCCGCCACCGTACGAGCTAGCCGTGGCCAGTCCGGCAACGTCCACCTCGTCGTATTTGAACAAGCAGTACAATTCGCAGGAACATCCGCACACGCCTCAGAGTATGCATCATATGCAGCAACATCCTCATGGCTCTATGCACAGCAATCCCGGCAGTATTCACGGCAACGTTGTGTCTGGCATGGGAGGTGGTGCTGGTGGCGGTGGAGGTCCAGGCACCATGGCGCTCTACACCGGTGACGCAGGCGTCGCCAGCAGTAGCCATGGAGGTGTCGCTGCTGCCAATCTGCTCAATGAACTGCCCGAAGTTAATAGCGTACTGGTCAATATTTTGCTGTACGATACGGCCTTAAATGTGTTCCGGGATCACAACTTTGACAGCAGCACTGTGTGCGTCTGCAATGCGGACACGCAGAAGATTGGCAATATACGTGGCGCAGATTCTGGTGTTTATGTGCCGCTTCCCGGTGGCAGTTTCAATCCATTTCCCACGGTGGGGTCTGGCTCGAATACAACGCGATTGCTGGCGGGCTTACCCAATGGGCCGGCCTCTTCCAATTCGAATTCATTTGGCGGTGGCAGTAGTGGGGGTGGCATGCGTATGATCAGTGCCTTTGGCGGTGGACTGGACTCACCCGCCTCGCTGCCCGGAGCTGGCTCTGGGCATGCCGGCTCCAATTCGTCCTCATGCACGCCGCCCAGCAGTAATCCTCACATTACTGGCTATGTGGATGACGATCCAGTGGATTGCACCTGCGGTTTCAGTGCTGTCGTCAATCGCCGTCTCTCCTACCATGCCGGTCTCTTCTACGAAGATGAGCTGGAGATTACGGGCATCGCGGCCGATCCAGGACGCAATAAGCAGCCCACACTCTTGAGCCTCATTCAGACCCTGTGCCGCAAGAATCAAGCCCAGTCGACGGGGCTGCAGTCCAAGGCCTCAGATGGTGCGACGACAGCGGGCGCGCTAGAAAAATCCGGTCAAGGGCAGTTGGAACAGCTGACGCATACCATCTTCGACCTGCTTCTTGATCAGTGCTCCATCATTCAAACGTCCAGCAGTTCGGTGCATCGAGCCCTGCAATCGCATCGACGGCGCATGTCCCGCAAGAAACGTTTGTTCGGAAATACTGGCGCCCCCGCCGCCTCAATGGCCTCCATTACCAATGTCCTGGAGTTTATGGATGCCCACGATGTGGTTACATTAGCTTTGGAGCAGGCGCGCCTAGCCTTCGAGAGTCAGCGCATGGATCTAATGGAGTTCGGTTCATCGCAGCATCATCATCAGCAGTTGTCCGCTTTTCAGGCAGCACCACCAGCACTGCGCCAGAAACTGCAGATTCTGGGCAGTGGCCGCCTTACTGTGCACAAGTGGCCGTACCTGCCGGTGGGATTTACCCGCAGCAACAAGGAAATTGTGCGTACTATGAACTCAATTCAACCCATGCTGCAGAATGCCTTCCACTGCAAGTCCCGAGGTGGGGCCGCAGGCTCCAAGGATGCCTCGTCGTATAACACGGTCAGTGGACCGCTCACCTGGCGGCAATTCCATCGGCTGGCCGGCCGAGCATCCGGCCAGTGTGAGCCCCAGCCTATACCATCCGTGATTGTAGGGTATGAGAAGGATTGGATATCGGTGGCGCCTCATTCCATTCACTACTGGGACAAATTCCTGCTTGAGCCGTATTCGTATGCACGCGATGTAGTGTATCTGGTTGTCTGTCCGGACAACGAGCACGTCATCAATTGCACGCGTACCTACTTCCGTGAGCTGAGCAGCACCTACGAAATGTGCAAGCTGGGTCGACACACGCCGATCCGAGGCTGGGAAGGTATTCTTACGGTGGGTGGTGGACGTGGTAATTCGTCGACAGCAAACCCAGCGGCTACGACGATGACGGCGACAACCAATGAGCAACCTACGCCCTTTGACGATTGGCTACGCACCTTGGACCATCCTCAGTTGGCCGAGCAGATACGTCGCTATGCGTCAGCCTTTCTGCATCAGCTGGCTCCGTATTTGAGTCGCGTTCCCACGGATAAGACGCTTCTCAACCCGCCGGATCAGTCGGGAACTGGATGTAGTGGGACAGCAGGCACAACAAACAGTGGTGGAGGCCAGCGCACGGAACGTGGCAGTCCCAGCAACAGTGGCAATGGACTCAACAATGCCTCCACTACCGGCGACTGTGGTGTGGACACTCAAATTAAATTGGAGCCAGGCACTGAGCCGCCAAATAGCGAGAGCGCCACCCAACAAGATACTAAGCCAGATATCAAGGGCAGTGATACGAAGCCGGCGCTTGTGCTTGGCGATCCGCTGGGCGTGGGCGAAACCTTAGAGGAGATAAATCCACCGGCCATTGTACTATATGTTGTGAATCCTTTCACCTTTGCTACAGACAGCTTCGAGCTGGAACGTTTGGCCCTGATCGCCCTCTTGCGCTGCTATGCGGAACTATTGAAGGCGTTGCCGGACTCGGTGAAGGCCAACATGAATATACAGATCATATCACTGGAGGCCATCATGGAGCTGGGCCCGTGCGGTAATCGGAAACGCTTCTCGGACGAGATCAAATGTCTGGCCCTCAATATTTTCTCACAATGCCGTCGCCACTTGGTGCATGCACAATCGGTAAAGAGTTTGACGGGTTTCGGCACAGCTGCCAACATGGAAACATTCCTCAAGACCAAGGACGAGCAGAATCGTCGCGCCTACAAGATGTACACGGCACCCTTTGTGCTGGCACCCATGCATGAGCGCAACGACAAGACGGACTTTTCGCGAGCCGCCGGCAGCATGCATGGCCAGAACGAGCATCGCTACTCGGTCATGTATTGTAACTATTGCCTGAGTGAGGACCAGGCCTGGCTGCTGGCAACAGCTACCGATGATCGTGGCGAGCTGCTGGAGAAGGTCTGCATTAACATCGATGTGCCGAACCGCGCAAGAAGACGGAAAGCTCCCGCCCGCTATGTGGCGCTGAAAAAGTTGATGGACTTCATCATGGGTCTCATTTCGCAGACCTCACAGATGTGGCGTCTCGTCATCGGACGCATTGGCCGCATCGGACATAGCGAACTGAAGTCCTGGAGCTATCTGCTCAGCAAGCAACAGCTCCAGAAGGCCTCCAAGCAGTTCAAGGATATGTGCAAGCAATGTACTCTGATGTATCCACCCACCATTCTCAGTGCCTGTCTAGTAACGCTTGAGCCGGATGCCAAATTACGGGTCATGCCCGATCAGTTCACTCCCGATGAGCGTTTCTCCCAGATATCCATGCAAAATCCACTCTCAACGCCACAAGATGTCACCTGCACGCACATCCTAGTCTTTCCCACCAGTGCGGTGTGTGCGGTAAGTCGAACCGTAGAGCAACCACGTTTATAAAGTTTTAATCCAATCTTGTTCTTGCAGTCCTTTACGCGGCAATTTCAAAATGAGCCGCCAGTGGATGATGATTTTCTCACGTTCGAGGAGGAGGGCAACGAGGACTTCTCCGATGCCGACATTGGTGAACTCTTCTGGGACAGTGAGTATGATTGAAGTTTGTCGTTTCACTTTAAGTCTAAATTTCCCTAAACCCTTATCAACCAGCTCACATGGATCGCGTCTCGAATCACGGCAGTCCAGGACGCATGGAGGATAATCGTAGTTGGCAAAGCGCAGGCGGTAATAACTTCAAGTGCACGCCCCCTCAGGAAGTAGAAGAGGTAAGTTATGGGTTTAAAGTGATGGTCTTAGAGGAGCTTTGGAATGTTATTCCAGCTTCTAAAACTAAAATATATAAAGGAGAAAACTTTTTTACAACTGCTATAAAAAATGCAGATATTTGGATAGAAAGTTGAAGAAGTGGATAAAGTGGTAAGTAAGTTTTTTGGGACTGGAATCTGAAAAAGTTTTGCCAAAAGTGCACAGTAGACATAATATTGATTGGATAAATGGATCGTCTTAATATAGGGGGACAATTAGAAAACTTATTTAGTTTGCTAAGACGAGTTTTGGTTTTTGAAAATGATCCCATAACTGCTTTAAAAGATGAGATATTGGAACAGCAAGTGGAAGGGGTAAGCTCTGGGCATGGGGACTGAGGTTTTCTAAAATTAGACTGTCAATAAAATGAGTAGATAATCTTGGGGACTTAACAAATAACTTCTTTAAAAGTTAAGATAGTGAGAATTACAAAAGATGTAGGAGTGATAAAAGCTTTGGAACGCCATAAAATCAGGTTACAGTTATTGAAAAATAACGGGAATAATAAGAATAAGTTTCTAGTATTTAACTAAAGATTTCCTAGTTCTTAACTTATTATTTACCCTTGTTCCAATAGGTTGGCTCGCTCAATCAACAGCCGATTTCAGTTGGTTACATGGTCTCAACGGCACCGACAGGTCCCATGCCCGCCTGGTTTTGGTCCGCCTGTCCACATCTGGAGAATGTGTGTCCCGTCTTTCTGAAGACTGCGCTGCACCTGCATGTGCCAAATATTCAAACAACAGATGATATTCTGAATTCGACCAACGCCCATCAATCGGCGAATGATCATCCGCTCGACTCAACACTGACGGCCGATGTTCTGCGCTTCGTGCTGGAAGGCTATAATGCGCTCTCCTGGCTTGCACTCGACTCGAATACCCACGATCGTCTTTCCTGTTTACCAATCAATGTCCAAACCTTGATGGATCTGTACTATCTGACGGCAGCGATTGCCTAAGGGCCGGAACCAAATCAAATTCACATTCAACATTTATGCAATAGAAGACGGTTTCCACACACACACACACACACACTCTCTCCCATGCATACACATACAAGTACATATGCACCCTCTTCTACTACTCAGTAATCTTTCTGTTACTGTTAAGTTTGCAAAACTCACACCTAAGCGAATGCCGAGCTTCCGTTTGTACTGTACTTCCAATAGTTTACTCGAAAACAAACAAAATATTAGTCAACCAACAACCAATCAAAGAAACAGATAACAATGCAAAAGTGAAGTTAACAGTTCAACAACAACAACAACAACAACAACAACTAAAAGAATAAGAACTAGTAGAAAAACAGCAACGCACAGTTTACAGCAACATTAACATAAACATTAACAGAGCCCGCAGCCTTACAGCCAACACAACAGTTGGGCTAAAAAAAAGCATACACACACATTCATTATCGATACATAACAGAAAAAACTGAAGTAGAAGATGATGATTGAAGATAATGATGATGATGATGATCATATGTAGATGAAATTACTGTAAAGTCTTGAGCAGCAAACAGCATTACTATTTATTAAACAAAATAAAACTAAAAAACAAAAAAGGATAACTGAAAATCGAGTAACATTTTTAAAGTGTATGTCAAGTGCAAGAATTTTTTTTTAAGGCTTGGATGCCGCGCAATTGTCGTGCGGTATCGTTCGTTTTAGTGTTTAATATTTATACATATACAAGAACATATATTATATATATATATACATATAGAGCATATACACAAAAAAGTAACTTATGTATTAAGCAACAAAAAATTTGTACATATTTACAACCACACACACAAAGTTAAGCAACGGCAACAACAAAAAGTGTAATTATACAAACTAAAAATAATAAACAATAAACAAAAACAAACCAATTAGCTTAAAAACAAACAAAACAAAAAAGATATCGAAAAAACTATTTAATTTTAAATATAAATTAATGAAATTGTATAAACTCTTGTGCAAAGCAACGGCAAAAATTAGTTTAAATTATTATTATAGAGATTTAATGTAAAGATTAAACGAGAGAACAGAAACCTTGAATAACAGACGCTCTCCGCATACACACAAACACATATAAGAAGAAACGGTATACTGTACATGCATATATAACTACATATACATATATATCTCGACGCTAAGCGCAGAGCAGAAAGAGAAGGATTAGCAGGAAGGGGGCTGGGATGGGGAACGAGAAAATATAGTTACAGGATCGGCGAATTAGTTTAATAGGCGTGGCCCCCCAAAAGTGTGCCACAACACCATTTCAAATTTGTTTTCTGTTGTCGTTTTCTGAATTGTGTTAAGAAAATAATTCGTGACGAGCGAACAAAGCGCAAGCGTTTAGAATAACTAAATTGAGATACAAAATCGAAGGAAACTTTTGTACTTTACTCAGAACACACACCCACACATTTATGTATATATATTTATATATATACTCGTACACAGACCAACACATATATACACATACACACACACACCGACAACACATAGCCAATTGTTAAAAGAAAATACTTAAATGAAAATTGTACAAATTAAAATAATTTTTAATGATTGAAAAAAGCTTCCTACACTCACACCCACATCCATAAACACTTTTATATGCACACGTACAACAACAACAACAAAACAAACAACAAATTGATTTTACACGTTAAAATATTTCGATAGGCTTTTAAATACAATTTATTTATTACGTATTAAGTAAGTTTTGCAAATTATTCAAAAATGAAATTATTTTTACCTGTGTATTTTAATTAGCATAATTTATCTATTTAAAAACATAAACAAAAAACAAAGCGAAACAAAAACCTACATTTACAAAGACGTTTTCTAGTAATTATTACACTAATAAATTAATTTAATTTAATTGTATAAAGCAAACGGATAAAAACAGCGCAATTTTTTATTATATGTAAAAATATCCAAACCTACAAACACACACATACATATACATACACACACATACACCCCACATGCATACATATTTTAAGTAGCTTGGTTTTTATTTTAGAATTTTTTGTGTAATAAACAAAAATTATTTGCATATATATCAGAAACATTTGATTTTTTTGTGACTATAATTTGTTAACACTCTTGCTTAATAGCCCCTACCAATGGGATTGGAAACGATCGAGACCGTTTGTTACAATTCTTGATGAGAAATGGAAGTCTATTTAGGCAATTCTTTAATAATTTCCTTGTTAATATGATGAAAGCTCGTTTTTGAAAATCTTTACGAAAAATGCTAAATGGATAAATTATTGGCATCTTGAATGAAAAATCAAGCTTTTTAGGTTAAAACCGTAATAACGACCTGTTCGCACATTATTTTCCAAAAGACCAAAAATCTTGCTAAAGTACGTTTTTTCAATTCCATCCACATATAGAGAATTTGTATTAAAAAAATTCAGGTCATTACTTCAATTGGAAATTATAATAAATAGTAACAAAAAGAAAAAAAACGCAGTCAATTATTGGAGTTGCTGAATCTTTGAGAGCACGACCGCAGCTGAGCGTGATATTTTATATGTCTCTCTCATAATTGTAGCCTCTCTTGAATTCTTAAACCAATACCAAAAGTTTTAAATTAATGTCACTCTCACAGTTTTTGCGTCTCCTGGACACTTACATAGAGATCTAAATTCGTATATTAATGTCTCTCTAACAATTCATTTCTCTCTTATATATCAAGATCAAAATGCCAATATTAATCTTTTGGGATTAAATAATAAATAAAGTGTAATTTTTTATTGTATTACGATTCTGCTTGATTTATGTAGACTAAATCAATTTCGAGCTGAATATTTTAAGTACGATTCCAGGCACGTTCTTCCTGAATCTCAACTCGCCATGTTTCTAGAAATGTTTAAGAATAAAATAGATCGGTTGACTGTCTTCTAGAGCTTATTAAGAAAAGATCGATCAATGAAAGAGCAATAAGGAATGGAATCATCGTGTATAATTTCGTCTGGATTTGACCACAATTTCTCTTCCTTTCAATTATCTAATTATAATTTAGTTTGTGTTCTTTCGAAATATTTTAATTGAAACAATTTGACGTCAACATTCCTATTCGTACTCACAGTCCTCACACAATACAGAAAATGTTTCCGTTTTACATTTTTCGATCAAATTGAGAAAATTGGACCGGTTAGCTAGTCAGTAAGACAAAATTGGAACAAAACTGTGCACGCTGTAAATATGAATGCTTACAATCATTTTTGGACATCTATGCGCCTTTACATATAGCTTGAGAACAGTTTTTAAGTAGCGAACGTGGCTTTTTACTAACATTAAATAATTATAAAAAGAAAATAAAAAAAAATATTTCCTAGCTAAGGTTTCAGTTTGTTTATAACACACTTTTTGTCTGCAACATAAAAGAAAACGCGATTAACTATAGCAATAAAAAATATGAAGAAAAAACCAATGATGAAGCCGAAACGCCTAGTAAATAAATTAAAAACAAAAAAGAGAATAAAAACATATATAAGTTAATGAAAGCAAAAGAAACGAAACATATAACGCAACAATTGACAACAAGCATTCATATATAAGAAAAATGAATTAAAACCAAAATGGAGGGAACAGTTTTTTTAAAAACCAACTCAATTTACGAGTTGAAATTTTTCTAAAAAAACACAAAAATTCAACAAACAACACCTAAAAAGTAAAAATAAAACCAAAAGACAAATTATACATTGTAAATTGTATTTGTAGTTAAGTGTAAAGGCAAGGCTTAAAATGAACATTTTTTGCGGCACATAACAAAAAAGAAAACCCAAAAAAAAAACATTTCATAAGTGCATTGTTAAATTTAAAAAACCACACACACCAGCGGTCACCTGAATAGACACAATCCGAGTCGTTGTATCTGCTTAGCTACTTGAAGAAATTGTTTGGTTTTATAATTTCTGAAAATACTCTGGATTTCTAATAAATTTTTCATTCAATTGGTGGCTCCATCGTGTCAATAAATTTTGAAAATAAAAAGGAAATATTTTCAATGATAAGATAAGGAACATTAAGGACAGTACCAATTGAAATACGATGAGGAATAGCTGTATGTATTTTATTAGAATTTAAATTCTTTGTGTGTTTCTTTTGAGCTTTTTCCTCCAAGACGTTTATCATCAGTTTTATTACCACTGTTTCGTACTATATCATAAAATTCTTTCCCAATTAGTTCTCTATATTCTTATTCAAAGGCCCCATAATGGCTTCTTCTTAGACAGGCATTATTTATTGTCACGCTTTTATGATAATCGTTATAAATCCTCCTCAAGTCGCCAAACACCGAAGAAGGTTATGTGTTGTATTTCGAATATTTATAATTGTGGTTTTATTTTTACACATATGTTGAAATTGAAAAATTTACGTATTTATCAGCTAATAAAAGTCGTTATTGTTTTTACATATCTACATAAATATCTTCCTGTTTTTAGAAAACAAATTTTCATAAAAACCAATTTCAATTAATTTCATTTTTTGGCCCAAAAAAAACTGTGTTAGATTTAAGGTTAAAAGGATTTAAATTAAAAAAACTGAAATGTAGAAACGACCAATTATATTTGAAATGCTCAGAAACAGCTTTGTAAGTATATTTGTGGAAAGTAAAATCAAACAATTTGCTCGACTAGTTATGCTATTGAGGGTTTTGTGAGGCGACTCTTCCTTTCGGTCGGTGGCTGCTGGCTTAGCCTAAAAGTATGCAATTATTAAGTTACATTTTGAGAAGCGGCAGCCGTTGATGTTAGAGCGGGACAGCACTTTATAGGCCAAAAATTCAAAAATTGATGCTTAGGCGACGCGTTGGATGAACATTTGTTTATAAAACGAATGCGCGAAAACATGTTATTGAAAACAAATACATATATATAGACACGAGTATTTAGGATTTAGTTGTGCGTTAGGAGTGTGCGAAAAGAATGTCAAAATCTAGCTACAGAATTGCATATTATATACAATTAATATTTACATATATATATATAAAATTATATAATGGACAAAAGAACAAACAAAAACAATACGTTGTTGTAGTAGAATTAAATTTAAGTTTGTTTTGCTGCATAGCAAAAGGATACAAAAGCAAAAAGAACATAAAAAAGAAAAACCAAAAGTCAAATTCAAAGAGCAAAGCGTAGCAACTAAATAAAACTAATGAGAAATAATGAGAAAAAAAAAAAACACAGCCGTTAAGTACATAAGCAAAAGTAAATGAGCGGAGAGTAAATAGAATTCAGGCCGACAGAGGTAATTTAATTTTTTTGCGAATTATATATAATTCTAAAAGTTTTTGGCAAGCAGGCGATCATAATTAAAATAAAAACTAAAACATGAAAACTTTTTCAAATACAAACAAAACTTATTTTTTATTTAAAACAAAAATATAATTAGCATGCATATTGCATGCGATTTGCAGCCTTTAAGGATTCACATTCGTTTTAAGGAGATCTGTAGAGCTACGACCACTATTCCTAAGGCCTTCTAGGATTAGTTACAGGAAGTAGATGAGCGCAAGCGAGAGTTGATCGGCTGCTCCTTATTGCGCATCATATTGCGACGCGTGGTGGCCAAAAAGAATTCCTGAAACCTCCCTTGAAATTCTTCACCGCCAGCATGAATACAATCGCGCCAGCAGCTCTCCAATATGTCCACATCATGGGCATTACGCATGCGATGCAAGTTGACTGAAGAAAAAGCAATCAACAATAAATACGTGCCAAAAGGGGAGCCTGGTTTACATGGGTTGCCTTTTATTTTTCAAGAATGAACATCGGGTACTTTGCAGGAAGTTCTCTTACACGATATCAGCGAAAGTGCATTAAGTTCATAATTGGATTAGAACGCCATCAAAAGCCCGAGTATAAAGGTGGTCCTCAGAATTTAATCGTGGACGTCCTTCGCCTTATCACGAATCTCTTCTTTTGAAGGTCTTTTAAAAAGGGCTGTTGTGCCAAAAACAATATAAGTGTTCATAATGCACGATCGATAAGAGAAATACCGAGTTATTGATTGGGCATTAAAAGGAGTAACGTCTATCTATCTAATTTTCCATGAAGGTGTGGTCACCAAGAAGTTTAATAACTGATCCAAAATCTTGACGAAGTACCGCCAAAAACCTCGAAAATAAGTAGTTTGGGAACCACTTTCAAGCAAACGATCGCAAGTTTCTTCGCAAGAAGAAAGAGCGATAAAAAACCGTTTGCCATGAAATGTATTTGTTGTCTATTCTTGTAATACAAAAGGCAGACAGATCGTTCAAATGTTAGAACTTACGCACAACCACCTCCTTGACCTCGTATTCGGCCTCGTAGCGTGACGCCAGAAATTCGAGAAACTCCAGAAATTGTGTGGTGCTGAAGTTCAAGGCAATGTAATGGTCCCGGATCAGTTCGTCATCGTGCCACATGCGGACACGACTCAGCATGCACTGAGTAGATGCATTGTGTCGACGTAGAGCTTCGAAGAGATCTTTCATCATATCAATTAGTATATCGCGTCGTTGGTACATATCCCTCAAACGTCTGTCGACTAAACGGAGAAAGAACGCGCTGCCACCATTAATAAGGCGCTCCTCATTCTCGAAGATTTTCATCTGAACTGTGCTTATTTGGCGCATTACGTCTCGGCCCTTCAGCATATTATGGTGCCATACCTCGAAATCTATTTTGATATGTACCACCATGTGGAACAGTTCCTGTTTAGATTCATCCACATTCATGTTTTGGCGATAGAATTAAAATTTTTCCTCTTTTTTATGTCCAAGACGTACGACTTTTGCCATTATTTTGAAGGCGATTGTCAAAGCACAAGAAGAAGCACAAAATATGTTGCATTTAATGTCACATTTTATTTGTAATGAACAAACCAACTATTAATATTTATACTTACGTATATTTTGTTCTATTATAAGTGCAACGGATCTTAAGAACTTCACCGGAAAATTACGCTTACGAATAATACTTTTAATAACAACGCAAAGCTTTTTTCCTTAGGAGTTTGGAAAGTCCGCTCAGAACTTCCCAACACTTTGTATTGCCAGTTACCAGAAGTTAAAGTATCGATTAATATCAGTATTGCAGATTCAAAAAAATGAAATCGATTGATATGCGATCGGTTGCATATGTTATGAACATGAATAAAAAATACTATTATAACGTCAGCTTTAAAAATGCAACGATATGAATTTCAAATGGTACGAAAACACGGGAGGAGATGTGTGACGTCAGAAGTTGAATTTTAGTGGACAAACCTATAAAACGATTACTTTCTAAGTTGTTGTATTATATTTGTAACGCCTGTGGGGATGTGAGATATTAATTTTAACAATAGATGGGGGAAACGTGGATAATGTAGAAGCTATCCGAAGAAGAGGATTCAGAAAATAAATGTTAGTAGACAGACGTATAAAACGCCTACTTTGTAAGTCTTTGTATTAAACCTATTTGTATCGCATGTAGGGGTGTGAGATTTTAATCTCAGATGCGGGAAACGTGGCGATAATGTAGAAGCTATCCGAAGAAGAGGATTCAGAAAATTAATTTTAGTAAACCTATACAACGCCTAATTTTTAAGTCTTTGTCTTAAACTTATTTGTAACGCCTGTTGGGATGTGAGATAATGTAGACGATATCCGAAGAAGAGGATTCAGAAAATTAATTTTAGTAGCCAAAGTCTTTGTTTTAAACCTATTTGTACTAGGTGGGGTAAAAAGTAACCTCCTTAGGGCTATACACTTAATCCAGCGATTTTCCAATTTTTTTATCCCATCGGAAAAGTAGTTTTCCGGAAGGTCTGCAAAATACCCCTCTGTAGCGTCAATGATCTCTTCGCGCGAGCTGAATTTTTTATTTATCAGCCATCTTTTGAGATTTGGGAATAGATAGTAATCAGAGGGAGCCAGATATTTTAATATTAACCCTTTGTTTAGCCGTTGTACATAGCTGCAACATACCATTTATATGGATTTAATTCTTTACTTATATTATAAAAGAGCTTGGTATTTATTTGATCTGAAGCGTTCGCTCTTTCGATTTCTGCGACCTGATCATATTTACAAGAACGGCGGCAACTTGGATAATGTAGACGCTTTCCAAAAAAGAGGATTCGCTTCATACGAAGGTATGGTAAAAGTGTACTTTCTCAATTGTGACGAAGATGAAGAATAAATGGAAATGTTAGACGATTACCCACAACTTCATAAAAAACGTGCCCGGTAACTGGAGCTCTTTATTGAGGTTCTAAAGGTTCTAAAACGTTGCGCGGAACCAAAGCTCTATTCATAATATAAGTTCAGAATGGGCCAATAGATGTGGCCAGTGAAAATAGGACAAGCAAATAGGGTATATATCAATTATCAATCATATTGGAGCCAAGGAATACTACCAATTTAAACAAGGCCCCTCCTATGCTGCTCTTTGAATACTTATGTATGCCAGAATCGGTGTATGACAACTATGAGCTAAGCCTTTAGATAAAGATGAAAAGATAAGATAAAACTAGCGAACAACTACAATTAGTGAATGCATTTTTATGTATAATTCCTTAAGTAGCCTAATGGAGATGGAGTTGTTTGGCTTCCAGACTGCTGCTGGCTTAGGTCGGCATTGTTCATGAAGCGTCTTTGGCCTTTGGCGTGTCCGTGCGTGCCAAATTGATGAAGTGGCTATGATTAGGCTCCGGCTATGTGCATTGTGTAAGGTATATGTATGTACATACATATATCTAGCTTTGGTCGCATTAATTGCGCGCATGTTGCCCCGCCACCCCCTCCCCAAACCCATCGTGCCACAATCAACGTTGGCTGCTTGCTTGTTGCTGGCAATTAGCTGCGTGACGCTTTCGCGAAACTAGGAAGCGTTTGCTTTTTTGGGTCGTAATCGTAGGCTTCGACGTCTGTTGTTGCTGAGATGTCAGGCAGCATGAATTACTGTGCGTTGATTGCGTTTTAGGCTTGATTGCACAACAACAACAACAGCAACAACAACGGCAACTACTTGCTGCACACAATTCGCACAAATTGTTGTCCTGTCGACGAGGACGGCTGCTGTTCTTTGGCGGCAACTGGTAGGGAACGGGTTTCGTTTTTATGGATCTCCACTTGGCTGTCTGAAGGGCGCACGCGTGTTTCTTCGACTGTCTGTCTGTTCTGCTCTGCACGTTGTGCATTAATTATCAACAAATCATTTTTGTTGCACTGAAAGCCACATTTATCAACGATTATGCATGGTCCAGGGATCGAATCGGATCGGATCGCTCGTTCGATGGCATTGGACAGTTGCAAGTGTCGCACAACATGTGTACCCAACAGCAATCTGAAAATACTTTTTTGCAGCATATGGCAAGACATCGTCTGGCTTTCTCTCTCTCCATCGCAACGCCCACAAGGCCGTCGAGATCTGTGAATTTGTCGTGAATTTGTACACCAAGGGCGGCCACTCAGCCGACAATCCTGTTGACGGCGGCCGCCTGACATGACATTGATAAGGCAAAAGGAAAAAATACCATCTCAGCGTCGCAATTAAGATATTTTTATGTAAATTAATATTAAAAAAAAGGGAAGCCAGACCCCGAGAAGTGAGGCTAGCGTAGGCTTTGTGCAATCCATTAGTGTTGTGCGAACTGTTAGCTTTTTATTTAACGGAAAAACTAACCAAAGCTTTATAGTTCGCTAAGGCATCTGTCCTTGACGCAGCATTTCCTTCCAGTTAAGCTCCAGCTCCTAATTGCTAAAACTTACTTGACACCCTCATTATTCTTCTTCGGGAACTGTGATGCTGTAAGCCAGAATAAAATCAAAGTAGCCTTTAATAGTATAGCCCGATACATTTTTGTCATTAAGAGGCTTTCGCCAACAAAATTTACAATTTGACCCTTAACGACTGGATAAAACTTAGAACTCTAATTCTCTTACACCGAACTAAAACACGTAAAGAACCAAATTATTTGTACGAAAGAATCAGTTTCTCCACGTCAAGAAGAACAAATAATTTGGTCTGTACTAGATACAAATTATCATGTTCGGAAAGGCACTTCTTTATATTCGCTGTTCGGCTGTGAAACGATTTACCGCACCTCCTTAAGACAATTACCAGCGAAACGCACTTCAAACTAAAAACTCAAGCACACTTACAACAGGACATCTAAATAACGTAAATTGTAATATATATCACATGTCTGTAACACGCACGTTCAACGTCCATTAAATTAAATCAAACTTTGTAACTTAAATTAAATTAGGCCGAATTAAATTGGAAATGAATATGTATTGAAATGACTAGCGTAATAACTTAAAAGTAATCTGTTACTTGTAACGCTAGCATAGGTTAATAATAATAAATAAATAAATAAAAGATAATTATTTAGTTTGTTTTTAAACCAGAGCTTGTGTTACGAAGAGATTTTAGCTCTTGCCACCAGTATGGACGGCTTAGCGATTATTTAGTGACCCCGACATTAAAGATGAATGTAAAGTAAATTTTCGTTGGGTACATCCTAATAACCCAGTAATGTTTGTCTTTAAGTCCAGCTTTTAAGGCCATTCTAAAGTTGACAGCACTGCTGGCAATCTGTGCGTTGATTGGGGAGGGACGGGGATTGGGGCAGCGGCGCCCAGCTTGCGTGCAACTTACAAATAAGTACAAGTCGGGCCAATTGAAAGTCCAATTGCGTTGAAAGCCGTGCGCATTTTTAATTGGAAAGCAGACGGCACAAATAAAATAAACACAGTCAACGAAAAAAGCTTACAGAGAGGCCAACGACAACATCGATGTGGATGGGAGAATGGAGGAGCCTGTGCCCTGCGTCTGCGCACAAAAACTGACGCACCGAAAATTTATTGTTTCAGAGTTGGATCGCGAACAGGCCATGAACAGCATGTCGAATGGCCAAAGCAAACAGCAAAAAGGCCGCAGGCTGCATCTTCGGCTTCACTCCCAGCTCAGCATCGGTTTCAATGCAACAATACGTTAGTAAAGACCGAGAAGCGGCTGATATTGGAGCTAGTGGTGGAGCTGGGTTCGTGGTTGGCTGCCTTTGGTTGGCCACTCGCCCGTTACTTAAGCATTTATGTCTGGCACTTGACACATTTTGTTATGGCATTTTTGCTACCGCGCTCGATCTGCACTTGGTCCAACGATCCAATCAAAATTCCTTGCTGTTGCACTTGAATGCGTTTAATTTGTTAGCTTGTTCCAAGTGTTGAACTTTGTGTACGGCACAGTAATAGTTGTTAATGATGTGGGCTAAGCAGTTTATATTTTGGAACACAGAACGCTCATTTTCACAAACTCGTATGCGAAAAGAATAAATTTTGTTATTTGGCATTGAGGGTTTATGTATATTTGCCTATAATATTGAGAAATGTTGTACAGATGGCTAAGAATAAACCTCAGAAGTGTCTCACCACATTCTCTAATTACATTATTCAATTAATGGGGTTAGAGTTATACGTGTATTCCTATTTCTGTTGAAGAGGAATCAGAAGTTGAATCAGGTTTGCTGAGGCTAGGGCTTGGGAATGATCATGGTGATTAAAGATGGATATAAGCTCTATAGTAGTTTGCCATTCGCTCAAAATTCCTGTGCATTAATTAGTGGTAACTAATGCTACACATATGACATTTAGACTTAATATTTATCTAAACAAAATCAGAGCGTAAATACACCACTTTCACTTCCGAAGCCTAAGGTTTAGTTAATTTTGACATTTACTTGGAATTATAAAACTTGGGAGAAGTTGCATATCTCTTTGGTCATTTTAGCTCTTATACTTTCCTATGTACTTCAGACAGACACACTTACGAACGGACCAACAGACGGGCAGATCGAAATAACCCAATTGAATTGTCTTGATAGTGTGATCAAGAATTAATCGAGGGCTAGTTGGGAAAATTAAAGGGTTTACTAGAATGACTAAATGTCCAAATGTTTGTTACATTCAGAAGGCGGTGGGGCGCTATGTTACAGTTATATGAGCATTAAGAGACGAATCGTCTGTCTTTCCGCCCGTTCGTCTGTCCGTCTGTATGATCGCCTAGAACTTTTAAACCAAAACAGCTAGACACCCAAAATGTTGTATGTAGTTTTGCTCTATCTATCTGCAGAGCATATTTATCTCAAACCATATACTGCGCAATTATTTTATGTAGCTGTCATAGAACCGATGGAAAAATCACTCTTGGTAGAATAATTTTTTTTTACTTATAAATATGTATAATGAAAATTTGGTATTAATAGGTAGTTAGTTCATAACACCTCATG